CACACTTCCAGCACCTCGACTCATCACGCAGGAGGACATTCGACTGCTCTGCCCATCCTCCTCCACCCGGTGCTGTAGCAGCAGCAGCAGCAGCATCGCCATCACACGGTCACCTGAGACCCGACGGCCACACGCCATCATTTAGCCTCTCAAACACATGGAAGGATGCAGCAGAAGCCATTCTGGACACGTTGTTACGACTTATCGATCAATAATAATAATAATACTACGATCCACCTGGCATACATTCCTCCGGGGCTTTCTCAGAATGCGAGAAAAAGAATTCACAAATATCCAGGAAAAATAATGAAACATTAAAACTAAGAATTATTGTGTGGATCTTAAACACGACCATGGCATGCTGTGAAGTGGTAACTCATCTTTAGCATTGGGCAAAGACTAAGTTCAGGAAAAGAGTTTCAAGTCTATCTGTGAAACGTTTATATTACTTTACAATTTGCCCTGGTTGACCTGAAGCCTTTGCCCTGCGCTCTTGCTGCTTGGCGTTGATTTGTACAGCGAGTCCTCGTGTTAACTCGGCAGATTCGTTCCTGAAAAGTGCCGCGATAAGCGAAAACAATTTCCCCCGTAGGGGACCGTCCATAAATGACGTCACGCACCTAAGGGGGGGGGGGGGGTCAGACATTTGTGACGATGTGTGACGAGGGGGGGGGGGGTGAGAAATGTGACGTCACATCAAAATGCGCAACTTGAAATAAATATAGACAACACGTTCTACTTCATTAAGTATACTTTTTAATAAATGTTTTCTCCTACAACATCAGAGTGCAGCGCCACATTAAATACGCACTACAATGACAATTGTTTAAAGCGATTTGAAGCATGTTTTATTTTGGGGGGGGGGGGGGGGGGCAGAGCTTTGTGACGTCATATTTGAGGGGGGGGGTTCTGACTTTTTGTGACGCCGCGTGACGAGGAGGGGGGGGGCAAAAATCGTCCAAAATCGCGTGACGTCATTTATGGACGGCCCCTTGCCAGGTAATGTGACGATGACTTCGGGGCGAGACTGACGCACGCACAGCAAGGGACAATCGACTGAGGGAACGCCGCCGCGTCACTACCGTTCCGCGTGCTGTATCACACCGCTCAACAGCGCAGCTCAAGAAAGTAGTTCGTCGTCGAGCGCTCTTGGAGCGTGTTCCCGAATGGAAGAATCGCGTTATAGCGAAAACGCGCGTGAACACCAAGCGTTAAGTGAGGATTGTCGTATTATATATCAAAAAAGCAAACACCTGCAATGGAAAATGTATTCAATTGCTGGTAAGAAGAGTGATGCAGTTCCCACATTGTTCAGGGGAAAATATTAGTTTAGCTATTCTTTCTACGAATACAAAAATTTTGCCGTTTTTCAAAATATATATATATTTGGTAATGCATTTAGAATGTATATTTAATGTATAGATTGTGTTTGCTTCTTCGAGAATAAAGTTCAGAGCCGTCCCGAGGGGCGACCACGCCAGGCCACGCGTTTCACCGCCACGGTGTCAGATGGAACACTTCCAGTTTAAATTTTGATTTAAAGCTTTCGTGACTGCAGGGATTCATATTCTTGGTTCTTTCGGTAAAGTCACGTAGAAGGGGAACAATAAAATAATAAAACATATGTATTTTTATTATTGTAGAAGGGGAACAATAAAATAATTAAAAATATGTATTTTTATTATTGTATTGTTTCCCTTCTACGTGACTTTACCGAAATAACCAAGAATATACTAGTTTAGCTTGAAGGCGCCGAGAGAGGGGCCCCCCATCATGAACCGCCCTGGAGAAGTTGAATGGGTTAATGTTTATGGTGTCTTCAAAAGGCAGGTGGTCTAAAGCTAATCGTCACCTTAAGTTGCCTTTTGAATAAAGTCCAAATACGAAATACAGTGCCGTACCATGAAACCGTAATAACCACATGCTATTGTATTCGGTGCACGTTGGACGAGTCGCAGCAGCAGTGTGTGCTTTGGGAGCTGGTGTCTGGAGTGCCGGTGAAGGAGTCTTTGCTGCGGCAGGCGGACACCTGTCCGCGGTTACGAACGGAGTTTTTTATCCAACAAAAGCCGAGAGAAGAATCTCTGCTGCTTCAACAGCGAGCGCATTCACCGCACTTTGAAAGACTGGCGTGCCAACGCGCGCGCACATCGCCACCGTATTTCTCAAGTCAACGTGACGGGAGGTGGGAGCGCTTTGTTTTGAAAGGTCTCCTTCTCCGCATGGGCCGCGGCTGTAAGCAAAGTGGAATGCGGCGCATGTCTCGTAGCCGTGTGCGTTTCACCGCCCAGCACTACTGAACTAAACGGTAGTGTTTGCACAGCACACACTCTGGTGCGCGCAAGGGCCATCAGTCACAGAGGGCCACGTTTGGATGGCACTTACAACTGCGTGCCACGCATGTTGTGGCCACTCCTTTCCATTGGCATGTACGTAGAGATTTTCATTTCAAGGGCTGCTACGACTGTCGAGGCAGGTCTAATTTTAAGCAGGCGGCACGAATGTAATTCTGCAGTCGGTTGCGTGGTGGAACGCACTGCCCATAAAACCAGCATGGTGTTAGCAGTCCTCTGCGACCAGGCCTCTTTGAAGGGATGCAGCTGTCTCCCCTTTTCCTCCTTGTCTGACACAGCCTGCCTGGCCGAGCCTTTACTCGCACACACATCACCTTCCACAAGAACCTCTACATCCCAGCACCCTCACTGCCACCTCGGCTTCGTACGTGTGGTGGTTATTGCCCGACTACCCCCGGTATAAATTTACCTCCACGGAAAATTAATCAAGGCAACTTCTTCCCTTCCATCTGATTGTTTTCAGGGATGCGTTGAAGACTAATTGCTAAATGCTTTCAAGTAAAAATAACCTTGACGCAGTATTCCAGTTCGCACACGCCATCAACGCATGGTGTAACTTATTGGGATATTAACGTGCTAAAAGTACATTTCTATTGTTTCAAATGTCTCCTTATGCATCTTGTGATAAAAATCCAATATCTTATTGCAATAACGATGCTGAGCAGTGCAGAATAACTTTGATAAATATTTCCTTTCATTAAATTTTGATTTAAAGCTTTCGTGACTGCAGTAATTCATATTCTTAGTTTTTTCGGTAAAGTCACGTTGAAGGGAAACAACAAAATAATAAAAAAATATATAAAACAATAAAAAATTCTCACGACGTTTCGACCATAACTCAAACTGTCGTCTTCAGGTGTGTTGGTTTGCATAAAAAAATTTTATGCACCGTTTAAAAATAAATTTATGCAAACCAACACACCTGAAGACGACCGTTTGAGTTATGGTCGAAACGTCGTGAGAATTTTTTATTGTTATATATATTTTATTATTTTGTTGTTTCCCTTCAACGTGACTTTACCGAAAAAACTAAGAATATTTCCTTTCATTGTCAAACAATTGCACTTGTCAGGTTGCGCGGAAATAATCTTCTGAGGCTCAGCCCCAGAGCTCCGGATAAAGCTATGCCCTGCATTTACCTATTTTCAATGGTATTGAGTTCACAACCCATTAGACATACTTGTCTGTCAACACATCCATGGAACTTGCCATGCTTTTGTATATACGCGATACATTGTGGATACACGGCTTAAAAAGAATGCGTAACAGCAAATTGACAGCTCATACCAATTGATATATCACAAGCACTGTGCATTGAAGCCAGCTTCCCTCGTTTTTATTCAGGTAACCCCAGGTTACCTTCCCTCCACTTTCATCCTATTGGGCCCTTTGCCTTTGCTTGCTGCTGGCCACTGCACCATCCTACACCATCCAACCCCACACCATCCCACCCCATGTCATGGGCAACGAAAGAAAATTTAAAGCAAATTGATATTTCCACAATAGGAAGATGGTATGAACTTTACAGGATAAATATTACACATGCAGGACATATGTCTACACGTCAATTATACAAACCTCAAAAAGACCATTACAAAGGGTTATCAGTCATTCCTTATCCACTGCTGGATTAATGCCTCAAGTAATTGTCATATCTCACGGTCTCATTTATCTTCTGCACAACACACGCCGATTTCATGGCTCCAATGTCCACTGATTAAGCAACTTCTTAGAGACATTGGTATGTTGCTTTTATCAAGTCCAACGGTTCAAAGCACCCCAACCTGCTCTGGTCTGTCACCGTTTTCATTGGCTGCCCTATGTACACATACTCCGACATGTATTAGTTTTCTCCCTGACAGATATCTTAATTTGTTCCATTTATTGCACATCCAGCCCCACTTTACATGTTTCTAATTATCAAATCATTGCAGTGAGAGACTGAAACACGCAGGCGCGCGGTCGGAAGGCGTGGTGGAAGTAGATAAAAGACATTCCAGGTTTGTTTGGATTATTTTTAGAAGAGTTTTGCCGACTAGGATGGGCAGGCAGAAAGTGTGTTGGAAGAGAAGACCAGTTTAACTGACAGGTTTTATTATCAGACCACCGAGGGTCCGTATTTTGATGGATTCTTGATGAGAACTATTCTGTCCTTGGCCCTCTAGCCTAAGTGTCTCCACTGTTGACACGAAACTTGAATTGTCGATGGCATTAATTAAAATATGACCACCACATTTAACATATGGTAACATTACCACGTTTTTGTTAAGTCAGCATTATTTCTCACTTGCTGGATTTAACTTGTCTGGATGTAATTGCTTCGGAATTTTAAATGTACAATCTTTTCTTGCCTCTTTATTTAAAAATGTGCAGGAATTCTGTTGGCCGAGGCTGATTAAAGCAAAACATTTTCTTTACAGCTTTCAAATGTAAGTTCACAATTTTCAATGAGGTGTTCTTGTTTTTGATTTCACAACCAAACGGAATAATTATCGAGAAGCCGTTTAAACGTTGTGTTCTTAAAACATTGTTCCATTCTTAAGTGTCACAAAAAAAATCCCTAAATGAGAACATTTCATCCCAAATCGCGTTTACAATCGAAATCGGTGTCAAACGTGCAGCTGAAAATGCCTTGGCCAGCAATGCAAGTAACGTCGAGTTTATTGAGAACAGCACACAGCACATCATCACAGCAACAACAGCTCGAGTACAATTACGTTGGGCAGGAACACTTAAACATCGCTTCAGAAAGTGTTCAGCGTGTCCATACAGTATTGTACTCTCATCCCAAGCAAGGAAGAACAGCTGATCCACCTCGAGGTCGGCTGGTGCCAGTCGTTCACCTGTGCGTGCACATCGGTGGTCTGCATCGTGTGACTCAGGGCGCACGTAACGGCAGCGAATAACACAGCGGCTGCTCCCGGAGAGACAGCTGTTGTTGGCAAGAGCCGCTACATGAAATTCGATAAGAATTTGGTAGTAGTCCACATATTTAACGTTCCGCATCACGTGAAATGGAAAAACATTTTAACCACACAAAAAAAACACCGTTAACCGATTTGAAAAGTGATCATATAGTTAACTTTATTTGCCATGTTATGTAATGTGTACCAATTGAATGTTGCCACCTCAAATACTACCAATGTCCGCTCTGGCCTGGACGACACAGGCATGAGTCTGATCATCAAGAGGTTGGCTGGTGCCATCACCTGTGTCTTGGCGCTGGATTGCATGGTCCACACAGCTTACCGCTCTAGAACAGATCTGTTCAGAGCGTGCTCATGTCAATACAAGCCAAGCTTTGCGCAAATAAATGTGTGCATTCGGAAATTTAAAAAGGAATGCTTTTGTCTCCTTTTCTTAAGATAATGATAACATCGGTAAATAAATCCCATGCTGTGGAGTCACGTGTTTGCACCGGACGATCCGACACATATCCAAGTACAGCAGAGCTCCTCTCGCACATAATCCTCACGTCGCGCCTCGCGATGTCACGCGTCCCCCGCGCCCAGGGCAGCGTGGCCCACAGACCCACCAGCAGCTCAAGGGGTCGCCCCCTCCTCTGACTTGCGGCGCCACCCCCACTCCTTTTGGTGGTATCAGAGACCGAGCGACATTACTTGGTGTGCGCTGTCCCTCAGCTGGGGTTTTACTCCTGCCGATGGAACCTTTCAACACGTGTCGGCTGTGTTCCCATTTCACAGTGGGGCCAAACATGTGACTCAAAACATAATGGACTCGATGCAATCGGTGAAAACTGCTCATGTTTCAGGCTTAATCCAAAAACGTGATTCTGCATTGCGCACCTAAACGCTACCATCAATCCTCTCCAATAGGCCTGTCCACAGCCACATTCCAGGGCCACTTTGGCCAAAGCAATGTGTACATCAATTATATTGTACCTTGTGTTTGTATCAAATACATCGTCACATCAAATCATTTTAGGGTGTCGGCGTTTTAGATTTAAAGTGTTTTCAACCCTCACCCGTGCATCTGCACTTCCCCATCTCTACATTGCAAATTATAGCCTCAATGTTTCATGTGGTTTTTAACAAAGAGCACTCCCAACAAAGTGTCTGCTAACGGTCCACTCGTTACAGTCCGTTGTTCCTTTGCAACTCTTCGTGCCGCAAGCCCCAAAGGAATGGATTCGTGCAAGGTGCTCCGACGCTGCCGTCGCTCCGCCTCTGGTGCAGCGTTGCGTGCCGCGTGCTGGCGCCATGGGGTCCGTCGTCCCCCCGCGCGCCGTCTTATCGAAGAGTCCTCCGCTTGCTGCGCTGGGTCCCGCGCGCGCTCTCTATCCTTCCCAAGCGCGCCACCACCCCCCCCCCCCCCCCGTCACCTGCGGTCGGCACCCCAAGGGGGCGGCCCCTGGAGTCGGCAAGCCCTACGCTTCTACCATGCACGACGAGCCCAGCGTCCCCGGCACATGCGGCGCCGCTTTGTCGGGCTCTAGGCCGCTCGTCTTGTTGGAGTCCGGTGTCTCCGCCTCCCGAGACGGCGCGAGCTGGGCCAGGATCTCGACGCCGGCGGGGCCGCCACGTGCCGCGTACTCGGCGGCCGCGCTGCCCAGGCCCAGCGAGCGCAGGTAGCGGCCGTACTCCGCGCACACCGACTCCGTCAGGGGCCGTGCAGCGAGGCGCGCGGGTCAGGAAAAACACCACGGGCTGGCAAGAGGCAACTCGCAGCCACCCTCCCGAGCCATAACCATCGTGTTAATAAATGCTCATTCACGGACTTGGCCAAACATCCCAATATAATGCTACAGCTTTGGTAATTGTTGGCGCTGTTTCAGCCCACTTTCCCACACCTCGGAGTCTTAGAAAACTGTGCAGAGTGCTATAGACACGTGTATCTATGTAGCATAGATGCCCACTCCTACCGAGACACAACCTCACAGCCATCAGCTCAGCCGCGGCCGAACCTACCGCTCCTGACAGCCGGCATAAAAACACCATGGCCATAGACTCTGCAGGAGGTACAGGGAAATACTATTACACTCATGCCTCGAGCAGAAGAACCTTGGTGACAGCAAAGTGCAGGTACACACTGCGTGTTTGTGCTCCGCTGTGTGTGAGTTTGTACAATTACACGCTCATGTAAGTGCATGTGTGTGCGCATGTCGTGTTGGCAATTCATCCTTCACCTCAGTTTAGCCCCCTGTTAGGCAAGTATGTGCTGTTTGTGTCGAGCAATGCCATAGAGGGAGAGGTTGTTTTTAGCCAGTTGGCCTGAAAGGTCCGACCAACGCAGTAAAATCATGATGGATAATGGAGGCTCAGGCCTCCTGGTTCTCTAGCGGAGTAATGATGGCAGGGGGTGTGACCTTTGCACGTAAAAATGCTTTTAACGACAATGCCTAAAAGTCAGCCACGGAATAACAGTACCAACTCCTCCAGTGGGATGGCGGCATTGTGGCATATTGTAGCCAAACTCTAATTTATAGAAACCCTGAGGTGGAGCTGCTCACAGGAAACTCATCAGATCATTAATTAAATACGAGACCCATCCAAAGTCCTTGCAGAGGCAACTGCCCAACCCACATGTCCATGGGAAAGACTTTACAAGAGGACAAGGTGGTTCCACTCTGAAAGGGGACGGTGCAGATTGCTACGTGGGCAAACTCGAGCAGCAAAGTGGGCAGCCGCTACAGCTGAAATGAATTCCCAACGGAAGTCCTAAACTAAAAAAAACGGGTTTTTTTATTTTACCAGGTAAGGCCCACTGAGCTAAAATCTCTTTTTCAGATGCGACCTGGCCATGAATGATACGTAGCTCAACGAAGTGGTTTATCATGTGGAAACTTATACCAGCCAAATACTCTAAACGCATGTTTTTAAATGTGGAGACAAAAAACGGAGGACCTGGAGAAAAATCCACACTACCACAAGGCGAACATGCAAACTCCAAATATACAGGCATCAGGGTTGGGATCGAACCCACGACCTGCTGTATACAAGGCGAGGGAGATTACAGAGCATCCCACGACACCAATAATCCAGGCTTTCAGTCTTCTGTGCTTGTGAATGCCCACTTCTAATACGGACCTTCAGGACCCATGGAAGCAAACCAGAGTCAAAGCCGGCTATTCGACATGTTTTGATCGTCTACAGGGCCATTCCGTAGGAATCTCCATCTGCTCTCTGTTAACTGGAAAGCCTGCAAATGTAAACATTTGCCTGCACATTTATTTCATTGAACCACATCACGTATTAACATAGGACCATATCCATAGTATTAAATCAACTCCACCTGTCCTCTCACGCACGTTTAAGACTATCTAAACCTCCCTAGGGGCCAGTTGGTTAAAACATCAAGATCTTCCTTTCTTCTCAGTGAAATGAAACACCCCATTATTATTATTATTTAATCCTGTTATTTAACCACACATTTATCAATGACCCGGTGAATGTGGTCCATTCCGAGGTGAGGTTTCTGAATTTGTTCTGTCCAGGGAATCGTGCTTTTGCATTTTTATGACGAGAAAAACCCCTTTCCTGCATCCGCATGCAGCACCATGGCATCCTCCGCTCCTTCTCCTCGAGTGACTTTGAGTTATTGGGTTGGAGGAAGAAGTTTTCGTACCCGAGTCGACTGCTCCTAGCTCAGGCCTCTGGCCGCACAAATCTCTGTTCTCTTTGAACGGGTCTGGAAGTTGAATTAGTCACCTGTGAAACACTGTGCGGTGGAAGCTGTCACTTCAAAGCATTGGCTCCCTTCGGCGACAATAATGCCAAGAAGGCGAAACATGGGACCCCCTGCAAGTTCGCCTACGCTGTTTTTTAACTCCTCGTGTTGACTTCTCGACGCTCGTCATCGGTTTGTCTGGGCTTGCCCACGTGATGATCTCAGAAGTATTTTGCTATATCCGTGGGCTGATCACGCAAGCAAGCCCAGATATGTTGTTACATCTCCTTAGCCAGTTGAGACCGTATGGTACTTGCAGTGTGCACACCACACACCCAGTGGCTGTATGCAGCCTTGCTGCTGTCCGCTGTAAACGAGACCGGGCTACGTGAATTCAATGGAGGCAACAACGGCGATTCATTCAGCCTCAGCTGAAGCCGTCGCATGGCTCTGAAATACAAATAGAGACCCTTAAGATGCTATTCACTATGCCAGCGATTCCCAACATATGTGGACCACCATGCAGCTCAAATTATTATTGTACTTTGTGAAAAGATGTTGCATCTGAACCAGTTCCATGGACCACTTTCCACAGCATTGTGGCCCACCAGCAGCCCGCGGCGCACGGGTTGAGAACTGCACTATGCCACATGCAAGAAGCCGTGTCGAGACCGGACTTGGTGGAGGAAAGGGGCCTCGACACCGCACCACTGTGCGGATGATGACAGTGGATGAGCGACGTTCGGATCGATCAACAGAATGGTGGACGTGCCGGCACGTTTCTGCTTTACTCACGAGCGTGAGTGTGCATGCGTCTGTGCCTGCGCGTCCACGGCCATGCGCTGGTGTGCATACCGTGCGTGCATATGCTTGTGGATGTGTGTGTACTTACAGGGTGTGTGTATTCAGTGCCCAGGGGGAGTAAGACTACCTTTTGAGCAGGTAAATATAAATTACAATGGATTTGTCAATCAAGTAAACCAGCAGTGACGGGGACTCAATTAGACCTTGTGACATCACAGCAAAACACGTAGTGCCTTGCAGGCCAAGGGAAGCACAAACACAGACCCACACGGAGCAGCAGGAGAAGCAGCAGCTGACCTAATGACGAAATAGCTGTTCACCTTCAAAGCTTAAATTTGCCCATTTCACAATTGTCAGCAGCACAACGCCAAGCAAATAGCTGAACCATTCTTGTGGATAATCAATATGGCGTTTCTGCTCACTGAGTGTCACATTTGTGTCCCGTTCTGTTTTTAACATAACAGTCTTCCATACACAACACAACACCTCCCAAACAACAGTCAATGGCACACTCTAGCAAGCGGGAACCCTTAAAACAAAATAGCACAATCTCGAGCCAAAGAGAAAGCGTGCGTCTGTAAAACAATGCAAGAGGCAGTGCAGGCTACTTGAGCGCGTGCTAGGGTGAGTCCAGCGTGTGGCACAGTGCTGATCTGAGATGCTGGCCCAGAGGGCCTGGCACGTTGACAGGTTCATTCTCTCCATTTCATCCTCCTATCATTCTACACTAATGGATGTAAATGCTCCACATGCAAACGTTTTAGATCCAAACAGAGGACTGCCTCTGTGGAGATCGGTGGCGCAGCAGTTAGCGCACTGCACTACAAACCTGGCAACCCGAGTTTGATTACCCCTCACAGCCAACACCAGCGACAATTATCTGAACCGGTCCTGGGCTTCCCCTTAGGTGAATTCAGACTCAAAATAAGTACCTGGTACGGTGGGAAAACATCACCATTACGGAGACAGAGGCAGCTGAGCGTGGTGCTGATCACCCACTACCTCGTGTCCAATGTCAGCTTTTATAGGTGCTCTCTAACAGCACTTGCCCCAACAATCTGTTCAGGCTATACGGGGGGAGATTTTTGTATTTGCCCCTATAAAACTGCTGTACGCACGTCCCACCGACCCCTCGTTTAGTTTGGCTCTTGGTGCAGTCACGCCGTCCTGCACTGTGCAGCCCGTCCTCAACCACGACTGCTACCACAACCACTGCCTTGATCCCAGCTCTTGCCAGGACGCGCCAATTTCTACCGAGATGTGTACGATAACAGGGCACTGTGACAGAGCAGGGGTGGCGTAAATGCACGTGGCCCTCATCACCACTCTCAGGTGCAAGGGAGGAATTACCCCTCAACCTTTCATACACCACGTGCTGTTTAGGCGGTGCTGTTTCTTCTATTTACCATGTGGATCAACAATCCTCTCTCAACGCGATTAAGCTTCCAGAGGCCACATTTTCCCATTGTATGACCAAATCAGCGCCATTAAAAGCTGAAGTCCAGCCATTGGATGGTTACCTCTTCCGCACGAGGAAAAAAATTGTCCGGAAAGTATCAGATCGTGTTCTTGTGGATCATCTGGATGTCAATCTCTTCCAACGGGGGATAATATCTTGAAGCTCTGGTCCATCACACACAACCAAGTCTCTGCTCCTCTTAGGTTCAATAATTTTATAGTATCTATGTTCTTCTTTCACACCGTATATAGCCAACCGCACTAATCAGGTGCCGGGTGTGATGCAAATGGAATGTGATGCGTAATTCAAAGTGGGATACGTCAATCACAAGCATCTCACAGGTTCAATATAGTTTCAAAATGGAAGTCATCTTCGTCAAACACAACTGTCATGGAGTTGTGGAGGATGGTGTGGATGTGATGAGGCCACAATTCATCATCAGATGTGCTGCTGCTGCCACCCATCGTGAGCTGCGTCTGTTTCTCTCACTTTTATATACATTTCCATTTTGTTACTCAAAATTGTAACATTTTAATAAATCAGCCCATGGCTCATGAGGCCACTGGAACGTCACCGATTCTGTTCTAGCACTGCATAACTGTTCATGTCCAGATTCTAGTTGGTACTGGAGTGCATCACACTCCGTGAATGTTCCTTTTGAGTGATACCTCACAATCAACCACATGCACCATCTGGGGTAAGGGGATGTTAACTACCGTGAGTTTGATCCCAACCCTGACAAATGCTGTATACTCTTTGGTTTTTTCAGTAAAGTCACGTAGGTAAAATAAATGAAAACAACTAAATTAAATCACGACGTTTCAGAGGCAACAACAAGCTTCCGTCTTCAGGTGGAAACCGTCACAGCAAAATTGCTGTATCAAGTGAAGACGGAAGCTTTGTTGCCTCTGAAACGTCGTGATTTAATTTAGTTGTTTTCATTTATTTTACCTACGTGACTTTACCGAAAAAACCAAAGAGTATGAATCCTTGCAGTCACGAAAGCTTCGAATCTATAAAAAATGTTGTATATTTGGAGTTTGTGTGTGTCTCTCCGGGTCCTCCGGTTGTCCCTCCACATTTAGAGCCATGTGTTTAGAGTATTTGCCTCCCATAGATTTACACATGATAAGCCACTTCGTTGAGCTATCATTTGTGGCCAGATCGCTTCTGAAAAAGAGCTACATAGCTCAGTGGGTCTGACCTGGCAAAGTAAAAATTAGATATAGTTTATTAGTTTATATCCATCAGTCCTGATTGACCCCAGACCACAGCCACTGGGCAACAGCTTCCATTCCCTCAGCCCCCGGTGCCAGCTCAGCTGGAGAAGGATATGAGAAGCGTCGGTTGGGTCCGCGAGCACCCCGGCCTGCACGCACGCCTCCAGGAAGAGCGCCGCCCGGTCGAAGTAGCGCATGCTGCGACGGGGCGAGTGGGGGATAGAGGCATGGTGGGGGGCACACGCATGAGATATGTTGGTATGCATGTCTGTGTGTGTGCGTGTGTGTACATATATGTGTGTATTGTTATGTTATGACCAGGAAAAGTGGCGGGTAGACATTATTTCCCAAGTGAACTCAAGAGAACTGCTGAAGGAGGGTTGCATTTTTGTGTGCAGACTGCCATAAATGACATTATAATAACAGTCTGGACCACTGGATGGGTTCCGCAGGATTGAAAGGATGCCCTGTAAAAACTACAGGAGCAACTCCTTACTCAGTGTGCCGAGAAAGGTCCTGGCAAGGATTAATTAACATCGACTTGCCAGGCACGCTGGGGAGAGGCTTGCAGAGCCCCAATGTGGTTTCAGGCCAGAACGTCCTGCAAAGATGCCATATTTTCTGTCCGTTTGCTGCAGCAGAGGTGGACGGAATTCCAACAGGAACAGGACCTACATCTCTGGTTTATCGACCTGGTCAAAGACTATGATTGGGCTCTGAGTCCCTGACTCTCTGCTCACAATCATTAATGACGTTCATGATGGTGGGTAGGCCCAGATAAAGCTACGTGGCCGGGAGTCAAAGCCATTCCCTGTTCACATTGGGGTACAACAGGGATGTACGCTGGCTCCCACATTATTTAACATCTTTTTTGACCACGCAGTTTGTGAAGCGTTCCATGGCTGTACCGAAGGAATCTCCATTTGGTACAGATACAATGGGAGGCTGATCGATGCCTGGGTGTGGTCGAGGGATAGATCCCTATTGGTTAACCATGTTATGTATGCTGATGATCTGGAGATTGCTGCTCACTCAGAGGAGGCGCTGCTGCTAGACACGGAGCATGCCACTAAGAGGTGGGGCCTTACCATCAGCCCCATCAAAACTAAGCACCTGCCTGGGTATGTTGTGCCATCAAAACACTCCACCCCCTCAACTCTCCATTTGTGATGGGGCAGTTGTGGAGAACGTAAGAGAGCTTTACATACCTGGGTAGTGTGCTTATGACCAGCTCTGGTTTGACAGTAGAGGTCTCACTCCAAATCAGTTGAGTGGCATTATCTTTTAATCGCCTGCATAATGCTGTGTGGAAGCTGCCTGGTCTGTTGCTCCACACGAAGCTTCGGGTCTTCTCGGTCATGGTCATGCCCTCCCTTCTCTATACTTGCCAAACGTGGACCCCTCTAATGGGACATCTTTGTCGGTTAAAAACATGGCCTGCCTACGATCCATCCAGGGTTTAACCAGGTAGGATTGTGTGGGGATCTCACAAATCCTTGAAACATCTAGATAACGTCCCATCGGTGAATTTCTCTGGCATGCGGGCTACATGACCGAGGTCATGTAGCCCGCATGCCCAGCCACCGCATGCCGAAACTGCTTTTGTTCGGTAAAATAGAGGGGGCTAAATGGGCACGGCACAGGCTAGAAAGGAGATGGAGTGATATGGTACAAGAGTATGTGAAGCTGAGTGGATGACTGGTACCAGAAGTGTCGAGATCGGCCTCTGTGGAGGAGGCTCGTGAAGAATGCTACTGGGCATTTGGAAGCAGTTGCCCTCCAGCAACAATGGAGGGCAGAGAAGCGATGCTCACAACAACGAGTGGAGTGCCAGGCGGCTAAAACACAAAGTTGGCACAGTAGGGGGCACAGGTGGTGCATTGGCCAATCATCTCAGTTAGTCAGCCCTTGGCACCTGGCACAAGCGCCGTGGTGATGTTAGCGCCACTTAATGGCAAATGGCGGTTGTTGTTGCTGTTGTTGTTGTTGTGTACTTGGCGCTCGCACCTGTGCAGCATGTCCAGCACGCGCTGGAAGCAGCCAAGCGACAGCAGCACGAGGATCGCGCGTGACTTCTGGTTGACGTGCGGAGAGCAGAGGTGATCGGCCCAGCGCTTCAGCACCTCCCCACACTCCTCCTGGCCCAGCCGCACCTGCACTCACAAAGATAAAGATCCCCCATATAGCCTTAACTGTTTGGACAGGTGTTGTTAGCGAGCACCTATGAAGGCCGACACGGCACACAAGGGGGTAGGTGGCCAGCACCACGCCTTTGTCTCCCTAGTGCCGATTTTTACACACCGCACCAGGTACTCATTTGAGGCTGAGTCGACCTAGGGGAGGCCTAGGACCGTGAGCGCAGTGCGTTAACCACTACACTAGCGCTCCCCACCTGCGCTCGTGCACACACGCAAGTGTTCAGTAAAAACATCGGTACACACACAGTAATGCATAAATTAACATGCACGCACATGCATGCATGCATGCATTCATGAGCACAGAAACATACCCGCACCCACGCATTCAACAGCGTATGGGCACTCACTGACCCAAGCATATGCACACATTCTCTAACACGTATACATGCAAACGTTCACAAGCACACAAGCAAATGGGTATACACACGCGTTCGCGAGCATGTACACACGCGCGCACGCACGCACAGCTTCACATGTACACAATCATCTTCACGCACGCACGCGCACACATGTAATGTATTTTGTAGATGCATGCTTGTTTTGTCCACTTGAGCCCAGAAGCACTCGTGTGAGTGAGTATGCACAGGTGCAGCAAGTGAGGTGGACTAGTGCAGCGTGGCAGGTGGCACGTGGCGGGTGGAACATGGCGGGTGGAACATGGCGGGCACCTTTGCGAGCCAGGCCGCTTGGTTCCACTGGCCGTACGTCTGCAGGTATCGGCACGCGTCGGCCGCCTTGTCAATGAGACACAGCAGCTGCACACCTTCTGCACGTACACATAGGCACAGCGGCAACAGGCCGTGATACCACCAGTTGCATGAGATACCACCGGTCCCAAAAGACGGTCCTTGTCGTGCGAGCGTGCGCAGTGCGTGCGGTACCCGAAAGCTTGCCGCTGGCGATCATGTTGGTGGCGACGAGCTTGATGGTGCTCTGCGCAGCTCCGCAGGCGGGCAGTGTGCTCACGAGGCAGGCCTTGAGCGAGTCGCTGTGGTAGGCCGCGTTCTCCGCACTCGTCTCCAGCAGCAGCTGCACCGCGCGCTCCGTCTGACGCGTGCACGGACATACGTGCACTCTCACGTACACGCACACGCGTGCTCGTACGCACCTGCACGTTCCCATGTGCAGTTACTGTACATCACGTGGCAAAGAGAGGGAACAGCCGGTAAAGGGTGCCGCTTAAGAGGAGTGGTTCTCAACTCCAGTCCTTGCTCTCTACGGATATGCAAGTTAGGCTACCACACACCGCACGCACCCGATGGTTGGTAATCACGCAAAGTTCTTCCGTGGTGGGTTACAAGGACTCAAGGTGAGGGAAGATGCACAGAGGGTTGGCGATGCGATCGAGCGCGATGGATGGCAACGCGCATGGTAACGTGGTGGGCGCGGGCGTGCGACGCACCTGTCCCAGCAGCAGCAGTTTGTCGGCGCACTTGTTAGTGTGCACGTACGTCGCACGCTTGGCTTCCTGCAAGCCAACCCTCTCCAGCTGCCACCTCTAAACCGTGCGCACGCACACACGCACGCACACACGCATGCACACACGCACGCACACACACACACAAACTTGCTGTAACCGTAACTCACGCCAGGAATCAGGCGGTCACCATGCGTAGGCGCGCGTAGGGGCGGAGAGACGCGCAGCGCCATGCTGCCTCCTCTGCGGGCACCTGGAAGTAGGCGTTGTCACAGAGCAGATCGTAGCAGACGTCGAGGCCGTCGCCGCTGGGCCCTGCCAGCCCCGCCGTGCGCTTGTGGTGCTGCAGGTAGAACCCGGCCACCGTCCAGAAGTGCAGCTCCGACTCGTCCCCAAACAGACTGGCGCCAGACACACAGATCCCCCCCCCCGCCATATAGCATAAATACGGATGGGTAGGCACTTATAGCGAGCGGCACATATGTACGAGTGCACGCGTGCCACCGATCACGTGCGTTTTATATGTATGTATGTTAAACTTCTTTTGCACTGTACACAGCCAACCGTGCTAATAGTTGCGGGGGAAGGACAACAGCGAACCACATGTGGGCCTCCCGTAGGTTGAATCTGCCTAAAATGAGTACCAGGTGTGGTATGCGCATTAGAAAAGCAGTCAAAGTGGTCAGGGTAATCCTGTTGCTGGCCACATCACCTCCTCGTATGCCATCCCACCCTTACTAGGTGCTCACCAACAGCACTTGCCCCAGCAGCGTGGGGCTAAACGTAATCGCTAAATCGTTCGTGTCCCTAATCCCCGTTGTGTAGACACACAATTAACATGCCTGTCATTGAACGCTTTGCACAGCTGTACCAAAAATATGACGCAAACAGACAACGGCCAAATTCACATCTCGAGACACTGCCCTTTGTTTCAGTGTCTATGTGCGTGCACGCACTCGCATAGACGCTGAAACAAAGGGCAGTGTCTATGCGCGTGCACGCACTCGCACGCCCACTCACCGGGCCGTCAGGAGACACCTCTGCAGGAGGGAGAAGTTGGGGTTCAGCAGCAGACTCTTGTAGTCGCTGCAGACGCAGGAAGACACACACAGCAAAAGCGTGACGTGATGACTTTAAAAAACAAGTGCAGATCCGTCGCCCGGCCTCCCTCGACACGATCCACTCATGCCCCACGCCAACCCATCTGGCCGCAACATTACCACTGCATCTGTGAGGCACTGCGCAACGAGCGCGACACGGGACGACACTGTATGATGGGCGCTACACGGCGCTACACGGCGCTAAATGGCGCTACACGGCGCTACACGGCGCTACACGGCGCTACACTGCGCGACGCTGCACAACGTGCGCTACACTGTGCGATGTGCGCGACATGGCGCGACACTACGTGACGTGACACTGCGTGACGTGTGTGACACCGCGTGACACTGCGTGACGTGTGTGACACTGTGTGACGTGTGTGACACTGTGTGACGTGTGTGACACTGTGTGACGTGTGTGACACTGTGTGACGTGTGTGACACTGTGTGACGTGTGTGACGTGTGTGACACTGTGTGACATGTGTGACACTGTGTGACATGTGTGACACTGTGTGACGTGTGTGACACTGTGTGACGTGTGTGACACTGCATGACGTGTGTGACACTGTGTGACATGTGTGACACTGTGTGACGTGTGTGACACTGTGTGACATGGCACGACACTGCGCAACGTCCACGGCATGTGTGCGACATGGCGCGACTTGCAAAACCTCAGCTTCACCAGTAGCACATTGGTTTGATACGGGAGAGGCAAAACTCAAATTCATCTCTAGACGCTGGAGGTATTGTAGGGAGTGTATGGGGCTGTTGTGAGCGTAAATCACAAATGTCAGACACATTGTGCCTTTTAATGAGTTGGTTTCTATCCATAATTGCGTTAAATTAAAGTCGTGAACAACTCGGGATGAACAACACTCGGACGGTACAAACTTCTAATATTAGCACCGCATTAAATTAAAGTCGTGAACAACTCGGGATGAACAACACTCGGACGGTACAAACTTCTAATATTAGCACCGCGTTAAATTAAAGTCGTGAACAACTCGGGATGAACAACACTCGGACGGTACAAACTTCTAATATTAGCACCGCGTTAAATTAAAGTCGTGAACAACTCGGGATGAACAACACTCGGACGGTACAAACTTCTAATATGAGCACCGCGTTAAATTAAAGTCGTGAACAACTCGGGATGAACAACACTCGGACGGTACAAACTTCTAATATGAGCGCCTCCGATGAGCACGGTTGGCTACGTATGGTGCGCAAGAAGTTCAACATACATCCATGCAATGTTGGCTGCCCTCGATCGGAATCATTCTCGACCAATTCGGTCTGGAGAAGATTTTGGTTTTAAGCTGAGGTTTAGGTTCAATTTTGGTTAGGTTTGAGTTAAGCAGGTTTGATGTTGAGATAGGAGAAATGGGAAGTCAAGAGAATACTGATGAAGAATACATAATAATACTTATTCTGTAATTGAGTATATCCTGGCCTTGAGGTTTCATGGCCTTGAAGACTATTTTCCTAAGTACATTCACTTCCGATAATTCACCGTACATGTCATTTGACAAGATACATCAAAACCCGTCACCTGACGCATTTGCCCAGTCGTGTTACCTTGTAACAACAGATCAACTGAGGACAGACGGACATAAGTTTTCGGCAGCATATTGCTCAAGAAAATACCACGTTTCACCCTAGGACTGGAAACACGACTCATGTAACTCTATAGCCCGGGTTCATGCATTAGGAAGTACACTCAGCACTAATGCTACCAGCTGAGTAATTTCACACCTCGAACTTTACACCATGAGCCAGGCGGTTGTGGCTATCCAAGTCGTCTGTAATCCAACACTGTGGAGGCGAGGGTTGGTGGATTGCACAAATGTTGTGAAACTCCCTTCCCATGGAATCAAGGTGACATACCTTGGCTCGTCAGGAGAAGGCAGTACACCAAGTGGACTCATCAGCGTCTGTTTCCATCGGTATGGAGATAGAGTGTTGCCCCCGCGCACACATTGGTTTTATCCGGGCGCTCCAATTTTCCCCCAATAATTGCCTGAAAACATCTTAAAATAATAACCCAGTGCAGGACCCTCCAAAACAAGCGTCCTATGACACGTGGTTCTTTTAGATAAATAAGGAAATAATTATAATTATTATGACAGCAAAGTTAATTGCCTCTGAACTTGAGCAATTGATTGATGATTGCCCTGTAACCAGTAAGAAAAACCATCGAGATTCATGACACTGTTGTTACTTGGAAATAGCTTCCCAATGGCTTGTTTGTTGGCTCTTCCATCCAAGATGCCTCTATGGTTGTGCCTCATTGACCTCAAGCCACAAGGCAAAACCTCGTAGTACCAGATCAAAAGCAGTATCCTGACAGTGCTCCACTCACACCGCAAACACCACTCGCTCAGACAAACTCCTCCGCCCTCTCCGCAGTGCGCTCACAACGCTGCACCGATTGCTGCTGTAACTCATCCACAGCGCAGCAGCAGTAGCAGCTGCGCCATGCCACCAGGAGCCAAGCAACCGTCCTGCTGCACAGGGCCCGGTCGCTCCCGCACACCCTGCGCGGCACTCACTTGGACAAAGCGTCCAGCTGCTCCTGCAAGAGGCGCTTCACGTCCACATGCTCCTGGTAGTCTCTGCACACGGGCGCACGGCATGGACACCATCCTGTTCAGCTAACGTATCTATAACGCTAAACGGGGTAAGTTTTGCCTGTGCGTATGTGTACGTGGGTATGCATAGGGGGGAGCGGTAGTGTACACTGCACTACGAACCCAGTAACCCGAGTGCCATTCATGCTCACAGCCAACACCAGTGACAATTATCTGAAACGTTCCTGGGCCTCCCCTAGGGTCGACTCAGCCTCAAATAAGTACCGGGTGTGGTGAGTAAACATCGCCAAGGGGGAGACAAATGCGGCTGGGCGTGGTGCTGGCCACCCACCCCCTCGTGTACTGTGCCGGCCTTCATATGTGTTCAATAAGGGCAATTGCCCAAAAAAGTCTGATAAGGCTCTAAAGGGATCTTTGTCTTCGTGGATGCGTGTGTGTGTGTGTGTGTGCAGGTGTCCGTGCAAGAATGTGTGGTGTGAGCCGGGACAGACATGTCGTCAATCTGCAGCGTGTGCCGGCAATCCCACGGCTGGTGCAGCAGGATGGCCTTCAGCGCCAGGCCGGCGCGCGGGGGCAGCAGATACGGACACCACAGCGCATCTGGAGACACGTCATTCCGCTGCTATAACAACGCTTACGACATCATTCATGTCCGCATTGCCCTGCTTACAATGGGTTGCAACGAGGAAACATAAGCATGTGTTTGGGTGTGGCACGTGCTCGCCACTTCATTCAAAACTACCGAGCATTTCCTCTTCATGCACAAGCAACATCGCTGTGATTGGCTGGAGTGAGGTCACATGGGGTTAGTGGCAGTCAAGGGCAGTGTCTTCGCAATGAGTTGAAGTGGCCGGTGTGTGTGGGGTGTGGGTAGGTGTATAAAGACAGTTTTGGTCTCAATCTTTATTTGAAGCTTTCGTGACTGCAGGAATCCATACTCACGACGTTTCGGGCACAACACAAGCGTCCGTCATCAGGGCGGTTGTGTTGCGCCCGAAACGTCGTGATTTATATTATTTTATACCTACGTGACTTTACCAAAAGAACCAAAGAGTATAGTTTTTGTCTCCTTGACTAAGATAAAAATTATACTTAGATATTTTACATGAAATTATTATTATTTTGCAATGCCTCAATTTTAGCGTTTGTGTAAATGGCAGCGCCTCTCCACTTTGTATCTGGGTTGTGGGGCCCCGTTGAGCCGGCTGCCTAGGCAAGGGTAGGCACTGACAGTGACAAGGCCTCACACCCAGCCTATGCACCCTAATAGAGGTGGCAAAGATATTGTCAGCCCTTTGTCAAACTCCCAACACTCTGTCAGTCAAGGGGTTGTTTAACACAATTTCGCCACGCTGGGGACAGCGGTTAGGAGAAAGTGGAGGGGCCAGGACTGGTCAGTACTTGTCACCGATGTGAAAATCGCTTCATAATATTCAATTGTTCATCAAGCCACAAGCAAAAAGCTTAATCGCGTAACTTGGGCTATTCGGCAGTATTTGGAGGTCAAACAAAATTAGTGCGGCAAATATTTACCATGCATCTTAAAATTGAATTGTCACGATGTGCGACAGTGTATGGACTTTTGCCAGAAGTACATTTTAATGATCTGTCTCCTCAAATAGGAAGAGGTATCCCCATTAACACAGCCAGAGAGCTGTGGATCTCTCATTCAGACCCATGAGGATCTCAAGTGGGATACTTGACATTGGAACACGTGAGATTTGAATGCAGTATGGGAGGTGATCTGGTTTGTCCTTGGGCACGAATCAAGGGCCGAATATCAAGGGAGCCCTTTTTAACATTGGGAGCTGAATCGGCAGACGACACTAAATGCTTGGATAGATAGGAAAAGAAACATAATTTGTAAGACAAGTGTGTGCACGGGGTGCATGAGGACACACTACAAAGGGTTACATACGAAATTGCTTTTGGAACATCTGTAAATTTAAAGGTACAATCGGTGAAGAGAAAGGTGGGCCTTGTCGTCATTCCTTCAAAACAGACACACCGCCCAGGGGCAGTCCTGATTTGCTCTGTCTGGGTTCAAGTGAAGCCACTGTGGACTGTAATTGTGCCCTCAAGGTGCCCGGTTAATTCATGCAATCATTGGAAAGGGCTCGCCACCAGAATGCTGTTTTTCAGGAAAGACAGGATTTAATATATATAAACATCAAGGCATGAATTGTATTCCTATTTTGTAGTCATGTTGTTCCGTCACTCAGTTGGCGATTGAGTGACTCATGTCAACTATAATGATTTTCTAGAAGGGTTAGAAGTGAACTTCGGTGCAAATAGAGTCGGGCCTGTGCTTATAACTGGACAACATCTAATCTAAACGTTCGCATTTGAGACTCTTAACGTAATAAAAACGACTACAAAAAATGTCCAGGATAAAGGCCTCCCCCATGCTGGTCAGTGGGAGGACGGAGGTTCATAAAGGTTTTTGTTTTTGAACTTGGGAGAGTTTTTATCTGGAGATTTTGAAGGGCGCAGAATCCAAACAGATAACCAAGACATCTACCTGTTCCCTCTCCTCCTCCCACCCCTATTCCCAGGTACCGGTGAGCTCCTGCTCCTCCATGCGGAATGCGGAGCCCCGGAGCGCCGTGTCGCTGACGCGCACGCAGCCGTCCTCGCACGCGAGCACCGCCTTGTCCGAGGTGCACCAGTCCACGTCGAGCACGCGCCACGCCACGCTGCGCCCACTGCGCAGGCTGCTCACCATCTTCACCTGGACCACCACATGCACACAGTAAGCACACGCTCACACAGTGAACACACTCACACAGTGAGCACACACAGTGAGCACAAACACATTGCCAACACACACGGTGAATGCACACACAGTAAACAACAACAACAACAACCGCCATTCGCCACTAAGTGGCGGTGACGTCACCGCGACGCTTGTGCCAGGCCATGTGCACCTTGAGGCCACGTGAAGTGTCGAACGCCCGCTGGCAGGAGGTCACGGGGCAGACCCAAGTGCCACGGGTCGACTGACTAAGGTGACTGAGATGACTGGCTGATGCACCACCTGTGCCCCCTACTGTGCCAACCTGCTGTGCTTTAGCCACCCGGCGCTCCGCTCGTTGTTGTGAGCGTCGCTCCTCCGACCTCCGTTGTTGTTGGAGGGCGACTGCCTCCAACTGCCCAGTAGCATCCTTCACAAGCCTCCTCCAGAGGGCGATCTTGACACCGCTGGTACCAGTCATCGGCAAGTCCACTCATCTCCACGTCCTCCTGTACCACATTACTCCATCTCTTCTCTAGCCCGTGCCACGCCCGTTTAGCCCCCTTGATTCGGCCGAACAAAAGCTGTTTCGGCACGCGGTGGCTGGGCATTCGGGCTACATGACCCAGCCAACGCAGCCTTGCCTGCCGGAGGAGCAAACCGATGGGACCTTGCCTAGATCTTTCAAGGATTTGTGAGCTCCTCACACAATCCAGCCTGGTTAAACCCAGGATGGATTGTAGGCAGGCTAGCCTAAATGTTTCTAACCGGCGAAGATGTTCCATTAGGGGGGTCCACGTTTCGCAAGCGTAGAGAAGGGAGGGAATGACCGTGGCCGAGAAGACCTGAAGCTTAGTGCGGAGCGACAGACCAGGTAGCTTCCACACAGCGTTACGCAACCGATGAAAAGATATTGCCGCTAGACTGATTCGGAGTGAGACCTCTGCTGTTAAACTGGAGCCGGTCATAAGCACACTGCCCTGGTATTGGAAACTCTCCACTCTCTCTACAACTGCCCCATCACCGATTGGGAGGTGTGGGGGTGGAGTGTCCGCTGGTACAAAATACCCAGGCAGGTGCTTAGTTTTGGTGGGGCTGATGGTAAGGCCCCATCTCTTAGTGGCACGCTCCAGTCTCAGCAGCAGCGTCTCCAACTCCTCCTCTGAATGAGCAGCTATTACCAAATCATCGGCATACATAACGTGGTTGAGCAATAGGGAGCCATCCCTTGACCGCACCCGGGCATCGATCAGCCTCCCATTATATCTGTACCAAATGGAGATTCCCCCGGTACAGCTATTGAAGGCTTCACGAACTACGTGGCCAAAATAGATGTTAAATAATGTGGGAGCCAGAGGAAATCCCTGTCGCACCCCAAGGTGTACAGGGAATGGCTCTGACTCCCGGCCACGTAGTTTTACCCAGGCCCGCTCACCATAATGAAGGTCCTTAATGATCGTGAGCAGAGGGTCAGGGACTCCAAAAGCACAAAGAACAACCCAGAGCCCAGGTCTACTGATGGTATCATTGGCCTTGTACAGGTCAATAAAGCAGAGATGTAGGTCTTGCTGGAATTCCCTACATCTCTGCTGTAGCAGACGGACAGAAAATATGGCATCTGTGCATGACCGCCCTTTCCTGAAACCGCATTGGGGCTCCGCAAGCCTCTCCTCAGCGTGCCTGGCAAGGCAATGTTGAATAATCCTTGCCAGGACCTTTCCCAGCACACTGAGGAGTGAGATGCCCCTGTAGCTTTTACAGTCTGTGCGGTCCCCCTTCCTGCGGAACCCGTCCAGTGGTCCAGACTGTTGTTATGATGTCATATAGGACAGTCTGTGCACAAACGCCACCCTCCCTCAGTATTTCGCTTGGGAGATCATCTCTGCCCAGTGCCTTTCCTGGTCTCAGACTCCGGATCGCCTTCAGTACTTCCTCAACAGATGGCACCTCAGCCAGCCACTCACAGGGGGTGACTTCCTCCAATATTTGAGGCACCGCAGCCTCAGCAGGGTCATCCCCACTTTGTGCCACGATGTTTTCCTGGCTGAGGGATTTCCCCTCCCCCAGGACCTCACGGAAATGCTCAGCAAATCTGCAAACCTGTTCCTGGGGGTCGGAGATTGGATCATCGTTTTTTTCCCCTAATGATGGTAATAGGTGTGGCGCTGCAGGTTACTTTTTTGATGGAGTTAAATAGAGATTTTGTGATGGCGGCCCACTGAGGCAGACTCCATCTCCTCAGCAACCCGCGACCACCACCCATCCTTGCAGCGCCTCACCGGCTCTCCGAACCTCCGAGCGAAGGCTGCGGTAAGCCTTCTCATTCTCTGACGTGGGATTCTGTAGCCGATGACAGTGGGGCCTGTCGCTTTTTCTCAACTATCCTGAACATCTCCTCTGTCAGCCAGGGTCTCTGGGGAGGTCTGGACCGCATACCCAAGCAGCCATTGAAACTGCATGAGTCACAGTCCTAAACCTCGCCCATTTACCCTCGACATCAGCAGGAGTGGGGGACAATGGCAACCCCAGCCGCAAGCGATAATTAAATTCTCGCTTGCAACTTTCATCAGATAACTGAGACCAGGCTACTTTAGGTTGGAATGGGGTCTGGGTGTACACCCACCACCCGAGTGGAAGAATGGCAGGGACATCTTACAGATGACTAGTCGATGGTCAGAGGGCTGATCAGCGCCACGATCAGTCTGGTGTCAAGGACATGGGCTCGCATCCGCTGGTCCGTCACTATGTAGTCCAGCAGATGTTCTTGCTTGGACCCGGCATGCATCCATGATGTGTGTTGATTGCGCGATGCCGGACCAGCGTGTTGGTAATTACACAGCCCATGGGCCTGCACAAAAATCTAGCAGCCTCCTACCGTTGTTATTGAGCTAATCTGGCCCATGCCCTCCAATCACTCCAGACCAGGTGCCAACATCATGACCAACTCGGGCATTGCAGTCACCCAACAAGATGACTCTATCCCGACGGGGCCACTTTAGCCAGCACCTGTGACAGGAGGTCATCCCTCCACAGATGTTCGTCTTCGGTGGGGGCATAAGTAACACGACCACCACTCCTCGCTCTGGTTGATGGGACCGCGAGCCAAAGTAGCCTGGGGCTTACAGCTTCCCACACCTCACCGCCCGCTCCTACGCCCCATTCATTCTTTTGTTCAAAAGAAGAGCCACACCCTGTTGTTTGGCAGTCTGCTGCCCCGAGTAGAGGACTGTCCACCCCTCATGGGTGGCAGGAGCCAGAACCGGTCCACCGGACCTCCTGAATGCCACAGAGATCCAGGGCGAGTACCGGTCCAGCTCCCGACAGAGGAGTGGCAGCCTCTCCTCCGCAGTGAACGTATCGAACATTCCACGTGGCCACACGAAGTGGCTTTTTGTTGTTTCTGGAGGAGCCCCGAGGGTAGAGATTCAATCTCCTGACTCCGCCAATTGGGGTTTTGGCCAGGAAACATCATAGACGCTTGTCCCCCGGGGCCTCTGGCACAAGCTATTAGTTACATTTTTATTCGTGGTTTCGTGGTAAAAATGTTGAAGGTGGAGGGGTTACCAGCCCCTCGCACCCATCCAGAGCCCCCGTTTAGCCACTGTGGTGGTCACAGACGCCATGAGAGGAGGGGCCAATCGGAATTGACCCTCCCCCCACAGCACTGTCCACGACCAGAGTTTCCCGTTCCGGCACCGCGAGGAGGTAGGGGGTTATTTTTCTGGACACAGTAAACACAAACAAACACACAGTGAGCTATGACCACCTTTCCTCCTTACCACGCTGTGGAGATTAATTCGCACCGTGATGGCCCCTGGGCAATGGGGCGGTAAGGCAGCAACTCCTTACAATTACCAGCCAAAGATCAGTAATATATTTATTGCCCTTGTTTTACTCAGGAAAGCCTCAATAAGTCTCCAGACGCTCTTTCAGTAGGGGCCTGCCAAATTGTTTGCAGTTGGGGGCCTTGTTTGCTGCTGTGTGCGATCCCATTTTTGGCCAGCAGCAGTCACAGTGTACGATGTTGTTTTAAGCTATCGGAGAAAACCACAGTAGACGGAAAGCAAACAAACTCCATGCAGAAAGGTGCCCGTGTCGGGAATTTAACCCAGGGGACCTCTTTCTATGAGGCCGCGAGCGTTTGCGAGGAGACATCTCGGTGTGCAATTGTCCCAGGACACACGAGGGAGCATTTTAGAAACACACTTTGAGATTATTTAGATTAATTTGCTGCTATCAATTTCTACATGATAAGCCACTTTGTGAGCGATCATTTGTGACCAGGTCGCTTCTGAAAATAAGTTAAAACCTCAGTGGGCTTTGCCTGTAGGATAAGGATGGTTTAGTTGTATTTGTATGTGTTTGGGTGATTTGTTTGTCTTTCCTGTACTTTGCACTTCGATTGTGTTTTTGTACTGTTTGTTGTTGTAACGTCCTTACCCCCCACCCCCCTACTGGATATCTGTGAAAAGAGCTTTACAGCTCATTGGATTCCTTCCAGTATAAATAAATATTCTGATTCTGAGCTGGATCTTGCTCCAGGTTCTCTGACCTGGTGCCGTGCTCGCGCGACTTGCGGGACCGAGCGCGTCAGAGGTGCGGGGGGAGGTGCGGGGGGAGTCCCCTACCTCCTTGGTGTCCCAAATCTCGATGCCGTCGTTGTACAGAACGAGGAGGCGCGAGTTCCCCTTCCCGGGAGCGAAGCGCAACCTCCGCACCCAGCCTCGGTGAGTGGGGATTCCCCTAGGAGACCACAGACACAAAGATCCCCCGCGTAGCCTTTGATAGACTGCTTGGGAAAGTGCAGTTAGCGAGCACCGATGAACGGCCGGCACTGTGCAGGAGGTGGTGGGTTTACTCACACCACACCAGGTACGCATTTTAAGGCTGAGTCAACCTATAACAGGCTCAGGACCAGTTCAGATATTTGTCACCCAATGTTCACTGAAAATCGGAATGGAACTTGGGTCGCTAGGTTCGTAGCTCAGTGGGCTCACCACTAAACTATTGCTCTCCATATTTACAAAGACACACACACGTAGACACAGACACACACACAGGAGAGTTCACGACACATATTCGGTCTGACCATTACATGACCTAACCCAAAACTCCATTATGAATCACGAAATTGGCTACGAAATCAGTCCTTGGCTTCACAAGGAGGGCAGCACCACCGGCCTGCCTGGAGTCTCGCACAAAGCCAGCACAGTGGAAGTGGGGGGAAGAGTAAGGGGAGAGAAGGGGAGAGTAGGGAGGAAAAGTGGGGGGGGAGAGTGAGGGGAGAGTTGGGGGGGGTAGAGCAGGGAGAGAGCAGGAGGGAGAGTAGGAGGGGAAAGTAGGGGGGAGAGTAGGGAGGAAAGTAGGAGGGGAGAGTAGGAGGGGAGAGTAGGGGGAAAAAGCGGGGGGGAGAGTGGAGGGGAGAGTGGGTGGGGGGGGGTAGGGTAGAGCAGGGGGAGAGTAGGAGGGGAGAGTAGGAGGGGAGAGTAGGAGGGAGAGTAGGGGGAGAGAGTAGGGGGGGAGTATAAGTGCCCACTACTGATCGCACCACTCACCTGGACAGCTTCGCCTTCAGGTCCCAGAAGTTGAGGTTTCCATCCGAGTCACCGAGCACCAGAAACATCTCCCTTCCAGGCAATTGCTGCTGATGGCTGCCCATGCTGGCCTGGGTTGCAGTACAAGGAATCAGGGACAGGGAATTATGAAGGGTAGAGGCCAAGGTCAGGGTCATTGGTATCGTCCGTGCTTTTGTGAAGGTGAAATGTGTGACAGTGAGATGACTGGATGAGTTTTGCTGTGGTGCTATGCGAGTGTGATACTGTGAGAGTAACAGTGTATGTGGTAGGCATGATACTGTGTGTAAGTGGCACTGCGTATGTCATTGTGTGTCACCGTGTCTTTTTCACTGTGCTACGAACCTGGAAACCTGAGTTCGATTCCCGCTGTGTGGGTGAGTGTCACTGTGTGTGCCCTCACATCGGGGGGGATGCGTGCCCCCTCCTTGACGCTCGTGCCCTCCACGGTGAAGTGGTAGATGACTCCATTGGAGTCGGTGAACACAAAGTGTTCACGCGCGCACACAGTCGCCCCCTGTTCCGCCTTGCTCTCCGCGTCCTGCAGAAGACTACCCACACCACGAATACACACAACCCACATCACAACTACACGCCAACTGCACACACTACTACCCCCACCCACACCACGACTATACACGCCACTACTAAACACCACCCACCCCTCTGCTACACCCATACAACAATCCATGGCCAACCGCGGGGGTTACCTTTCTAAAAACCGCCATGGTTGGCAAAACCGCCGTGATTGGCAATACTCAGGCCTTATGGGGAATCGGGGGTTAGGGCAACCGCGGTCGTGATCACACTCGTCAAAGCCTAAGTTGCCTTCACTAAACACAAATAAAATAGACAATCACATAATAAAAACAATAAATGAACAAATAACATAATTAAAAACAATACATTTATGTTATTTACTTTTAATACTGAGGGTTGCCGTCCATGGTGATGACGATGACATTGATGAGGATGAGTTAATGGGGGCAGTGGTTGTTAGAAGGAAGAGGAAGGGCTTTGCCCACCCTAGACCTCCACCTGGTGGTGGGAAGAGAGCGGTGGTGGGTGCTGGGAGATGAGACGATGCACGGAGGGAGGGAGCTGGGAGATGAGCCGATGCATGGAGCTGGTAATGAGATGATGCACGGGATTTGTAATGACAACTGATGGTCTCTGTGCTCAACCGCGGACACACAAAACTCCATACCACAGTTAACAAATTGGTATACCGAAGGAAAACCATTGATACATAAATACCACGAATGAAAAAAAACGCGGTTGGTGAGGGACTGCTGTACAACAACAACAACCGCCATTCGCCACTAAGTGGCGGTGACGTCACCACGATGCTTGTGCCAGGCCATGTGCTCCCTGAGGCCACGTGAAGTGTCGAACACCCGCTGGCAGGAGGTCACAGGGCAGACCCAGGTGCCACGGATCGACTGACTGAGATGACTGGCTGATGCACCACCTTTGCCCCCTACTGTGCTCTGCTCGTTGTTGCGAGCGTCGCTTATCCGCCCTCTGTTGTTGTTGTAGGGCGACTACCTCCAACTGCCCAGTAGCGTCCTTCACGAGCCTCCTCCACAGAGGCTGATCTTGACACCGCTGGTACCAGTCATCGGCAAGTCCACTCAGCTCCACGTCCTCCTGTACCACATCACTCCATCTCTTCTCTAGCCCGTGCCGCGCCCGTTTAGCCCCCTAAATCCGGCCGAACAAAAGCTGTTTCGGCATGCGGTGGCTGGGCATGCGGGCTACATGACCCAGCCATCGTTGCCTTGCCCGCCGGAGGAGCTCACCGATGGGACCTTGCCCAGATCTTTCAAGGATTTGTGAGCTTCTCACACAATCCAGTCTGGTTAAACCCAGGATGGATCGTAGGCAGGCCAGCCTAAATGTTTCTAACCGGCAAAGATGTTCCATTAGGGGGGTCCACGTTTCGCAAGCTGTACAACACACACCACGACCTACACCCCACCCACCCCAATACAATACAACTATCATTCATAATAACCACAGTAGCCACAGCTCAAACACACCAATAGCATCGACCACATATATGTGACCGAGTGTATTGTTCTGGTTGTAGTGGTGTTGTGGTTGTGGGTATAGTGGTTGCCATGTATGCATGTTTGTGGTTGCTGTAGTGTGTGCTTGTGCTTGTACTGTGTATGGTTATGGTGATTGCTACAGTGTGTGGTTGTAGTGTGTATGGCTGTGGTGGTTGCTGTAGTGTGTGTTTGTAATGTGTATGGTTGTGGTGGTTGCTGCAGTGTGTGGTTGGAGTGTGTATGGTCATGACAGTGGTTGCTGTCGTGTATGATTGTGGTTGTAGCGTGTATAGTTGTGGCCATGGTTGTCGCTGTAGTGTGTGGCTGGAGCGTGTACGGTTCATGGTGGTGGCTGTAGCGTGTGGTTGTGGTTGGAACATGTATGGTTGTGGTGGTGGTGGCGATTGCTCGCCTGATGAGCGAGGGTTGCAGGGAGCCGGTCTCCCCATCGGTCACGCTCGTTTGCCGCGCCATCGCCTCCCGCGCCGCCAGTTGCTTCTTGCGCAGGGTGCGCAGGTTGTGAGAGGGGGACCACTCCTGTGGAGGGCGGCACGGGCGGGGAGCGCAACCTGGAGTGGGTGACGAAATCACGCGAAGCCTGCGTGCAACAATCACCTCCCCACCGTGACTGTGCGATGCGTGCGGAAGGTTTTTCCACCAAATAGGGACGGCCTCAGTCCAGCACGCCTGAGCATGGGACACACGTTCATTGATGTCACCGTCGCTACGATGGATGGCCCATTACCCTTACAGAGTATGTGCGTGCGTGCGTGCGAGAGTGGCCCTGCTCACCAGGGCCGTGACGGCCGGGAAGGTCTTGGGCATCTCGCGCAGCAAGGCGCCCGTGCGCTACGTCCCACAGCTCGACGGGCTTGTCGCGGAACGCCACAAATCAGATACTGCCTACGGCACCACACACAGCCGCACACAGCCACACACAAGCCATGAGCAGCCGCACACAGCCGCACACAGCCACACACAGCCGCGTCATGGCTCCACGTCAAGCGCTGACGATACGGACGCTTCCGGCATTATCGGAAAGTCAAATGCTTGAGACTGTGGGTGAACAATAGATTAACTTAAATTAACCCAGTAGTTTCTAAATCTAAGACTCCGCTGGCCCAAAGCGCTCCATTTGACAATATCCCGCGTGTAAGGAGGCCACACAGGAGGACAGAGGAAACCACCGGAGACTCCAACACGCGTTTAGAGTATTTGGCTGCTATAAAGTTCCACATGATAAGCCACTTCGTTCAGCTATCATCTGTGGCCAGGTTGCTTCTTTAAAAGAGCTATATAGCTCAGTGGGCCGTATCTGGGGAAATAAAAATAGTTTAGAAATTGGGACAGGTGATTCCACACTGCATTGGGGGGGCTACGGTGACGAAATGTAAACTACCTCGTCTGGTATACAGGAGTTCGTGGGTTCGAGACCAACCCTGACGGCTGCTGTATATTTGGAGTTTGCGTGTTTCTCTCCCGTGGTTGTGTGGAAATTTTTCTCCGGGTCCTCCAGTTTTTCCCTCGACATTTAAAAACATGCCTTTAAGAGTATTTGGCTCATATAAATGCCCACGTGACAATAGGCCCATTGAGCTATCATCTGTGGCCAAGTCGCTTCTGAAAAAGACGGATGTAGCTCAGTGGGCCTTACCTGATAACATAAAAAAATAGTTTAGTTTTAGTTTAAACAACATTGTCTGGAGCAGAGCTCTCGTGACGTGATATGAAAGCACGAGCGGACGTGTTCATCGGCCTGTGCCGGGTGCGGGAGGCGGCGGCGGTGGTGCTGGGACTCACTTGAGGTGGGAGATCTTGATCATGTCGATGGGAGGCTCATCGTTCCCCCTCTCGCCGCGGAACGGCGTGCTCCGCCCTGCACACGACCACCACGCAGCGCCATCACAGAGCGGTCGCGAGCTGGCACTGCGTTCAAGTGCCGCCAGTGCCCTTGAACGCAAGCCACAATTCACCGCATAACCCCTCTTCTCTGGCGCGTACTGCGTCCGTTTATCCTCCGCTATTTGGCCTGCTTCATCACATGATGGCTTAGCGTTGGGGACGCGTGACCAAGCATCCTCACCTGCCAAAGTATTTCACGTGCCAGAGCAGCTCACACAATCCTATATGGGTAAACCCGGCACGGACCATATGAAGGTCAGCCTGGATTGTTTCCAGCGGGTGTAGGTGTAACTGGAATGGAATCCCATGATTTTGTAAGCATTTTTGTCAGAATGACAGATCAGGCAACCTAATACAGTGTTATGCAGCTAGTGAAATGTTGATTCTGCTAATGTGATTTGGACTTCTGCCACCAAACCAAAGCTGGCGATGGGCACTCCACAGGTGCAGGAACTCTTCTACCGTCGGACTGCATAAAGTCTTGGATGGCACAAAATACCCAGGCACGTGTTCCGTTTTAATGGGGGTAATGGTAAAGACCCCATCTCTTTGTGGCAAGCTTCAGGATCAATAACATGATCTCTGATGCCTTCTCAGAATGGAGAGCAATCACCCAGCCACTGACAAGGTAAATGACAATCATCGCGTGATTGTACCATATAGGGAGCCATGCCTTAATCACATTATGACATTAAGCAACCTCCAACTATAACTGCATGGAACAAAACAACCACCAACACAGCCATGAAGGCAGAGTACATGGTTAAACTAATTTGTAAAATCTATAGGAGCAGCAGCAGCAAACATCACTGCTGCTCCTATTGGCGTGACACACCCTGACCCCTGAGCCTGCCAAACCTGTCAGTGTCCCTCATGTTTGTGAGCGAGGGCTATGGAAACCTGAGGACCAAAAATAAAGATTCAGAGCCCCTGAAACGTGTTCTTCGTGGCTTTGAACGACTTGGCTAGATCAATGTGAGATAGATAGAGGATGGGCCGGTCCTGTGATCTTCTGCTAAGATTTTCCAGATCCACATGGCCTCGAAGTGCACCTAGCCCGGCATGTATGCATGTGCGTATCGGTGTGTTGCTTAATGTGTTGCAATCGTGTCGATGCAAGTACCCATGTGTGCATGTGTTTTTGTGTGTACCTGTAGACATGTCCACCAGTTGAAGTTCATTGCGAACCAAGCCCATGTTATTAGGGGTGGAGCTGGCGTGGGACAGGAATGACGTCAGGCTCACCCACTCAATACCCCTGCGCACACAGAGGCACACACAGGCACAGACACAAAGATAAAAGACAAAGATCCCCCATATAGCCTTAACAGACTGTAGGGGCAAGTGCTGTTAGCGAGCACCTATGAAGGCCGGAACGATACACGAGGGGGTGGGTGGCCAGCACCACGCCCGACCGCCTTTGTCTCCCTAGTGGCAATGTTTACACCACCGCACCAGGTACTCATTGAGGCTGAGTCGACCTAGGGGAGGCCTGTGACCGGTTCAGATAATCGTCACTGGTGTTGGCCGTGAGCGGGAATCGAACCCGGGTCGCCAGGTTCATAGCGCAGCGCGCTAACCGCTACACTATCGCTCCCCACACAGACACACACACAGAGGCACACACAGGCACAGACACACACACAGAGGCAATCACAGGCACAGACACACACAGAGGCACACACAGGCACAGACACACACACAGAGGCACACACAGGCACAGACACACACACAGAGGCACACACAGACACATACACACACAGAGGCACACACAGGCACAGACACACACACACAGAGGCACACACAGGCGCAGGCACACACACAGAGGCACACACAGGCGCAGGCAAACAAAGACACACACAGACAAACACACACATACACACAAAGGCAAAAAAGACAAAGATCCCCCGTATAGCCTTAACAGACTGTTGGATCAAGCGCTGTTAGCGAGCTCCTATGAAGGTCAGCACAGCACACGAGGGGGTGGGTGGCCAACACCACGCCTGGCTGCCTTTGTCTCCCCAGTGGCGATGTTTACACATCGCACCAGGTACTAATTTGAGGCTGTACAAAGACATACAGGCACACATACACACAATATATGAGTGCTGGCTTCTGTGATTAATGTTCTTTATCTGCCGAGTGTGCTGGACAATGTGCGTGTGTGAGTTGTCAGTTTACTCTCTGTGTGTGGGCTTACTTTGTGCTGCAGGTTCTGCCAACTGCGTGTTGAGTACATACCGAGTTTAGTTTTGATTGGCCTATTTGTGTGCTTCGTATGTTAAGTGTTTGGTGTTGTGTGTGCCATGTGATGATGTGTGTTGTGTAGGTACAGTGGACACTGTGTGTTTTGACTGTGCTGAATGTGTGTGGTGTGTTATGAATATGCGGAGAACAATGTGTGTTGGGTGTGACTGAAGTGCAATACACGACGAACTCGGCGACCCAAGTTCATTCCCGCCCCTGGCCAACGTCCGTCATGGGCCTTGCCTAGGTCAACTCAGCTTCAAACTAGTACTGTATGTGGCGTGGAAACATCACCATTGGGGAGACGTAAGTGGACGAACGTGACGACACCACCTTCACTTGTGTTATTCCGGCCTTAATAGGTGCTCCCTAACAGCACTTGCCCCAACATTCTGAGTCATTGTCTTGTCGTGACTCCCCGTGTGGCGCACAGGGTGACGCCACGTCCGACTCCGCGTGTTAGTCCGCGTGTTAGTCCACGTGCTCACGTACCGGACCTCACAGGTGTGCACACTGAACTCCTTGTAGAGCAGCCCGCTGGTGAGATGGTAAACCAGCACCGAGCCGCTACTCGTGCCTACAGCACACAGCAACCACAACACCGCATCACTACACCACATAGCCACCACTACACCTCACCACTACAGCACACAGCCACCACTACACCTCACCACTACAGCACACAGCCACCACTACACCTCACCACTACACCACATAGCCACCACAACACCGCATCACTACACCACATAGCCACCACAACACCGCATCACTACAGCACATAGCCACCACAACACCTCACCACTACAGCACACAGCCACCACAACACCTCACCACTACAGCACATAGCCACCACTACACCTCACCACTACAGCACACAGCCACCACTACAACAGCACACAGCCACCACAACACCTCATCACTACACCACATAGCCACCACAACACCGCATCACTACACCACATAGCCACCACAACACCGCATCACTACAGCACATAGCCACCACTACACCTCACCACTACAGCACACAGCCACCACAACACCTCACCACTACAGCACATAGCCACCACTACAACAGCACACAGCCACCACAACACCTCATCACTACACCACATAGCCACCACAACACCTCACCACTACAGCACACAGCCACCACAACACCTCACCACTACAGCACATAGCCACCACTACACCTCACCACTACAGCACACAGCCACCACTACAACAGCACACAGCCACCACAACACCTCATCACTACACCACATAGCCACCACAACACCGCATCACTACACCACATAGCCACCACAACACCGCATCACTACAGCACATAGCCACCACTACACCTCACCACTACAGCACACAGCCACCACAACACCTCACCACTACAGCACATAGCCACCACTACAACAGCACACAGCCACCACAACACCTCATCACTACACCACATAGCCACCACAACACCGCATCACTACAGCACATAGCCACCACAACACCTCACCACTACAGCACATAGCCACCACTACACCTCACCACTACAGCACACAGCCACCACAACACCTCACCACTACAGCACATAACCACCACTACACCTCACCACTACAGCACATAGCCACCACAACACCTCACCACTACAGCACATAACCACCACTACACCTCACCACTACACCACATAGCCACCACTACACCACATAGCCACCACAATACCTCACTACTACAGCACATAGCCACCACTACACCTCACCACTACAGCACATAGCCACCACTACAACAGCACACAGCCACCACAACACCTCATCACTACACCACATAGCCACCACTACACCTCACCACTACAGCACATAGCCACCACTACACCTCACCACTACAGCACACAGCCACCACTACAACAGCACATAGCCACCACTACACCTCACCACTACAGCACATAGCCACCACTACACCTCACCACTACAGCACACAGCCACCACAATACCTCACCACTACACCACACAGCCACCACAACACCTCACCACTACACCACATAGCCACCACAACACCTCACCACTACACCACACAGCCACCACAACACCTCACCACTACAGCACACAGCCACCACTACACCTCACCACTACAGCACATAGCCACCACTACACCTCACCACTACAGCACATAGCCACCACAACACCTCACCACTACACCACATAGCCACCACTACACCTCACCACTACACCACATAGCCACCACTACACCTCATCACTACACCACATAGCCACCACTACACCTCATCATTCCACCACATAGCCACCACAACCACCTCACCACTACAGCACACAGCCACCACCACAATAGCACACAGCCACCCACTACACCTCACCACTACACCACATAGCCACCACAACACCTCACCACTACAGCACATAGCCACCACAACACCTCACCACTACAGCACATAGCCACCACTACACCTCACACTACAGCACATAGCCACCACTACACCTCACCACTACAGCACATAGCCACCACTACACCTCACCACTACAGCACACAGCCAACACAAACACCTCACCACTACAGCACATAACCACCACTACACCTCACCACTACACACATAGCCACCACAACACCTCACCACTACAGCACATAACCACCACTACACACTCACCACTACACCAACATAGCCACCACAACACCACATAGCCACCACAACACCTCACCACTACAGCACATAGCCACCCACTACACCTCACCACTACAGCACATAGCCACCACTATCAACAGCACACAGCCACCACAACACCTCATCACTACACCAACATAGCCACCACTACACCTCACCACTACAGCACATAGCCACCACTACACCTCACCCACTACACCACACAGCCACCACAACACCTCACCACTACAGCACACAGCCACCACAACACCTCACCACTACAGCACACAGCCACCACAACACCTCACCCACTACAGCACACAGCCACCACTACACCTCACCACTACAGCACATAGCCACCACTACCACCTCACCACTACAGCACATCAGCCACCACAACACCTCACCACTTACACTACATAGCCACCACTACAACCTCACCACTACACCACATAGCAACCACAACACCTCTCAACTACACCACATAGCCACCACTACACCTCATCACTACACCCACATAGCCACCACAACACCTCACCACTACAGCACACAGCCACCACCACAACAGCACACAGCCACCACTACACCTCACCACTACACCACATAGCCACCACAACACCTCACCACATACAGCACATAGCCACCACAACACCTCACCACTACAGCACATAGCCACCACTACACCTCACCACTACAGCACATAGCCACCACTACACCTCACCACTACAGCACATAGCCACCACAACACCTCACCACTACACCACATAGCCACCACTACACCTCACCACTACAGCACATAGCCACCACACCTCACCACTACAGCACATAGCCACCACTACACCTCACCACTACAGCACATAGCCACCACTACAACAGCACATAGCCCACCACAACACCTCATCACTTCACCCACATAGCCACCACTACACCTCACCACTACAGCACATAGCCACCACTACACCTCACCACTACAGCACACAGCCACCACTACAACAGCACATAGCCACCACTACACCTCACCACTACAACACATAGCCACCACTACACCTCACCACTACAGCACACAGCCACCACAACACCTCACCACTACACGACACAGCCACCACAACACCTCACCACTAAACCACATAGCCACCATAACACCTCACCACTACACCACACAGCCACCACAACACCTCATCACTTCACCACATAGCCACCACTACACCTCACCACTACAGCACATAGCCACCACTACACCTCACCACTACAGCACACAGCCACCACTACAACAGCACATAGCCACCACTACACCTCACCACTTACAACACATAGCCACCACTACACCTCACCCACTACAGCACACAGCCACCACAACACCTCACCACTACACCACACAGCCACCACAACACCTCACCACTACACCACATAGCCACCACAACACCTCACCACTACACCACACAGCCACCACAACACCTCACCACTACAGCACACAGCCACCACTACACCCTCACCACTACAGCACATAGCCACCACTACACCTCACCACTACAGCACATAGCCACCACAACACCTCACCACTACACCACATAGCCACCACTACACCTCACCACTACACCACATAGCCACCACTACACCTCATCACTACACCACATAGCCACCACTACACCTCATCATTCCACCACATAGCCACCACAACACCTCACCCCTACAGCACACAGCCACCACCACAACAGCACACAGCCACCACTACACCTCACCACTACACCACATAGCCACCACAACACCTCACCACTACAGCACATAGCCACCACAACACCTCACCACTACAGCACATAGCCACCACTACACCTCACCACTACAGCACATAGCCACCACTACACCTCACCACTACAGCACACAGCCACCACAACACCTCACCACTACAGCACATAACCACCACTACACCTCACCACTACAGCACATAGCCACCACAACACCTCATCACTACAGCACATAACCACCACTACACCTCACCACTACACCACATAGCCACCACTACACCACATAGCAACCACAACACCTCACCACTACAGCACATAGCCACCACTACACCTCACCACTACAGCACATAGCCACCACTACAACAGCACACAGCCACCACAACACCTCATCACTACACCACATAGCCACCACTACACCTCACCACTACAGCACATAGCCACCACTACACCTCACCACTACACCACACAGCCACCACAACACCTCACCACTACAGCACATAGCCACCACTACACCTCACCACTACAGCACACAGCCACCACAACACCTCACCACTACAGCACACAGCCACCACAACACCTCACCACTACAGCACACAGCCACCACTACACCTCACCACTACAGCACATAGCCACCACTACACCGCACCACTACAGCACATAGCCACCACAACACCTCACCACTACACCACATAGCCACCACTACACCTCACCACTACACCACATAGCCACCACAACACCTCATCACTACACCACATAGCCACCACTACACCTCATCACTACACCACATAGCCACCACAACACCTCACCACTACAGCACACAGCCACCACCACAACAGCACACAGCCACCACTACACCTCACCACTACACCACATAGCCACCACAACACCTCACCACTACAGCACATAGCCACCACAACACCTCACCACTACAGCACATAGCCACCACTACACCTCACCACTACAGCACATAGCCACCACTACACCTCACCACTACAGCACATAGCCACCACACCTCACCACTACACCACATAGCCACCACTACACCTCACCACTACAGCACATAGCCACCACACCTCACCACTACAGCACATAGCCACCACTACACCTCACCACTACAGCACATAGCCACCACTACAACAGCACATAGCCACCACAACACCTCACCACTACAGCACATAGCCACCACTACAACAGCACATAGCCACCACAACACCTCATCACTACACCACATAGCCACCACTACACCTCACCACTACAGCACATAGCCACCACAACACCTCACCACTACACCACATAGCCACCACTACACCTCACCACTACAGCACATAGCCACCACACCTCACCACTACAGCACATAGCCACCACTACACCTCACCACTACAGCACATAGCCACCACTACAACAGCACATAGCCACCACAACACCTCATCACTACACCACATAGCCACCACTACACCTCACCACTACAGCACATAGCCACCACTACACCTCACCACTACAGCACACAGCCACCACTACAACAGCACATAGCCACCACTACACCTCACCACTACACCTCACCACTACAGCACATAGCCACCACTACACCTCACCACTACAGCACACAGCCACCACAACACCTCTCCACTACACCACACAGCCACCACAACACCTCACCACTACACCACATAGCCACCACAACACCTCACCACTACACCACACAGCCACCACAACACCTCACCACTACAGCACACAGCCACCACTACACCTCACCACTACAGCACATAGCCACCACTACACCTCACCACTACAGCACATAGCCACCACAACACCTCACCACTACACCACATAGCCACCACTACACCTCACCACTACACCACATAGCCACCACTACACCTCATCACTACACCACATAGCCACCACTACACCTCATCATTCCACCACATAGCCACCACAACACCTCACCACTACAGCACACAGCCACCACCACAACAGCACACAGCCACCACTACACCTCACCACTACACCACATAGCCACCACAACACCTCACCACTACAGCACATAGCCACCACAACACCTCACCACTACAGCACATAGCCACCACTACACCTCACCACTACAGCACATAGCCACCACTACACCTCACCACTACAGCACACAGCCACCACAACACCTCACCACTACAGCACATAACCACCACTACACCTCACCACTACACCACATAGCCACCACTACACCTCATCACTACACCACATAGCCACCACTACACCTCATCATTCCACCACATAGCCACCACTACACCACATAGCCACCACAACACCTCACCACTACAGCACATAGCCACCACTACACCTCACCACTACAGCACATAGCCACCACTACAACAGCACACAGCCACCACAACACCTCATCACTACACCACATAGCCACCACTACACCTCACCACTACACCACACAGCCACCACTACACCTCACCACTACAGCACATAGCCACCACTACACCTCACCACTACAGCACATAGCCACCACAACACCTCACCACTACACCACATAGCCACCACTACACCTCACCACTACAGCACATAGCCACCACACCTCACCACTACAGCACATAGCCACCACTACACCTCACCACTACAGCACACAGCCACCACAACACCTCACCACTACAGCACACAGCCACCACAACACCTCACCACTACAGCACACAGCCACCACTACACCTTACCACTACAGCACATAGCCACCACTACACCTCACCACTACAGCACATAGCCACCACAACACCTCACCACTACACCACATAGCCACCACTACACCTCACCACTACACCACATAGCCACCACAACACCTCATCACTACACCACATAGCCACCACTACACCTCATCACTACACCACATAGCCACCACAACACCTCACCACTACAGCACACAGCCACCACCACAACAGCACACAGCCACCACTACACCTCACCACTACACCACATAGCCACCACAACACCTCACCACTACAGCACATAGCCACCACAACACCTCACCACTACAGCACATAGCCACCACTACACCTCACCACTACAGCACATAGCCACCACTACACCTCACCACTACAGCACATAGCCACCACACCTCACCACTACACCACATAGCCACCACTACACCTCACCACTACAGCACATAGCCACCACACCTCACCACTACAGCACATAGCCACCACTACACCTCACCACTACAGCACATAGCCACCACTACACCTCATCACTACACCACATAGCCACCACAACAACAGCACACAGCCACCACAACACCTCATCACTACAGAACATAGCCACCACAACACCTCACCACTACACCACATAGCCACCACAACACCTCACCACTACACCACATAGCCACCACCACACCTCACCACTACACCACATAGCCACCACAACAACACACAGCCACCACAACACCTCACCACTACAGCACACAATACCACACTACTACTACAACACACAACATACTACAGCATTCACCATGGGGTGAGGGCAACACCAGCATGGCATCTGTGCCAGGCTAGGTGTATGCTGGTCATGTAGAATAGTTGGGCCCACAGGCAGCAGGTCAGTGGACCAACTCAGGTGCTGTCGGTTTGTGGACATCAGTGGCCAATGACCACATCAGCTCAGCCCCCCACTGCCTCACATGTAAGCAGCTGATTTGCTCAAACATTACTTTTGAGTACATGATACTTAAACTACAGCACTAAAGATACTCATTTGTAGCCTGCAGGCTTTCTGGTAATGAATCATATACTGGAAAAAATGTTTTCACGGGTGCTGGTTCCTCATTTCAACAGGTTAAGGGGGTGACCTGTCTGGACTCAAGCGTAGCCTCCACCACCTTTGGTGAAGGTAAGGGGTTCAGGGCGACAGTAAAGTTCCCGTGTGCGAATGGGTGGGGTGCAGTGATGGAATGGTCAGTGCACTGCGCTTTGAACCCGGCGAGCCGAGTTCGATTCCCGCTCACAGCCAACATCGGTGATAAAAATCCGAACCGGTCCTGGGCTTCATTGTAAATGAGCACCTCGTGCGGTGTGTAAAGATCGGCACTGGAAAGACAAAGGAGGCCGGGCGTGGTGCTGGCCACCCACCCCCTCGTGTGCCGTGCCAGCCCTCATAGGTGCTCACTAACAGCACTTGCCCCAAACAGTCTGTTAAAGGCTACACGGGGGATCTTTGTTTTTGGGCGGCGTGCACGTGTGCGAGCACGTGCACGTGTCCGTGTGTGCATCATACCGACGGCCAGCAGGGGCTGGTACTGCTCCAGGTTCTTGGTGGTGAGTGGGGGGCACATGCGCAGCACAAACGGCGGGGGCGGCAGGCCGGAGAGCAGCCCCGTGAGCAGGAAGCGCAGGGAAACTTCCTGCTGCGGACCCGGCGGCCTTGCGGAGCGCTCGTCCGCAAACACCAGGCACTGGCCTGCAGCGGCGGCACATGAAGCCACAGTGTGGCAGCCTCACACACGGCGCTTGGCAACACGAGAGGGTTGACTAAACTACAAAAGAAATGTTTTAACCAGGTAAGGTCCACTGAGCTGTATAGATTTTTTGCAGAAGTGTCCCTACTATCACAAATGATAGCTCAAAGAAGTGGCTTGTCATGTGGTCATTTATAGCAGCCAAATACTCGAAACGCATGTTTCTCAATGTGGAGTGAAAAAAGAGGACCTGGAGAAAAATCCACGAGGCCACGGGGAGAGAGACACGCAAACTCCAAATATAAAGGCATCAGGGTCAGGATCGAACCCAGAACCTCCTGTATACCAGGCGAGGTAGTTAACTCTCGCAGGCAGGATCGACACATAGGGTTGAACTACGAGCACCTCACGGTGCAAACATTAACATCACTATAATTTCAACTTGTCAAAGGGCTTCGCTCACTTGCGGAGCGAGAGAGAGACCGACTCAGAGGCGCGAGGAACCAGACAAGCAGGAGGGCAGCCTAGTGGTGAGCTGGTACCAAAAATTGTCCAAGCTCTGCAGCCCTCTATATATTGAGGTGTTATCGGCCAATTAATGGGTGTGTACATGTGGGAGGAAACCGGAGTGCCTGGAGACACCTCACACATGTGAGGGAAGAAACGCTCTATCCCATACAGACAGCACAGGTGGGGTCCGCACATTTGCTATACTGCTGGTGGCGAGCCAGGGGAGGGCAACTTCTCGACATCCACGGGAAGGAAGTTTCACAAGATGTGTGCGATCCACAAATCCTCGCTGCCTCCGCACTGCTGGATTACAGGCCACGTGCGTCACCATCACCCGGCTTTCAAGCCTTTATTTTCGCAAGTTACATTTTAGAGGGCAAAGCATGGAGGATTCTCCAGCTTACAACAAGTTCCACATTTCATAAGAACCGCATGTATAACCAAGCGCGGAAGCTGTGCTTCTCCAGTGAGGCAGCTGCACAGCAGCAGCTCACCGGCTCGCACTGCGCGCGTCTCCTGGCATGTTACAGAACGCGACACCACGTGGACGGCACTCAATGTGGAGGCAGCTTACAAAGCAAAATGTCACGAGCACCAAGATTGTAAAAAAGCTACAGGTACGAGGCGAATGGGTTTGTGCCGTGTGCTATGCCGTTGTGTGCTGCTGCTGTGTGCTATGCGGCTGTGTGGTATGCTGCTGTGTGCTGCCGCGGTGTGCTATGCCGCTGTGTGCTATGCTGCTGTGTGCACCGCTGTGTGCTATGCTGCTGTGTGCTGTGTGCTATGACACCGAGTGCTGCGTCTGTGTGCTATGCTGCTGTGTGCTGTGTGCTATGACACCGAGTGCTGCGTCTGTGTGCTATGCCGCTGTGTGCTATGCTGCTGTGTGCTGTGTGCTATGACACCGAGTGCTGCTTCTGTGTGCTATGCTGCTGTATGCTGCTGTACCAAAGGCGCTGTCGAGGGAAAGATCCGGCAGCGAGGGGGTGCATGGCCCAGCAAGTGCCCCGCAGAAGGAGAGCGGAGACAGCAGCTGAGAGGAGCCACCCTGACCACAGCTACACCAGCACACACACAAACACAAAGATACCCCGTGGAGCCTTAACGGACTGTTAGGGCAAGTGTTGTTAGCGAGCACCTGTGATGGCTGGCACGGCACATGAGGGGGTGGTTGGCCAACACCACGCCTGGCCACCTTTGTCTCCCCAGTGGTGATGTTCACACACCACACCAGGTACTCATTTGAGGCCGAGTCGATTTAGGGAAGGCCCAGGACCGGTTCAGATGACCGTCACCGGTCTTGGCTGTGAGCGGGAATCGAACTTGGATTACTGGGTTAGTAGCGCAGTGCGCTAACCGATACACCAACACACATACACGAGCACAGACACACAAGCACAGAGGTACACGAACACAAGGCTCAGTACAAATCTAGAATAATAGATAAGTACAGAAATAGCTAACCCCGCACTCAGCTACCCCAGAATAAAGTAAACTAGCGGAGCTGCTCCTGCGATAAGTGTCTCAATGTTCTGGCCACCCCACAGCGTGCACACCCTCAGCACGTCAGGCCACAAGAAACGACCACAGCTCCCAGGTCTATTGTTCAGAGCAGAGGCTTACGGTACGCTCGATGAGAGGGTAATGTTACCAAGCAAACCAGGTTCAATCTGACAAACTTGAATTCGCAAAACTGTATAGGTCCTTCTGTTCATACAACTGAAAACAATAAAAAAGTGTCAACTGGATAACTTTATTGCCTATTGCACTTTTAGGGAGGGGATCCCCCGACTCCCACGTACACCTTAACCCCACGTACCATCACCCAGCGTGCCCTCGCCCCCACGTACCATCACCCAGCGTACCCTCGCCCCCACGTACCATCACCCAGCGTACCTTCGCCCCCACGTACCATCACCCAGCGTGCCCTCGCCCCCACGTACCATCACCCCCACGTACCATCACCCCCACGTACCCGCGTGTGGCGTGCAGCTCCCACACGAGAAGGCGTCCGTCGCTCACCAGCATTGCCGCCGCATTCTCCCCCACGGGGCAGCAGCCCAGCGCCATGGGGCGCACCGTCTTGGTGACGCGCACCGCGTCCGACTGACAGCGCAGCTCGTACACCACGTCCGCAGACACACAGTCCACCTCTATGCACACAGCAACGCAAAACACATAGTGACACAACACACACAGTGACACAACACACACAGTGACACAACACACACAGTGACACAACACACACAGTGACACAACACACATAGTGACACAACACACACAGTGACACAACACACACAGTGACACAACACACACACAGTGATACAATACACACACACGGTGACACAACACACACATTGACAACACACAGCGAAGCACACACACAGCGACGCACACACACAGACGCACACATACACACAGCGACGCACACACACAGCACAACACACACAGCGATGCAACACACAGCGACGCACACACACAGCGACGCACACACACAGATGCACACACACAGCGACGCACACACACAGCACACCACACACAGCGATGCAACACACACACATAGTGATACAACGCGCGCACACACACACGGTCACACAACACACACAGCGATGCAACGCACACAGCGACGCAACACACAGCGACCCACACACGCACACAGTACACCACACACACACAAAGCGGCGCAAAACACACACAGTGACGCAACACACACAGCGACACACACACACAGCGATGCACACACAAAGTACACCATACACACACGGATACGCAGCACACACAGTGACACACACACACAGTGACACACACAGTGACACAATACACACAGGGATGCACACACAAAGTGACACAACAAACACAGCGATGCTACACACAGCGATGCAACACACACACAGTGATGCACACACAGTACATCACACAAAGCGACGCAACACACACACACAGTGATACAACGCACACACACACACGATGACACAACACACACGGTGAAAATGCACAGTGACGCAACACACACACAGCGACGCACAAAGTGACACCACACACACACACACAGTGACGCAACACACACACAGCGACGCAACACACACACAGCGACGCAACACACACACAGTGATACAACGCACACACACACATGGTGACACAACACACACAATGACAATGCACAGCGACGCAACACACACACACACAGCGACGCGCACAGTACACCACACACACACACAGTACACCACACACACACAGCGGCGCAACACACACACAGCAATGCAACACACACAATGACGCGCACACACACAGTACACCACACACACAGCGACGCAACACACACAGCGACACACACACACGGCAATGCACACACACGGCAACGCACACACACAGTACACCATACACACACAGAGACGCAGCACACACAGCGACGCAACACACACAGTGACGCACACACACACACAATGACACAATACAACAACAACCGCCATTCGCCACTAAGTGGCGGTGACGTCACCACGACGTTTGTGCCAGGCCATGTGCACCTTGAGGCCACGTGAAGTGTTGAACGCCCGCTGGCAGGAGGTCACGGGGCAGACCCAGGTGCCACGGGTCGACTGACTAAGATGACTGAGATGACTGGCTGATGCACCACCTGTGCCCCCTACTGTGCCAACTTGCTGTGCTTTAGCCACCAGGCGCTCCGCTCGTTGTTGTGAGCGTCGCTCCTCCGCTCTCCGTTGTTGTTGGAGGGCAGCTGCCTCCAACTGCCCAGGAGCGTCCTTCACGAGCCTCCTGCACAGAGGCCGATCTTGACACCGCTGGTACCAGTCATCGGCAAGTCCACTCAGCTCCACGTCCTCCTGTACCACGTCACTCCATCTCTTCTTTCGTACGTGCCGCGCCCGTTTAGCCCCCTCGATCTGGCCGAACAAAAGCTGTTTAGGCATGCGGTGGCTGGACATGCGGGCTACATGACCCAGCCAACGCAGCCTTGTCTGCCGGAGGAGCTCACCGATGGGACTTTTCCCAGATCTTTCAAGGATTTGTGAGCTCCTCACACAATCCAGCCTGGTTAAACCCAGGATGGATCGTAGACAGGCCAGCCTAAATGTTTCTAACCGGCGAAGATGCTCCATTAGGGGGGTCCACGTTTCGCAAGCGTAGAGAAGGGAGGGAACGACCGTGGCCGAGAATACCTGAAGCTTCGTGCAGAGCGACAGACCAGGTAGTTTCCACACAGCGTTACGCAACCGATGAAAAGATATTTCCGCTCGACTGATTCGGAGTGAGACCTCTGCTGTTAAACCGGAGCCGGTCACAATACACACACACAGCGACGCAACACACACAGTGACACAACACACACAGCGATGCACACACACAGTACACCATACACACACAGCGATGCAACACAAAGACAAAGATCCCCAGGAAAGCCTTAACAGACTATTGGGACAAGTGCTGTTAGCGAGCACCTATGCAGGCCAGCATGGCACACGAGGGGGTGGGTGGCCAGCACCACGCCCGGTCGTCTTTGTCTCCCCAGTGGTGATATTTACACACCTCACCAGGTACTCATTTGAGGCTAAGTCGACCTAGGGGAGGCCCATGACCGGTTCGGATAATTGCTACCAGTGTTTGCCATGAGCGGAAATTGAACTCGGGTCGTCGGGTTTGTAGTGCAGCGCGCTATACGCTACACCACCGCTCTCCACATGCAACACATACACAGTGACGCACACACACACAATAACACAATACACAGTGACACAACACACACAGCGATGCAACACACACAGCGACGCAACACACACACACACAGCAACACAACATCCACACAGAAACAGAACACCCACACACAGTAACAGAACATACACACACAGTGACACAATACACACACAGTGACACAATACACACACACACAGTGACATCAATAGTGACACCAACACACACACAACATCCAAACACACACACCAATAGGGTGTCACGAGCCAATCTCACTCATTGCCCATGTCCCAGCTGCTATCATACTGCACTGCAACACTATACTGCAATGGGTGGCAGGGTGGTGGCGCAGTGGAAACACCTGCGCATCGCAGCAAAGGGTTCTGGGTTCGATCTCTGTACCAGATGCCGCCTTCTGTGTGAAGTTTGTACGTTCCCCCCCTGTTGTTCCGGGTTCTCTGGTTATCATAGCCAAAAGAAAAATTCAGTGTAACTCGTATTGGCTAAACACCCAAATGCTGAAAATAAACCTGTACACTACTCAACGTGGATCACACCGAGTCGCGACATCGCCCCCTACTCTGAAAATTGTGGCAGGATCCTCCTGAACAACAGCACTGAGACTCGGCGAGGCTGAACGAGCGCAACAACAACGACGATGACGACTGCGATATCAAAACTTCGCGATTTAGGAGACGAATGGAAACCCGACTGGTGATCCCGACGAACCACCGGCCTAAGAGTATAGAGGCGGGGAAATAAACGCGCAGCCTCGGTGCGCCGCCGCTCCGAGCGCGACCCGTGCCCTTGTGCGTGTGGCTCACGCTGGGAGAGAGCGCGAGCGCGGGGTTTTGGATGCGGCGGCAGAGACGCACCGGCCTCGTCGGCGGGGGCCGGCACGGGCACGCTGGGGCGGTTGGGGCGCCGCACCCGCAGGGTGGTGCAGCCGTTCTCGTGCAGACAGAAGAGGGCATCGCGCTGGCGGCACGGGATTACCTGCACCGCGCGCACCGCAGGGGGCATGGGTACGTGCGACGCCACCGACACCGCCAACACTGCCAACGGGGATGCCGTGGCGGCTACGCTGCATTCTTTTTTTTATTTTGCCAGGTTAGGTCCACCGAGCTGTACGGATCTTTTTCACAAGCGACCTGGCCACAAATTATCGCTCAACAAAGTGTATTATCACGTAAAAATTTATTGCAGCCAGATACTCGAAACGCATGTTTCTGAATGTGGAGGGAAATACCGGAGGACCTGGAGAAAAATCCACATGACCACGGGGAGAACATGCAAACTCTGAATATACAGCAGGCATCATCAGGGTCGGGATCAAAACCACGGCCTGCTGTATACCAGGCGAGGTAGTTAACCTCTTGCCATCCGTGGTATCGTCCTACTATCTACAAAAGTGGTTGTCCTCCTATTCTGCACAAGTTACCACGCGGTTCCCCTTTGCTGTACATTGCATAAGAGATGAAACGGTGGAAGTGAAGCAGTCTGGTGTCTTGCAGTGGCCCAGCACAATACCATATACCTTTCAGCTATGGGGGCAGCAGCAGTGGACTATACTTAGCAACTTCGTAATGTACATCTCTAGATCATCCATATAGTCACCCCACACGAACATCTATCCTTCTTCATCCATTATCATCATCCATAGCATCAAAATATATCAACCTCCTTCTTGACCAATCACCTTCATCGATTTTCATCGTCATCATTCACCACTGTCATGAATCATCAGCATCCTCATCCACCAACTCATCCATGGCCGACCCCAGCGCTGCACTCCACGGTAGGCGCTCACGGTGCCCCCACCACAGGGCGCCAGCGGCTCCCTCGCGCTCGCTCTTACGGCCGCACTAGAGCCGCCCGCGTCATGCCAACTTGACCGCAGCGACCGGCATCGGCGACCATCGGACGACCACCGCTACCGTCAATATCACCGCCAGCGGTGGGCGAGGTCAACGAGGTCAACGAGGTCAACGACAAACGGCGGCAGTGGCCCCAACACGCGAGACGGCACCTGCAGGAAGGGCACGCCGCTGCGCTCGATGGCGACGATGCCAACTGTCTGGCTGATCTCCAGGTCGAGGATGACGATCTCGCGTGGGTACAGCAGCAGCATGTGGGAGCGGTGGGCGGGCAGGTACGACATCTGGATGCACTCTGTGAGCAGCACCCCCTCCACACTGCGAAGACAAAGATCCCCCAAATAGCCTGATCAGACAGTTGGGGCAAGTGCTGTTAGCGCGCACATATAAAGCCGGCACGGCACACGAGAGGGGTGGATGGCCGGCACCACGCCCGGCTGCCTTTTTCTCCCTAGTAGCGATGTTTACACACCGTACCAGGTACTCATTTGAGGGTGAGTGAACCTAGGGGAGGCCCAGTTCAGATAATCGTCACTGGTGTTGGCCGTGAGCGGGATTTGAACCCGGGTCACCCGGGTTCGTCGCGCAGCGTAGCGCTAACCGCTACACTACCGCTCCACACTGCACACACATACGGGGCACGCCCACACTACAACGACCATCATTTCCCGCGAAGTAGTGGTGATGTCACCACGATGCACTTTTGATTATAAGTGAAGAGTGGAAGGCTTGCGCACTTAACGTCCGCGCAGTTTATATACAACTCTGTTCACTCTCTCACACCGCCCGATGTTCAGATCTCTGGCACTGGTCTTTATCTTCGGTGCATCTGCATTTCTCTTTCTGCCCCACTAAATTCACTTGCCGTGTTTGAAAAATGCATACATGTAATCAGTTCCCTCATTAAATCGATTTGCATTTTTAATTCCACTTTTCTTGATGTTCATCAAATACACTGCTAACACAGGATCGGCTAGGGTCCTAGGTGGATACTTGTGTATGACACAAGTCGTAGGGAGTGTCGGGACAATCTCAGAGCGAGGGTACAGCCGCAGTGCTGAATACCTAAAAGGCCCAGGTGTGTAATTATTGATTTCAGAGCAGGCCGGGTGACTCGGGAGGTTGCAGCGCTGAAGCTGGCATCGCTTAGATCCTGGGTTCAAATCGAAGCTGCTGCCTGTGATTGAACCGAGATCTGAAGCTTGGTGTGTTGGTATTCTCAGAAATATGGCCAACTTCCAGCTGTGATGGAGCAGAACTCTCACGCACTCGGTCGTGTCGCCATTGAGTGAGGTTGGGAAGTGAGCCACCTTGTGGGTGCACATTGGCGACATCACACCACCTAAGGCCAAGACTGGAGACCATTTTCACATTTCGAGCAACTGCCTGATAATGCTGGTTGTGACTATCAGCAAAACGTTAGACTACCCGGTTGTTAAATGTTGTGTGTGGATTGCTCTCCAACAACCACATCGGTGGTGCAGCCGAAGCAGTCATGAATTGGGACGCTTGATGGCGTCACAACTTTATTAACTGACTGTGTCGGGTGGAGGAGTGTTTACGGCAAGCATTTCACTTGCGCGATCTGACCCAAAAATCTATAACGAATAACAACACTGGTTGCGAAAGTACTCGCGTGTTAAATTCACACAGGAGAGGTTTGAGTCTAGATCATCCACGATAGGAATGAAGTATACATTTTTTTATATATTACGATTAAAACTAAAAAAATGTTTAGCAGGTAAGGCCCACTGATTGAAATATCTATTTTTCAGAAGTGACCCCTTGCCACAAACGAAGTGGCTTATCACGTCAAAATGTATTGCAGCTAAATACTCTGAATGCGTGTTACTGAATGTAGAGGGTAAAACTGGACGACTCAGAGAAAAATCCAGACGACACGGGCAGAGAGAACACGCAAACTCCAAATATACAGGCGTCAGGGTCGGGATCGAACCCACGACCTCCTGTATATTAGGGACCGCTCACACCTCGGCTTCTCGTCGGTGATCAGCGTCTTGACGCGGTTGAGCGCTCGCCGGGCGCCCGTGGGGGCGCGCCCCGCTGCCGCGGCGGCACCGGCGGGGCTTGAGCTGGGGCTGGAGATGTAAACCTTCCTGCCTGCGCTCGGGGGCGGCCTCGACGGGGAGAAGTCGTGCACGAACACCATGCCCTCGCTCGTCAGCACTGCACACACACACACAGTGCCCTCACTCGTCAACACTGCGCACACACACCGTGCCCTCGCTCATCAACACTGCACACACAGTGCACTCGCTCATCAAAGACAAAGATCCCCCGTATAGCCTGTAAGACTGTTGGGGCAAGTGCTGTTAGCGAGCACATATGAAGGCCGGCACAGCACACTAGGGGGTGTGGCCAAAACCACGCCCGGCCGCCTTTGTCTCCCTAGTGGCAATGTTTACACAAAACGCCAGGAACTCATTTGAGGCTGAGTCGACCTAGTGGAGGCCCAGGACCGGTTCAGATAATCGTCACTGCTGTTGGCTGTGAGCGGGAATCGAACCCGGGTCGCCAGCTTCGTAGCGCAGCGCGCTGTTACACTACCGCTCACTGACGCTACACACACACACCGTGCCCTCGCTCGTGAACACTGCACACACACACACACCATGCCCTCGCTCGTCAGCACTACACACACACAGTGCCCTCGTTCATCAGCACTGTACGTGCACTCACACACACCCACCATGCCCCCGCTCGTCAGCACTGCATGCACACACACAGCTGCTGAGAGAATGTATCAGTTTCTGAGAGTCAGTTTTGGAAGGAATGGGTGAGTTCATAATAGTGGGTGGGTTTTTGAGAGTGTGGGTGAATATCTGAGTGTGGGGAAGTTTCTGAGAGTTTGGTGAGTTTCTGAGAGGGTGAGCTACTGATAAAGTGGGTATCTGAGAACGGGAATGCATGTGGGAGCAGCAGGTGGCACGGACGCGCGAGGCTGGAGGGATCAAAGGGGTCGCAGGAGAAGGAGATGATGTTCTCCGCGTAGCTCTTCTTCCACAGCTTGGTGCCCGTGTCTGCGTTCCACAGCACCAGCAAATTCGGGGGATGCACGGCGAGAAGCAGGTCCAGGCTGGCGTCCTGGCTCCACAGCCACTCCATGTCTGCAGGGAGGACCCCGCGGCACCGCCACCCGACCGTGTGAGCATCACAAACGACAAGGCGATTCCTGTTCGGCCTCGAAAGCCGTACAAGCGACAGTTCTCAGCCCACAGTCTGTGGACCACTGGCCTTGAGAAGTTTTCTACGAAACTGCTGAAGACACTTTGATGTTTTTTTTTCACAAAACGACGGGAGTTATGTTATCGGTGCATGGTGGAGGTCCACGAATATTTTTTCAAAGTTGACAGAAGGTCTGCGGGTACAGCAGGAAGGTTGGGAACCACTGCTCCAGAGGAAAATGTTTGGTGAGCACCTTTTAAAAGATGGGCGGGCCCAGCAGTATAGCCGGAACAATCTCCAGCCACCACTATCTTCCCAAAGACAGCGTTCACACGCCACACTGGTTACTAATTTCTTTAGAACCGATTTTTGTGTTTAGTTTGTCGTCCTTCCCCCGCACCTCTGATTAGCATAGTTGGCAACGAGCAGTAAAAAAGAAGTGTAACATACACGCATGCTCATTTAGTACCGAGTCAACCAAGTCATGCTCGGGATAGGTTCAGATACCACAGATGTTGTGCATGGTCAGGAATGGAATCCATGTCGCTTGAACTGTATGGTGGTACATGAATCAACACCGCATCACTCCCTACAAGACGCAAGCGTGTGTGTGTAGTGCAGAGCGGTGGAGAGGTGAGCTTGTGTTTGGTGCAGTGGCAGGTGGCATCTAATGTCAAACGATGTCCGCGTTGGTTTAGCCTTGGCCTACCCAGCCTAAACCGAGGACTTGGTATGGCGCTAGCACGCAAACATAGTAACGGCAGAGCCGGCCAGGTGTGGTGTGCGCCACATCGTTCTCATGTTCGTCTCACCAATCTTTACAGGTGCTTGCTCACAGCACTTTCCCCTGAGTTTACAAAGGTAAATAGAAGATATCTCCGTGTGAGCGGGCGTGCGTGCCTGTTTATGTGGCAGTGCAGATATTAGCCCACTGCGCTACGAACCCGGACACCCAAGTTTGATTCTCGCTCACGGTCAAAACCAGTGACGATTATTTTAACTGGTCCTGGACCTCCCCTAGTACTTGGTGCTTTCATAGGTGCTCGCGAACAGCACTTGCCCCAACAGTCTATTCAAGGATATATGGGAGATATCTGTCTGCGTATACATACCCTGCACGGGCTTCGTGTACTCCTGGATCTCGCAGCGTGCTCCGCCCGCGGCCACGTCCCACACCACGATTTTGCCGCTCGCGTCCCCCGAGGCCAAGCGGGCGGAGTAGGGGGCGCACGCATCGTGGTGGTAGTTCTCCCGAGCCCATTTCACCTGCAGCGGGCACAGCGCCAGCCACTCACAGCGCCACACGTACACTGCACTACGCGTATGCAGCGCCACACATACGCAGCGCGCCCAAGCACACAGTGCCAGCCACTCACCGGACCACTCGTACACAGCGCCACACGTACACAGTACCACACGCACAGCACCCGCCACGCGTACACAGTACCACCCACACAGCACCCGCCACACGTACACAGTACCACACACACAGCACCCGCCACGCGTACACAGTGCCACACACAGCACCCGCCACGCGTACACAGTACCACACACACAGCACCCGCCACGCGTACACAGTACCACACACACAGCACCCGCCACACGTACACAGTACCACACACACAGCACCCGCCACGCGTACACAGTACCACACACACAGCACCCGCCACACGTACACAGTACCACACACACAGCACCCGTCACACGTAGACAGTACCACACACACAGCACCCGCCACACGTACACAGTACCACACACACAGCACCCGCCACACGTACACAGTACCACACACACAGCACCCGCCACACGTACACAGTACCACACACACAGCACCCGCCACGCGTACACAGTACCACACACACAGCACCCGCCACACGTACACAGTACCACACACACAGCACCCGTCACACGTAGACAGTACCACACACACAGCACCCGCCACACGTACACAGTACCACACACACAGCACCCGCCACACGTACACAGTACCACACACACAGCACCCGCCACGCGTACACAGTACCACCCACACAGCACCCGCCACGCGTACACAGTACCACACACACAGCACCCGCCACGCGTACACAGTACCACACACACAGCACCTGCCACGCGTACACAGTGCCAGCCACTCACAGCACCACTCGGGGCGACAGAGCAGGCTGTGGGTTCGGATTGGGGCTGGGTTTGTTTCTGCGAGTGTGAGCTCCGTGGTACAAGTTACCTTGACGACAGTTGCCTTGTGTTTGTCCAGGGCCTGGATTGTCTGGGCCGTGCGAGGATCCACCACCATAACCAGCGAATGGCATCCGTATGCCAGCAAGCCCTGCCATCCCCTACACACGCCAACGAGCACCACTCAGGTCACGCTCCACTGGGGCCAGAATCTTGCGTCCGCTCCGGCGAGTGGCCGCACATCAGGGACTCACAGGGGAAAAGATCAACACAAACACCCTCATCTCGATCCTGTATAGCCTAAGGATGGACTGCGTCAAGTGTGCCCGGCGTGAGCACTCCCATTATTATCGCTAAAATACTTCCGAGAACAAATGCATATTGGAAAGCAATAAATAAGCCATACATATGAATTTTATTTTCTTCCTTGTAGATTTCTTGTTTTTTTATTGTGTAAATATTGTCTACATTTTGTCCCTACTCAGCTTGCTCATCTCCTGGCCTTTTCCTGACCAGCTGCCCTCGGCTCCCTCTCGGGGCCTTGCCGATACTACACTCTGGGGCCCTGCCACGACACAGTGAAGCAGTAGATGATTCCCCTGGGGTCTGGTCACCACAGCACTGCTGCTTTAGTGACCGTTTGGTTGATGTAGTGATTTAGTTGGTGGGCTATGGATGGTGGTGCCTGTCAGTTGAACGGGGTGTCGACATGGTGTCAGTGCGCGCTGGCGGTTGCATGCATTTTAGTTGGTGTCGGTAGTTGAGTTTGATGTCGTTGGTGGTGGTGGGTTGAGTGGGGTGTTGAGATAATGGCAGTGCGTGGTGGTGGTGGTAAGTGTTGGAATGGTTGACCCGATCAGGCCGTCGTTTGTCCCCTGAGGTGGCCGTCTGTTGCACCTCCTGTGCATGCGCGGGTTGCTGTGTCCCTGCGTCAGTCGTGCCCCTCTGCTATTGATCCTTGATGTCTCTTCTCTTTTTCTTCCCCAATGACTTTTCCCAATTGTGGCCCTGATCTGTTGTTGTGGATTTCCTCTGTATATGTAATTCGCTTTGAGATGCCGTGGCATTAAAGCGATCAATTCATGGAAATCCCTATCCTATCCTCATGAGCGCCTCCACCGCCATCATCATCACTCAAATTAACACGAACATCAACACTGTCATTACTGTCCTTATTGTCATGTTCTTCCATTGCTAAGCAGTTTGTCCTATCACTGGACTCAATTAAGTCAGCCAGGATTTCTCGACATTTCGCCGATGGCCACTGGAGGTGTCTTAAGTGGACAACACTGACCATGACTTTCCCGGGCTACAGTGGCAGATGGTGACGTGTGTCGCACCGCAGGGCAGAGGAAAGCGCCCCCCTCCCCCTGACTCCATGGCCATTCATGAGACATTTTCGTCAACGTGGAGCTCTGGCTGTGCGCTCGCTCTTGCCTCCCCGCTCCCACGTGTCCATGGGGTATTAATAATCACCCCAACTCCGAACGGAGACCCTCACCTCGGCCGTGGTGTGCACTCTTCGACACGAACTTAACACTTTATCACTCAGATGTCTTTCAGTAGTGTGCTCGTGACGTCACTGTTATAGACCGGCTATAATTATTTCTCAATAATGAAGCTTTAAACTCGTGCTGGGCAGCCCAGGCAGCAGCTGAGATGTGTGTTTATGATCGCACCATCTTGTAATATGATGGGGAGCTGCTTGCTTTATCTCCCCCAACCCCCTCCACCGCCTCTCATCCTTACCCCCACTCCACGTGCCCTTCCCCCCCCCCCCTTCATGCTGAATGTAAAAATATATAATAGGTAATGAAACTTCTTCATAGTGTAACCGGGTCAATTAGGTCAATGAAAGCACTATTGACGAACATGTGTTTTTATTACTTGAGATTGTGCAACAACCGCCATTCTCCAGGAAGTGGCGGTGACGTCACCACAGGCCACGTGCAGTGTCGAAGGCTCGCTGGCAGGTCATGCGACAGACCCATTTAGCCATGGGTTGACTGAGATGACTGGCAGATGCACCACCTGTACCCCCTACTGTGCCAACTTGCCGCACGGCGCTCCGCTCGTTGTTGTGAGCGTCGCTCCTCTGCCCTCCGTTGCAGTTGGAGTGCGACTGCCTCCAACTTCCCAGTAGCATCCTTCACGAGCCTACCTCCAGAGGCTGATTTTGACACCGCCGGTAGCAGTCATTGGCAAGGCCATTCAGCTCCACATCCTCCTGCACCACATCAGCCCATTTCTTTTCTAGCCGGTGCGTGCCCGTTGAGCTCCCTCTATCCGGCCAAACAAAAGCTGACTACATGACCCAACGCAGCCTTAACTGCAAGAATAGCTCATTGATGGGACTGTGTCCAGATCTTCCAATCCAGCCTGGTTAAACCGTGGGTGAATCGTAGGCAGGCAAGCCTGAATGTTTCGAACTGGCGCAGATGTTCGCTTACAGGGGTCCACGTTTTGCAAGCATAGAAAAGGGAGAGCAGGACTGTGGGTGAGAAGAATCGAAGCTTCGTGTGGAGCGACAGACCAGGTTAGCTTCCACACAGCAGCGTTCGTTACAACGCTTAAGAAAAGATGCCGTCAGACTGATTGGGGGTGAGACCTCTGCTGTCAAACCGGAGCTTGTGCAAAGACAAAGATCCCCCGCTATGATTGTGAGCAGGGGGGGGGGGAGCCACAAGGGGGGGGGGGGGGCTGTGGCTCCGCCCCTGCTCACCGACTTTCTCCCTGAAATTGTGGGAAAGTCGGTAATCGGGATAACCGGATATCCGACTGCTACAAAATGCTGCAGGCTGTCACCTCGTGCTGCCCTACAGGCTGCCACCTTGTGCTGCCACCTGGTGCTGCCCTGCAGGCTGCCACCTTCTGCTGCCCTGCAGGCTGCTTGAGCGGCAGCCTTTCAAACTTATCGAACTTATGAGCCACATCAGCGGCTCCGACCTATTAATAAACTCCGCGTTCAAATCCAATAAAATTTGTTTTATACATTTGTGGCGCCCATTGGAAAACATTATACTGGATATCTCAGAATATTGAAGTCAGCAAAATGGTGGCTCCGCCCCTGATGTTGAGGCAAGTGCTGTTGCGAGCACCGATGAAGATGGGTACGGCACACGAGGGGGTGGGTGGCCAACACCACGCCCGGCCGCCTTTGTCCCCCCAGCTATGATGTGTACACACCGCACCAGCTACTCATTTGAGGCTCAGTCGACCTAGGAGCTTGTGCACCACAACCCCAGTGTCACCAAACTCGATATTGCTCGATGTGTCACCGCGTGGTGCAAACGAGTGTGACGTCACAATGGTGGCATGACGTCACGAGTTAAAGCGAAAAAGAGGCGGCGACGACGTCATACGCCGCCGCTCCGTGCGTGCGGGAGAGGAAAGGCCGCCCGCCTCGCCGCGCTCGCTCGCTCGCTCACCAGTCCGCGGCGAGGCGGTTGTTGGCGTGCAGCGCCCCGGGTAGCGAGCGCGCGGGCAGCTTGATGTTCACGGTGACGGGCAGCATCTCTTCCCGCTCCTGCTGCTCCTCCTGTTGCTGCTTCTCCTGCTGCTGCTCCTTCTGCTGCTGATCCTCCTCCTGCTGCTCCTTCTGCTGCTACTCCTCCTGCTGCTCCTCCTGCTGCTCCTCCTCCTGCTGCTCCTCCTCCTCCTGCTGCTGCTCTTCCTGCTGCTGCTGCTCCTCCTGCTGCTGCTCCTCTTGCTGCTCCTCCTGCTGCTGCTCCTGCTCCTCCTGCTGCTGCTCCTGCTGCTGTTGCTCCTGCTGCTGATCCTACTGCTGCTGATCCTGCTGCTCCTCCTGCTGCTGATCAGCGATGGTGGCCGCGCTCCGCTGGTGCTGCTGCTCGGGGTTCCGCGCGCCGCTTCCTGCCCGCGATATCGCGCGATGACGTCACGGAACCGACGCGTGACGTCACGGAACCGGCCCAGCGCACGGAAGTTTCCGTTCCCGCCAATGTGCGGGCGGAGCGCCGCCATCTTGTTAAGCTCATGCTCAGTTTGACGCATTCGGCTCGTCCGCTCGCTCGCGATGTTCGCTCGCGATGTTTGACGAGACTGTTCACGTTCATGTCCGTTTTAGGTTGCAGCATTCACCACCCGAAGGTTCCTCAAATAACACGGCAGAGGGAAACCGAACTTCGGAGTTCCTCGAGCATTGATGGAAGTGTCGACGTACAGAGGATTAGTTCCGTGAGGTGCGTCGTTATTGGTGTTCTGCACGGCTTCAGTGACAATGCTCGTCCGTTGTTAATGGTCGGCGTTTGTTTTAAATTCCAATGGATATTCAATGTTCAGAAGCAGCACCAATATCCCGCGTTAAACGTCCATTCTCATGCTTGCACCCGTGTTTACTCGGGTCGTGTTTTTCAGCTATTTAGCTTAATGCCCGTGGCCAGCTTATTGTAATCGACCTGTACAAGTGCGTCTTTTCTACACCATTTTAAAGCTTATTTCATAAATCACGAGGGGCTAGATTATTAGGGCTGCGTTCCGGACGATCCAGAACACGGTTGTTGACTTACCAGGAAAGTCTCGGCGGGTCACGGATTCTCCGAGTGGGTCTCTGCTACATTAAAAATATTTGGCGAAGACCAATGACGGGCTGTGGTTTTTTTGTTTGTTTTAGCTATGGGAGAACAAGGAAGAAACGCGCAGATCCCGGGCAAAGAACCAACTCTGCACAGGGTAGTTGAACCCAGGTGTTGAGTGCTGTGAGCCACGAGTGCCGGTGGCCACCCTGGCGCCCGGCAATGCTAAGAGTAGCCCGTTCATTGTGAAGAGACTCCACTCCACCCGTCGAATCAATCCACGGCGCTCACAACGCGTTTCAGCCCGAAGTCGCAACTTAATAAAATAACTGGAGACTCAATTTTGCTGGCACCTGAATCCTGCTGCATGACCCAAAAATGTAATTACGTAGATCTGATGTGTAGTCGCAGCACCCAAACATTTCCATTAAGTGCTCCATCCATCACGCAACTCTTGACCCGTGGCAAAACTGAAATGTCATCAATCTGATAATAAATGCGTTGCGTTCATGTGGGAATGATGTCGGAATCTGATCATTCATGGCAAACACAAATACTCTTCTCTTTACAGCCTTCTCAACACTTTTTGTAACCTGTGGAGACACCTTTGAAAATGTTAAACTAGCCATGGGGATACATTATGACTTAAAACTTTCGTGACTGCAGGAATTCATATTCTTTGGTGCTTTCGGTAAAGTCACGTAGATAGAAAAATTATAATGAAGTGAATAAAAATCTTGACTTAAAGCTTTCGTGACTGCAGGAATTCATATTCTTGGGTCTTTCGGTAAAGTCACGTAGGTAGGTTCAAAGAAAACAAAACTACGACGTTTTGATCGCAACACAAGCGGTTGACCGCTTGTGTTGCGATCGAAACGTAGTTTCATTTTGCAATATTGCCACAATTCATATTTCCATGCAGCAGCTTTGAATTTACATCAGAAGACAAGTTTGCTGCTCTTCTCATGTGGAACTATGCCACCATATATTTGTTTAAAATCGTAAGGCATCAAACGAAAACCTGCAACATGTTTTACTTACATAGCACCGACACTGGATACATAGAAGCATCTTTACTTACTGAAACACCATCAGTTTTTTTCATAATTGACTTAAATTGTGAGGCGTGCATGCACCCCATTGTGCATGCTCTGCGTTCTGGATGTGGCAAAGTGTAAGCGACGACCTGTTTAATTCCAGCTCATTGTCCCTGTACATTTCAGGGTAACATATCCTGCTGACTTTACATCTGTTTGCCCAATTTAAAAAAAAACCTTCATTAGTTAGTGATCACCAGACATCCAGCGAGACGTCTCTCTCCTTTTGTAATTTAATATCGCAAGAAACCAAACCGTACTGCCGGCATCTGGACACATCACATAAACCAAACAGCACCATCATGCACAGCAGGGGCAGTCTGGTACAACTCACGTAGTGTTGAGAGGTGCCCCAGCAGTCGTTACTCAAAACCATACATTTCACCGCATCTTAATATCTGTCTCTTCGCATTATACTGAAAAACCAAATTGTATAATACATCATAATACACCTTTAATAAGCTACATAAAACAAAATTATACTGTTATCTGTGCAAACATCATTATACGCTGATGTTACAGAACTTCCACTGGATTAGCCTCTATAGTGATGGAATTCAGCCTCCCATTAGCTGCTCCCTCAACGCACGCACAGGGCGCTGGAGGGGAGCGCACCATGGTGTGCAGGCCGCCCTCCACCCTCACATAAAACCCACAGTAGTGGTGGAGCAGCAGCTGCAGTGCCCTTACACGCGGTGGTGGCAGCCTCGTGGTTAAAAGTTTCAACGCAAGAGGAGATGGAATTCAAATTAATGTTAGAAAGGTTCATGCATCCATTATGCATTCCTAAAATCTATTAACAAAAAAATAAAGGTGCCCGTATGGGGTTTATAAATAACGACCCAAGGGGGTGCTATACCCATACGACGTAATGTGGTTAAGCTGAAGTGACGAACAGTTGGTGGAATTAAGAACACAATCGAATACTGAATATTATTCTACTCCAGTGGGGCTCTTCACTCCCAGCTCAGCATATCTGATGCAGCGTGTGCTGCAGCCAGTGGGCAGTGCCGTCAAGTCATCCGCTCAGCTGTGCCCACTCCTGTGAGAGCGGACGATTCCCCTCGTGGTCGATCACTGTGCAGAGCCGATGGCAGAATCACAATCCCCTCCCTCGAGGTTTTTCAAGCCTTGCTCCGGCTCTCCACTTGGCCCATTGCAGGGGGCTCCCATCTGGGTATGCACATTCCATTCTGCTGTGAACCATATTCCTCACTGAAATAATCATCATGGCCTGCAGGGTGGCACAATGAGAGTAGTGGCCAATGACTGAACTTTCTTATGTGCATTGGTCTTCAGGTGTGATGAAGACCTATGCCTCAGTGTGAGAACAGTAGGTGACACGACTTGCTTATCCTGCAATCCAGTATTGGTAGGAACATCTGCCTCTCACGAGAGCCTGTCCGCCCCTCCAGCGCAGCGAGTGCTCCACAACTGGAGCGACCACAGTAGCGGCATCACGGCTCTCAGAAATCGGACAGGAGGCACAATGAACCTGCCTCGACTGGACCCTAAAGAAATAGGGTTTCTTCCCAGAGTTCAGCTCAAGGTGAGCGTTTGTCTGGCGAGGGTCCACAGGTACTCATGCTTCACCGCAGCAAAAATTCCATCGCGCTGGGAGAGGGAATGCACCCAGGATAACTGCTGTGCCCCGCAGCTGTCTTTTCCACTTATGCACGGTGCTGAAAACCCGAGAACATGAAACAACGCAGTTTTACAGGAGCTCATCACTAACACTGATTGATGTGTCTGGAACGCTTTGAGGGATGGGAACTCAACGGCTGCCATGCTTGATTCGCCGACAACGCTGCCATGCCACCATCGCAGGGGTACACGCACCCCAGGCACCCACAGGGAAAGCAGCAGCAGTGTTTGAAGGGAAACAGGCAAGCGTCGGGAGTGAGAATGTACGTGAATACACGCCTGCTGCTCTACACAGGGACCACCCGTCCCCACAAAGCTGACCAAGAGTTTCTGCACGGTCGACTCCGGACAGGAAGCCAGGCCGTCCGGCTCTCCACACTCACCAGCTCAGGCAGTCTGTGCATGAGAGCCTGAGTGACATCAACAAAGTGCTTCACGTTGCACTCTGGAAGCGCTTTTTGTAAATGCGAGTGATTGGATCGGGAGGGAGTCGCAGGCTGCCGTAGGAATAAGGCTCGGGGAGAACCAGGCTCCGTCGCACCTCGAAGAGACATCCGAGGTCATTTCTGTGTCGCAAGTAGCGACACGCGACGCAGGCGTCCCTCCATGTGCCGCGCCCTGGGAAAAATCATCACTCGCAGGACACTCACCAAACCCGCAACAATGGTGCCAAAACAGTACAAGTGCCAGCCACTGGAAGTGGTTAAAGAGGTCCAACACCAGGACGTGAAGTCGGTTACAATGCAAAATGACACCGGCTGGGTTCCAACACCATTTCCTCAATTTCTTTACGTTTGTAATCATCCCCCTCGCCCATTTTTGTGTATTATCTTTACATGTAATACACACCTCTCACTGGCCCACACACAGCCACGAGCTCACAGCACACTCAATACCTTGCAGCTACAGCAACTTATGCTTAACTATAAAACACACTAGACCTCCATCGGAAGGCGTAAATATATATGTACGTTATAGACACTACTTTTTTATCGGCTACGTAAGTAATGGGGTGTGGTATATACAGCAGCATTGGGTTCACTTTGGTGAGGTCTTGGCGTGAGAGCTGCCCCTCATCGGTCCCGATCACCTGTTCGGAGATCCTGGAGCCAGGGTGGTCTCCGGGCCGGGTGCTCAGCGAGGGGAAGCCTGGGCGACCAGGTCACGCGAGCACAAGTCCCAACGTCAATACCCATCACCGCGCGAGTCCAAAACACAACCTGACGCCGGCAATCCCTGACGCCCACACGCAGCAGGTCCCTTCCGCACGCCCAGCACATCCCCCCTGACGCCCGTTCGGAACGAAGCGCACACAGCGTGGTAGCCCCACGAGCGTCCAACGGCGACGTCGGCTGCCAAAGAGGCGTCCATAAGCCAGAATCCGTGAGCTCGCATGCGCCTGCCCCTCCTGTTCAGGTAAGACGCACGCGGAGAGCTAGCGGTAATATGGCAGCGAGCTGGTGTGCGGCGCGTTGTGCTGGATGAGGCTGCTGAGGTGGGAGAAGCCGATGCCCGCGTACACCTCGCCCACCTGCTTGTCCACATGCTTGCGCTTGTGCTTTGAGAGGTGGCCCGACTGCGTGAATCCGCGGCCGCACACGTCGCACTTGAAGGGCTTTTCGCCCGTGTGCGTGCGGCGGTGGCGCGCCAGGTTGTAGGAGTGCGCGAACGTCTTTCCGCACTCCTCGCAGCCGTATGGCTTCTCGCCTGTGTGCGTTCTCTGGTGGATCAGCAGGTGCGACTTGTGTGCGAAGCCCTGGCCGCACTCCTGGCACTGCACAGGCCGGTACGGCTTCACCGAGGCCCCGGCCGCCGCCGCGCGCACCGACGCCAACAGGTGGGCGCTGCTGCCCCCGCCGGGCGACGCGCCAAACTCCTTGTCGCAAGAGGACTGCGCGCCGGCCTGCGCACCGCCGGGCTGCCCGTACACGCCCCCCGACTCCACCCCGCCCTCCGCGGCTCCGTGGCCCTCACGTTTCTCCAGGTGCCGGTTCTCCGAGAAATGCGGCGCCACCCCTGGGGTCTCCGCCGAGAAGTGGTTCCCGTCGAGTGGAAGAGAATCGCGCCCAGACTCCTCCGTGCGAGCACCTACACACACGATGGTGGTGGGGGGGGGGTACATACACGTGTATAAATGTATAACGCGGAATATTCACACAGGAATAAACGTGTACAATACATGAATATCCCTCTGTAAATCTGAAGGAAGTAGTCCTCTCTACATCGTATTGGCCAAGTGACACATGGTAGCAGCAAACATTGATGACTGAACTGTACTGATACCAGTGTACAGCCGTGTCTGTTTTACTGCTGTCTGTTGAAATGGCCACCTTTTCTCAACTCTTTGAGTTGGTCTCAAAAAATGGCCATGCATTCAGTTATTTGAGCTGGTGGTTCGAATATGGCTGAGGGCTTTTGTGCATACAATGCTGCACACCTTCGTGCATTGTTAATTCTATAAACGTTTGTTTACCCAGGAAAGACTCACTGAATCCCACAGTCTCTTTTTCTCAGGAGAGTCCCTGCCAAGTGTGTAATCTCAATAGTCATTGGCAGGTTAGGATGCTTGTCCAATACCAGTTACACGATGTTTTTTTTAGCTATGGGAGGAAACTAGAGAAACTGGTACCAGTGCAGCACAGGGAGAGAGCATACCAACTCCGCACAGAAAGGTGCCTGAGTTAGGAACCGAGGTCCTTCCTGTTGTGAGGTGCAAGTGTTAGCACTGCGCCATCCTGCCACCCTTTGTTTCCAGCCTGCAATAATATTTCTGTTTCCATAGGTGTTCTCGTCATATACAGATGTACACATTACAGGCAGTCTACTTGTAAAACATGAGGTCACAGGGCACATCACTGCCTACACACATTGCTACGGTCCCCAATTTGTTTGCTCCTTGTGTGAGCGAGATGCTCCACATGGACGCTCATGTGGTAGAGCTGCACTGGATATTTCACGGGCACCGCGACGTGAGAAACCGGCATTGTGCGAGTTGCTGGTGCTGTGCGAGATGTGTGAGATGTTACTTTGAGACGCTGGTGCTGTGTGGGCGAACGGTGTTGACGCTGTGCTCCCTGGCGCCGCGTTACCCGTGTCCGCGTGCTGATGCCGCTGGCAGGGGCTGCTCTCTCCGGCGGGGCCGTCGGCCGAGGCTGCGGCAAGTGCGTTGGCATAGAGCGCGGGGTCGAGCGAGCAGAATCGCTGCGCCGACTGAAAGAGCTCCTGGCTCAGGCTGTTTAGCACCACCACAATGGTCTCCAGCAGCGAGCGACTCGTGCCCTCGGCGCCGGCGTCGCCGCCCTTGGGGCGCTTGATGGAGACGCCCTCGATGACGCGGCGAAGCACGGCGTAGAACGCAAACGGGAGGCGCGCCTTGGCCACGGCGAACAGCTCAATGCGCACGTGGGGGTGCTCGGCGCACGCCAGTAGCGTGTTGTAGTCACTGATACCCAGCTCTTTGCTCATGGCGCGCGCAATTTTGGCGCTCATGCCGTGAGCCGTGAGCCACGCGCCGAAGTTCATGCGCGGGTCAATCGCCGATGCCGACGCCATCGTGACAACGCTGCCTCCTCGCTCAATCTGCGGTATGGAGAGAGGGGGGGGGGGCATCGGTGAGAACAGCGTGACAGAATCGCACCAACGCCACAGGCACGGGGCACAGTGCTGCTGAGCCACACTCGCTCGGCTAAGTGAAATAATGTTCATTACTGATCACAGCAAATTCCACAAGGCAGTGCTGCCATTTTCAGAAGGCAAAATCAATGTGCACAAGCCTCTTGCTAACACACTCCATTTTATTACACAAAACCTGTCACAATGGGTGGCCCATTTGTAAGGCATACAGTAGAGGTGATAGGATTTGTTTTACTCTACTTTTGCTCATACTACCTCCAGCATCTTTTGTTTATGCTCTGGTTCACTCTGGCCCGAACTTCACTGAATATTTGGTTTGGTTAATGCAGAAAAATGTGATACGGTGCATCAATCGCATTAAAACATGAACAGGAACGAGTACGTTTGTTTAAATAAACACTTATGTAGCCGCCTGGGCTTGTGCTCTAACGCGCACGGCACAAGGCCTCTGGTGGCTCCTGAACGGCACCGAGCAAACACGAGCCTCGTCCGTGCACAGGTCCCTGTATGCAAACTCCCAATGCAGGGATTCTCCCGTCCACTGCAGGCAGCACCGCCTCGACAACATAACCAGCGCAACCCGAGCCGCTATTCCAACTTCCCTGGACTGATGCGGAACAGTGCCAAACTACGTTTTGAAAACTTATGTCAGCACATTTTGCAAACCAAAATCTAGAACTACTACAAATGAAAAATTAGCCCATGTTAATTTTATAAATAGCTATGCCTACTCCGTATAAACTTGCCATGAATCGCTGTCAAACAATGGCCAACGTTAGGACGGGATGAAGCATAAATGCCGAAAAAAAATGAATTGATGTTTATTTTACTGAATAACATAATTCAATTCAAGTGTAAACTCCCCTAGTCCCAGGCAGTGTTTAGGAGGCACATTGCGTTGACTCTCTGGGCAGGGTGGAAATGCCCCTCGTTCCACGCCGTCACAGACAATTGTACACTTACAGCGATCCGCTCATCTCCGTTAAGCATCTCCACGTACGAGATCAGCCCCATCCTGCGACTAGGAAACATCATTTGTCAGCATCTCTGAAATAAATATGCTAAAGTTTGGACTGCCTTGCCCCTGACTCTCCTGCGAGAAGAGACCGCGTACAGTGTGCGATGCCAGTATCAAGGTTTAGGACCTTTTCTGCCAATGCCACCGACGCACGGGGAGATCGCTGGGCGTCTCCACAGCTCCCCTCACCTTGGCCCTCACTCCACCAACGCAACAATCACACATCAATACAAAACTCAGAAAACAACACTCACCAACACAACACTTTCCGGCATCCCAATGCAGGACCTTCCCAAAACGCCCTGGGATTCAGCAAAAGTATTACTTCACACTAGAACCTGCCAACCATCACATATGGCAACACTCGGCAGATTTATGCTGATCGCGGCAAATACCGCGTAGACTTAGCGATAAGCCACAGAGAGCTGCACCTCCCCCTGTACTGAGTGCTGCGACTCCTCGCTACGGGTAAGTGTTGCCACAGCTGCCCCAATGGCACAGCTGCCCTGATGTGGGATGGTTGTGCTACCGTGAAGGCAAAGAGGAGTTTGCGTCCAGCGAACTCCTCTATAAGACAGGTCGGGAGACCATAGCGTTCACGGGAACCTCCAGCTGCTAAAGAGCCACCTACTGCCACACCACCCAAACCAGCCACAGGACTCAAACCCAACTTCTCCATGCCACTAAAACGAATCCCCATTACTCAAACCAAACCTATTAATACACCAGCTATGCACAAACTAATGCAGACACTTCATATACCCACGCCATCATACCTGCCAACATTACAGAGTGCTAATGCTCAGAAAACCTGACGCCAAAGTATGTTAAACATGTACTGTACAAAGACTCGCAAGACGCAGGAGAGATTATTGGATATGGGTGCGTGCCGTCAGTCGGGGCGAGTCGACCCAGCCGATCGTCATCCCTCTCACATCACTCGCGAGGGGGGGGGGGGTTGCCACGGGTAGCAGCATCACGAGAAGTGGTGTGAAGGTACCGGGGTAGTGGTGGTGGTAGCGGGGTCGTTGTAGTTGTGCGGTGGCAGCGATTTTTGATGTAGCGGAGTGATTGTAGTATTGTGGCGATAGTTGTAGCAGTGGCAGTCGTGTGGATGTCGCGGGGTTGGTGGTAGTGGGGTGGTTGGATTCGTGCGGCGGTAGGAGGGTGTCTGTAGCGATGTGCTTACAGCGGGATGGTTGTAGTCGTGTGGCGTAGCGGCCGTCGGGTGCGAGTGGCGGCGGGGTGGGTGGTTGAGGCTGCGAGTGGGGCTGGCGCCGCGTCGGCCCGCCGCGCAATGGCGCCTCTGCTGGAGACAAAGACCTGGGGGGCCTGTGGCTGCACTGCGAGGGGCGTCCAGAGCCCGCGCGGTGCTCGAGGCGCGCGGCGCGACGCGAGCAGAAGACGGGCGACGCGGTCCGGGGAGACGGCGCGACGAGGCGACGAGGAGGAGGGGGAGGAGGTGGACGGGGGACGGGCCGAGCGACGAGGAGATGGAGCGCGGAACGGGGGACGAGACGGGAGCGACCGCGTCCGGGTTAGCGTGACGTCACCGCGCGGCTTCCGGGTCGCCGTGAGAGCCCCGCGCAGAACATCGTGGATGATGTCACGGCACAACATCCGGGTCATTTGTCACGACGACAGGCTCCGGGTTGTCGCGGACGTCACTGCTGGGTCGCCTTGGTGTGACTTCACTTGCCTGCTATGTAAATGACGTCATGTACCGCCAAATGTAGGTGACGTGACGCCACGCTCTGCCAGGTGCAGAGCGGCACACGATTACAATACAACTAAAAGTTATTTTATTTTACCAGGATGAGACCCACTGAGCTATATATGTGTATATGACACGTAAATACATCTTTAAAAAGCGAAATCAAATATATTTATGCTCTGAGATGCATATAAACGAAACTATTTTTTTTATTTTACCAGGTGAGGCAAACTGTCTGTATGACACTCCTCGACTTACGAACATAATTGATTCACAAAATTGTACTAAATTTAAATTCTTATAGGTCAGTGGTATGAGCTGTTACGGTTCAACAAAAAAGGGAAACATTGATAAACTCATGAATAAGAATAAATATTGGACGTGAGCATGTATAACTGTAAACAATTCCTGTATAGTAAATAAAATATAGAATAAAGTAACAATAGAAACACATTTTCTCTTACCTTCAGTCCCGATGCTGGCTTGCTTCTCGGAAGAGGCGCAATGATTCACACTGTTGGGGCAAGTGCTGTTAGCGAGCAGCACCTATGAAGGGCAGTACGGGGGGGTGAGTGGCCAGCACCACGCCCGGCCGCCTTTGTCTCCCTAGTGACGATGTTCACACACCGCACCGGGTACCCATTTAAGGCTGAGTCGACCTAGGGGAGGCCCAAAACCGGTTCAAATAATCGTCACCGGTGTTGAGCGTGAATAGTTTATATCTTACACACAGCATTATGCAGCCGGGTTCGTAGCGCAGCGTAGCGCTAACCACTACACCACCGCTCCCCACAGTGGTACAACAACAACCGCCATTCGCCACTTAGTGGCGGTGACGTCACCACGGCGCTTGTGCCAGGGCATGTGCACCTTGAGGCCACGTGAAGTGTCCAACGCCCGCTGGCAGGTCACGGGGCAGACCCAGGTGCCACGGGTCGACTGAGACGACTGGCTGATGCACCACCTGTGCCCCCTACTGTGCCAACCTGCTGTGCTTTATCCACCCGGCGCTCCGCTCGTTGTTGTGAGCATCGCTCCTCCTCCCTCCGTTGTTGTTGGAGGGCGACTACCTCCAACTGCCCAGTAGCGTCCTTCACGAGCCTCCTCCACAGAGGCCGATCTTGACACCGCTGGTACCAGTCATCGGCAAGTCCACTCAGCTCCACGTCCTCCTGTACCACATCACTCCATCTCTTCTCTAGCCCGTGCCGCGCCCGTTTAGCCCCCTCTACCCAGCCAAACAAAAGCTGGCTGGGCACGCGGTGGCTGGGCACGCGGTGGCTGGGCACGCGGTGGCTGGGCACGCGGTGGCTGGGCACGCGGTGGCTGGGCACGCGGTGGCTGGGCACGCGGTCTACATGACCAGCCAACGCAGCTTTGCCTGCCGGAGGGGCTCACCGATGGGAATGTCTAGATCTTTCTAGGATTTGTGAATTCATCACAGAACCCAGGGTGGATCGAAGGCAGGCCAGCCTGAATATTTCTAACCAACAATATTCCATTAGAGGGGTCCACGTTTCACAAGCATAAAGAAGGGAGGGCATGACTGTGGCTGAGAAGATTTGAAGCTTCGTGTGGAGCGACAGACCAGGTAGCGCTGGCGAAATATTATCTCTCTCGCCTGGTACGCAGGAGGTTGTGGATTGGATCTCGACCCTGACGCCTGTATATTTGGAGTTTGCATGTCTCTCTCCACGTGGTCGTGTGGGTTTTTCTCCGGGTCCTCTGGTTTTTCCCTCCACATTTATAAACATGCGTTTAGAATATTTGGCTGCTATACATTTTCACACGATAAGCCACTTCGTTGCGCTATCATTTGTGGCCAGGTCACTTCTGAAATATAGCTATATGGTAAAATAAAAAAAGATTTGAATAGTTTATATCTTACACACAGCATTATGCAGCCAATGAAAATATGCCAGGCGACTGATTCGGAGTGACGCATCTACTGTCAAACCGGAGCTGGTCATAAGCACACTGCCCAGGTATGGAAAACTTTTCACAACTGATCTATCACAAATAGAGAGATGAGGGAGTGGAGTGTTTCATAGCACAAAATACCCTGACAGGTGCTTAGTTTTGGTAGGGCTGATGGTAAGACCACATCTTAGCGGCACACTCCAGTCGCAGCAGCAGCGCCTCCGACTCCAACTGAGTGAGCAGCAATCGCCAGCCATCCCTCGACCGCACCCGGGCATCGATCAGCCTTCCATTATATTTGTACCAGATGGAAATTCATCCAGTACAGCCATGGAAAGCTTCTGAAACCACGTGGTCAAAGATGTGACATAATCTGGGAGCCAGAGGACATCCTTGTCGTACCCCAAGGTGAACAGGCAATGTCTCCGACTCCTGGCCACGTAGCTTTACCCGGGCATGCCCACCATCATGAAGGCCCTTAATGATTGAGCCGTCAGGGCCACAGAAAGCACGCAAAACAGCCTGTTAATGGTATTATAGGCGTGTCGTAACCCTCCACCACCCGACAGCCAGGAAAGTTATTACGTAAACAAAACGTGGCAATTGGTTACTACTTCAGCTCGCCTATGTGTTGGGGAGTAAATTCACAACATTTACAACTTGAGTACGACGTTTCGCTGGTAATTACATCCAGCATCATCGGGCGATTTGCCAGAAGTGGCTGAATGTAATTATCAGCGAAACGTCGTACTCAAGTTGTAAATGTTGTGAATTTACTCCCCAACACAGGCGATCTGAAGTAGTATCCACTTGGCACGTTTTGTTTATGTGACAAACCTTACTGGCCGTGTATGGTGATCTAACCCAAAAGCCTTGGTTTGCGAAAGCCTACGTGTTAAACTGGTATCATAGGCGTTTACCAGGTCAATAAAGTAGATATGCAAGTCGTTGGAATTCCTTACAGCATTACCGTAGCAGACGGACAGAATATGGCATCCGTGCAGGTCTGCCTGGTCTGAAACCACATTGGGGCTCCGAAAGCCTCTCCTCAACGTGCCTAGCAAGGCGATGTTGAATAATCCTTGCCAGGGCCTGACCTGGCACACTGAGGAGATGCCCATGTAGTTGTTACAATCTATGCGGTCCCCCTTCTAAAAAAGGGGGGCCACCTGGGAATCTTTCCAATTCTACAGAACCCATCCTGTGGTCCACAGTTGTGATGTCATGTCGGACAGTCTGTACGCAGACACCACCCTCTAAGCATTTCGGTTGGGAGACCATCTCTGCCCGGCGCTTTTCCTGGTCTCGGAAACACTCCCACACATGTGCGCGCACGCACAGACACCTCCCCCCCGCCCTGCGTGAGAATGAATCATTACAGCTCGCGGAGGATCGAACAAAATACTTCCACGGTTCAGTTTGCAAGTGCGAGTTCGTGTTCTAAGACAATGTAATAAAATATATTGCATGGAAGTTGGTTCGTAAGTAGAGGACTACCTTGTTGAACTTCCTTTTCACCGTACGTAGCAAACCGTGCTCGTTTTCAGCTCAACGAAGTGGCTTATCACGTGGCAATGTAAGCAGCCCATACTCTAAACGCAAGTTGATTTTAATTGTGGAGGATAAAACTGGACCGGGAGAAAAAAAAAACCACGTGACCACGGGAAGAGAGACACGCAAACTCCAAATATACAGGCATCATCAGGGTCGGGATCGAACCCAGGGACTCCTGCGTGTCAGGCGAAAGTTAACATCTCGTCCCCGTTGCGCCCACACGTGTGGGGCGTGAGTGGTTGCGACCCAGGATCAACTTGGGGACGGAGTTCTCTCAAAAGTGGTCGTCGTTTCCCATTCCGGATTTTGGAATGGGGGGGAGGGGTGGAAAAAAAAGCACATCAAACTATTAAGAGGCGACGTGCGGAGGGATTTATTATTTAATTTGCACCAAAACTTAAGCCAAGCCCTAAATTCCCCACATTGCATCTTTCCCAATGATTGACGTGGTATTTTCTAGAGATTGTTGTGAACAGATGCAGCACAGTTAAGTGTTTTGTTCCAGATGTCTCAGATACTAAACGGAAATTAGTCTCTCACTAAAGTAATATTTTCTCAAGGGGCATCCTTGCGGGTTAGAGGCATTGAATTGAAATTAGCCAAATAAACAAATGATGCATTTCTATAAGAAAACCAGAACTTAATTTGAAATTAAGGGCCTGGTTTGTGTTGGTGCAAACAGTTCCCATACCTCTTTGATAGGTATTGTTATTTTATACTGGTAGGAACGAAGTTGTAAACTGATTGTACCAGCCTGCAATAGATTAATGTGTCCGTCCGTCCCCTTTCAATACTTTAACGAAGTGAAATCTCGTGCTGTTGGGTGTAAAATCAGCAATAGACAGCGCAGAGACTTGTCCTACCAGCCCACCCTGCAGGGACCTGTTCATAAAAAAATCAGGAAATTATTTTTCGCCAACAAATACGTCTAAGGTGACGTGTTTTATATTTGAATTTAGTGTACCGTCTCCATATCAACTCGACTCATCGGATGACAGTGACGCACGAGAACAAGAAGAATAACAAGGACACGTGTATACAACTTAATATCAGAACGTACAGGATATTAAAACACAGAGTACAATGTTTTATTTGTCACTCTCAGTGTGGTCAGACTTCTCACAACGGGGGGCTAATGCAGGCTGAGCGAAACTGGGAACAAATGGCTGTAAACAAATGAACATTAACATTTGCAGCAATACCAGCGGACGGCACGGTGTACAGCAAGCGTTCACACCTGCCTGTTGCTGACCCATGTAACGCTAAACAGAGATGCTCTCACAATTCTCAAAATAAAGCAGAGATCTGGTAAACATTGATTCTTGATAAAAGTTGGTCACACGCAAACACGAAAGCACACGGCACCTATTCAAGCATGCACACAATTCACTGCTCATAAAGCATTGCGGCACAGTCATTCCAACACGTTTTAATCTGCAATGTAATTTTTATCTTTTAACTTTTTTTTTTACAAACGGTACTACATCTCTCATGTCACTACATGCAACAAGACTGGGATCTCTGAAACGGTACTGAGACTACAGTAGGTACAGTGAGGGAAAAAAGTATTTGATCCCCTGCTGATTTTGTACGTTTGCCCACTGACAAAGAAATGATCACTCTATAATTTTAATGGTAGGTTTATTTGAACAGTGAGAGACAGAATAATAACAAAAATCCAGAAAAACGCATGTCAAAAATGTTATAAATTGATTTGCATTTTAATGAGGGAAGTACTTATTTGACCCCCCCCCCCCTCTCAATCAGAAAGACATCTGGCTCCCAGGTGTCTTTTATACAGGTAACGAGCTGAGATTAGGAGCACACTCTTAAAGGGAGTGCTCCTAATCTCAGCTTGTTACCTGTATAAAAGACACCTGTCCACAGAAGCAATCAATCAATCAGATTCCAAACTCTCCACCATGGCCAAGACCACAGAGCTCTCCAAGGATGTCAGGGACAAGATTGTAGACCTACACAAGGCTGGAATGGGCTACAAGACCATTGCCAAGCAGCTTGGTGAGGTGACAACAGTTGGTGCGATTATTCGCAAATGTAAGAAACACAAAAGAACTGTCAATCTCCCTCGGCCTGGGGCTCCATGCAAGATCTCATCTCGTGGAGTTGCAATGATCATGAGAACAGTGAGGAATCAGCCCAGAACTACACGGGAGGATCTTGTCAATGATCTCAAGGCAGCTGGGACCATAGTCACCAAGAAAACAATTGGTAACACACTACGCCGTGAAGGACTGCAATCCTGCAGCGCCCGCAAGGTCCCCCTGCTCAAGAAAGCACATACACATGCCCGTCTGAAGTTTGCCAATGAGCATCTGAATGATTTAGAGGACAACTGGGTGAAAGTGTTGTGGTCAGATGAGACCAAAATGGAGCTCTTTGGCATCAACTCAACTCGCCGAGTTTGAAGGAGGAATGCTGCCTATGACCCCAAGAACACCATCCCCACCGTCAAACATGGAGGTGGAAACATTATGCTTTGGGGGTGTTTTTCTGCTAAGGGAACAGGACAACTTCACCGCATCAAAGGGACGATGGACGGGGCCATGTACCATCAAATTCTTGGGTGAGAACCTCCTTCCCTCAGCCAGGGGATTGAAAATGGGTCGTGGATGGGTATTCCAGCATGACAATGACCCAAAACACGGCCAAGGCAACAAAGGAGTGGCTCAAGAAGAAGCACATTAAGGTCCTGGAGTGGCCTAGCCAGTCTCCAGACCTTAATCCCATAGAAAATCTGTGGAGGGAGCTGAAGGTTCAATTTGCAAAACGTCAGCCTCGAAACCTTAATGACTTGGAGAAGATCTGCAAAGAGGAGTGGGACAAAATCCCTCCTGAGATGTGTGCAAACCTGGTGGCCAACTACAAGAAACGTCTGACCTCTGTGATTGCCAACAAGGGATTTGCCACCAAGTACTAAGTCATGTTTTGCAGAGGGGGTCAAATACCTATATCCCTGATTAAAATGCAAATCAATTTATAACATTTTTGACATGCGTTTTTCTGGATTTTGTTGTTGTTATTCTGTCTCTCACTCTTCAAATAAACCTACCATTAAAATTATAGACTGATAATTTCTTTGTCAGTGGGCAAACGTACAAAATCAGCAGGGGATCAAATACTTTTTTCCCTCACTGTAGGTGGTAATGTGGCTGGGGTTGCTGCAGCTGACAGGACACCGTGCCCCGAGCCCTGGCAGACAGACGCTGCTGGAACAGCCACATGCTGCCGCCACGTGGGTTAATGCTGTGGGGTTTTAACTGCAATCGCTGCAAAGCCGCCCCGCTAGGCATGAAGCAAAGCCCACCTGCCGTACTTCAAACACAATACTCAGAGGCTCAAGTATTTCCACTAATAACTACACTAAATGGATAAATTACACATACAGGATCACTACAGTATATGAAATGTTCACTAGTGACTAAAATACACAGCTTTGTCTTAATAAACACCAAAACGCACCCCCCCCCCTCCCAGATCTAGAGAAATTCCCATATTCTACAAGAAGTGGCCCAAGGAACAACAAAATCTAAATACATTGAATGGGATTGTGTAGTTGTATTAATAGGCGCTACGGACGTAGACGATGAGCACTGAGGTAGGATATGGGAAAGGCCCCATCGCGATCTGGGAGGGCTGAATACAATTACCATCATTCAAGCTAACGCCAGCTAGGAGGGCTCCATCATCCCAACAGGATACCTGAAGCTGCGTAAGTGAGAAGGCCTTGCGCCCATTCATGTCTGGCGGATCCGTATTGTCTCGCGCTTTTCGTGAAAACGTCCATCCGCGCCATCATCGCTCGCCGAGCCTCGTGGAATATGGCACGCCAACGAGTCCGACGCAGTCACAGCTTGTCAAGTAACGAGCAACCGGAGACACCGCAGCGAGACGCAGTGCTGTTTTCTTTCAGATACTAGTACAAGCCGCGCCCCCAGACCTCGAGATACAGTGAAACACAGGAGCACCGCTTGCTATGGTTCCTTTCATCCAGTAGTTGTGCGTTGACAAGAGGTCGTTGACGGGAGAGTTGTATGATTTCAAGGGGCTGCTGCCTCTTGTTGCCGTGGCACGTCGGGCCTTCAAGGCCCCCACAGCGACTGCGTCTTCATGTTGACGTCGGACAGGCAGACGTCCTGGTCGCTCAATATCTCGCTCATGCTGAAGTCCGAGAGGCACACGGGCTCCTGGGCCGCCAGGTCCCTGAGCCCCACGTCCTGCAGACAGCCGTGCGGGCCCGGCCCGGGTAGCTCCCCCATCGAGAAGTCGGGCAAGCAGCGGCGGCCCATCATGGCCGCTGGGAAGAAGCCTCCGTCAGGCCCCAGCAGGTCGCTCATGTCGACGCGTTCGGTGCGAGCAATTCCCGCGCTCGTGACGCACACACGCTCCACGCTGGCGATCTCGCCCAGACCGGCACCGCCCACCACGCCCGGCACGCGCACGCGCTCGACTCCCGTCACCTCCCCCATGCGCACGCGCTCGACTCCCGTCACCTCCCCTGCCTCCCCCACACACACGCGCTCGATGCTGGCGATCTCGCTCAGCCCGTCTGCCAGGCAGAGCTCTGTACCGCCCCCGCGGCGCGTGCCGTGCAGCAGATCGGGGTAGAACGGCCCGCGGCGCGCGCTCACAATCTGCTGCAGGTGGTGGTTGTGGTGCTGCTCCAGCGTGAGCGGCTCCGGCAGGCACGCGCCCTGCTCCTCCTCTTCCTCCACGCCGCTGCCGCAGAGGTCCTGCGCTGTGCAGCCCGCACGCTTGGTGCTCGAGATCTCCACAATGCGCATGCCCGTGAGGGAGAGCGGGCCCCCACGTGACAGGCAGCCCCGGCCCTCCCCCAGCATCGCGTCCCGCAGGCAGTCCGCTCGCGCCCCCACGTCGCCCACATCTGACAGGCACTCCGCGTCCTCGTCCGCCGCCGCCATGTCCTGCAGACACACGTCGCTCGAGATGTCCATGTCGGAGAAGCCCGCGGGAATGGAGACGTCCGGGAAGCCCAGGTAGGGCTGTGCCTCCTCAACAGGGGAGGGTCGTTTGGCCGCACGTGCCGCCCTCATCTCTCCCTTGCCCCGTGCCGCCTTAACCCCGGGAGGAAGGCGAGAGCCCGCGTATTGCTTCTGGCCGACGCAATCTTTTTCCGCTGCCGTCGTGGTCTCGGTCGGGACGGAGTTCCGGTGGCGCCGTTTCTCCGGCGCGGCGCTGGGTGGCTCCTCCGGAGGAGGAATGGCGGGGGCCGCCGTGACCTTGTCGAATTCGTGCTCGGCAAAGCAGCGGTGGTGTCCGTCGGAGCTGCGCCTAAGGGCCCCCAAACTATGCTGCTTGCAGAATGAACTGGGGCAGATCTGGCAGAACGCCACCGCCGTCTTCCCACACACATCGCACACGTGCCACGGGCACTCCCACTTGCCTGTACACAGACATATATACACACACAACACAAACATACACGGAGCATGCAGACCCACAGAGCTCACACACACAAGGCACACACACACAAACAGTAATTCGCTTAGGGTTCATGGACTCCTTGTCTGAAAGTCTTAGTTTGGAATCAGTCCATTTCGGTGTCTGATTTGCAGACATGCAGGATTAGCACTTCCTTTCCAAATTGTAGCGATGATCCTTACTTTCCTAAAACATTTTTTTATCAGACTTGGGACTTGAAACAGAGACACTTCACCTCCAAGACTGGTGGATCTTGTGGCTCTAAGACAAGTTTAATCTTTCTCAGTATAACACGTTCTTGTTGCGCAAACATTCATGGCGTGATACTCATCTCCACGTTACAGCCCTCAGCTAGTGTTGACAATTCCCCATTCTTATGGCTAGGACAAGTCTATTCCAAGGTTAACCACTGCTGACTTTGCACAAGGTACTACTACTAATTTTATCGACCCTGGAGGGATGAGGGATGAATCGATCCTCGCCCGGGATTTAAACTTGTCAGTCGTGCTGAACGTAATGCCCGCAGTGCAGTGGACGTGCAGTTGGCGCTAAATAACGCCACCTGCTGACGGCGAGGGAGGTCGTGCGAGTATTTAGAACCCAGCTAGCACTGGTCAAAGGCCCCTAGATTGATTGACGTTAATATGATTTCACTTTCTTGGTGTCAAAACACAAACAGCCCAAGAAACTGAAATGGCACAAATGGCATACAGTATTTCTGTGTAGTGTGGAACAGTCTGCAAAGCATTAGTGGAGAGCTGCTGCCTATAAAATATCACAAAACCCAGCAGCGATCGTTTAGAGATCACACACTGGTTGATGACATTCAAAACCGATGCTCACTCAAACGAATTCTGCGAGAAAAAAACATTGGCACACAAGGCCAACAGGCTGATGGGCCTGAATGATTTTATTTTTATTTTTGGGAGGATGAAGCAGACTCTCGTTTGCTTGGATTGTTTACTGCTGCACTACCACCACTACCACCAGGAAGGTACACCGTGAGACCGTCAAGGGGGAATGTGGCGTCTCCTTCACCCGAGCGCCGGCATCGGGTGGCGTGCGGCAGTGGCAGCATCCTGGGGGCCCACTTACCCTCGGGCAGCGTGCCGAGGTTGAGGCACGCCAGGTGGAAGGTTTTGGTGCAGTTGCGGTGGTCGCACATGACGAGCTCGCCTCCGTCCTTGCAGCGGTAGCATTCGCTGTCGTGCACCTTGTCCGCTCGCACTTTGCGCTTGCGATACTTTCTCTTGGGCTTCTTGTCCACAACCGCCGACTGTGCCCGCACACGAACACACACTGTCGCGGCGCTCGTGCACAGACGCCGGTGTATGTGCACATGTCACTCGGAGCCGACGTCCGTCGCCCCCAGAGCACGTCGCAAAACACGACCCCACAGGCGAGGCCGGCGCGCCGCGCACAGCGCCGCCATTACCTTGGGCCGCACGCCCAGGAAGCCGCTGCAGTTGGGGGCGCCGCACATGCACACGGTCTTCTCGTTGCCCAGGCAGTCCAGGTTGTAGTTGAACGTCAGCTCCGTGCCTGTACGTGCCCGCCAGCAGGGTTTATCATTGCATTAACGGCGCAGCCTTTGCGCACAACACAACTCCAAAATCCGCAGTCACATGCGACGCAAGGTACGACAAACGAAGCAACGTGGAGGCAAGACGACAAGAGTCATACTGGGTCACACTGGGCTGCTCACCATTAACAAAAATACACATGCCATAACTCCACAAAGGTAAAAAAATTGTTCTAATTTTAAATTACATGGGTGATCATAAACGTTCCCTTGCCTCAGTTATTTACTCCAGACTGAGACGCTCACAAATGCAGCACATACCGCACACTCGCCGTGTAAAATTATCAAGGCTATAGAGGTGATGAGGACCCTGGATGGGGGCTGTACATACATGCTCCCACACGTGTTCTTGTGTGTGCGAGTGTATGCAGAAGTGAGAAACAGTGATGTAGTGGTTAGCTCACGGTGCTACGAACCTAGATCCCATTCCCAGACACAGCTAACGTCTGTGGCAATTGATATCTGGTTAACTCGGCCTTAAATGAGTATTTGGTGCTGTGTGTAAACATCGCCACTGGCTCATGGCCATCCAACCCCTGGTGTGCCGTGCCAGTCTTCAAAAGGTCCTTGCTAACACTTGCCCCAACAGTCTGTTAAGTCAATACAGGGGCTCTTTGTCACCCAATATGCAGATGAAAAGTTAAGTTTCAGTTTTCTGGTATCACAATTTGTTACTTTAGGTGTAAAAGTCACCTGATAAGCATGTCATTCTAATCTCTTCAGGGTTACATGCTAATCAGGATCCCCTCTTCTTCTCTGCATCTACGGTTATACTACGACTCGACACAGCTAATGTAATTCATTTTTCAACTCTGTTGACCAACCAGTAAATATTTAGAAATTATCTTTAAACACACAGTGGCTTCGGTTTAACAGCAAACAAATAAAACCAAGAGGCTTGACCTTGAAAACAACAAACTTGAATATTGAGTGGTACCCTCGTGAGCATGCAGGGGCCTTACCGCATGGGATATCACTGACAGCGAAGAGCCCCACGCGGGTATCCCCATTCACTGTCCACTTCTGTGTCTCGCAGTTGGGCTGGCAGCTGTGGTTCATGAAGCGGGAGAAGTTCCCCTTGGGCCCCGCGTCGATGATTCGGTCCTGAGCTCATGGCGCAATCCGGGAGCAGCAGCGGCAGCAGCGGCAGCATCACCACCCACATGCCCAGCGCTCAGTGAGCAAAATTATTCAAATGTGCCCAGCACTCACTCATTTAGCCAGGCGAACAGATACTTGTTCCAAATCTAGTGTAAAGTCAAACGCATTTCATTAAAAAAATCAAAACATGTCAACATCTTAATGGTAAAATTTCAGTTTATATTTGATTAATAGGTGTTGCTATTGAAATTAGACTAAGTTTTGGGTGGGTCTTAAATCGGGCCTAACAGGCCGGTTACTGATATTTGACCGATGGCCACCCAAAACCCCAGAAACCAAGGGATGCCCAGCGGCTCCCTCCTCGTGAGTTTGTGGCACCACATCGGTGCTACGGCGCCAGAAAACCCACACATGGCTCTGCACTCATCGACTGCTCCTACTTGACATCCGCAGCCTCATGACGCACATTTACTTTCGATGCACCAACTAATTGTGCATTCACGCACGTGGCCTGCGAGCATGGGGGCACAGCTGCTCGCCGCTCACCTTGTCAATGGTGAGCATGTAGAAGTTGGTGAGGTGGTGTTCGTGCGCATGCTTGATGCGAGCGCGGCACTCCTCTTCGTCAATCAGCTCCCCCACGTACTCGTTCACAAACTCCCCCTGCCGTCGGCATCACGCAGAGCACAGCAGGGGCACGCCGCTTAGCCGGAGCCATGCCACATCAATACGGCTGCACTCACCTCCTCACGACCCCGCCCACCTCGCTCACGATCCTGTCCACCTCCTCATGGCCTCCATCATTACCTTACTCGCCTACCTCCTCGCAGCCACACACACTTCCTCACTCGCGGACACGCTCATTTGATCCCGCACTTCCTCACCCACGACCACGCGAACTTCGCATTGCCCAAGTACCCCGTGACACCCGTTCTTCCCCCTCTGTGATCTCTGCACGGCCCCCATGCCCACACGCACGCCGCGTGGCCCCACATGCCTTTTTGATGTTGGCCTTGGCGCGCAGGCCCCAGCCCTTATTTTCGCTGCGGAAGATCTCGGCGTCGGGGTAGATGCGTTTGTTGAAGCACTGGTTGTGGCAGCGGTGGCCCGCGGGGCACACCGTCGGATGGCACTCGTACAGAAGCATGCGGTTGAGGCACTCCGAGTCGAGGCCGCAGGGTGACTCGTCCGCGGGCTTGCAGTTGCAGCGCGGGATCTCGGACAGGTCGGCTGCATAGATCTGGACGCGGCCTACCGGTTTGTTCACCTGTGGCACGCGCAGCAGCACACGCTAGTACACATGGGGTGCGCACTCCCTACACACGCTCGTATACGCAATTTGCTAGGGTGTATTTGAGTGGTAGGGTGTGTGCATGTGCGGTACATGTTGTTTGCGGTGTGGATATGAGTGAGTGTAGGGTACGGTGTGTATACGCATGTGTGTGTGTAGGGTGCGGTCTGTATATTCGTGTGTGTAGGGGGCAATGTGTATACGCATGTGCGTGTGTGTAGGGTGCGGTCTGTATATGCGTATGCATGTAGGTGGCGGTCTGTATATGGGTGTGTGTAGGGTGTGGTGCGCGAGTGGTGTTCGTGGGGTAGTATGTGTGTAGGCTGTGGTGCGGGGCATTTGCGCACCTTAACATGCTTGTAGGGTGGAGGCTTGCGCTGGTTGCGCTCATTCTCCTGTGCCTCCTTCTGCGCCTTCACCATCTTCAAGTCCTGGAAGCGGCTGGCTGCCTCCTGAAGGGCTGCACCCGACAACATCGTCACAATATAACACTACACCAGACCACATGACCTATTATCATACCATCACCGCTCCACACTACTGCCATAAGGGCACAGCAATGGGGTCATCAAAGCAGCCATATAAATCCTGCAGTTCCTGCCAAGTCAATCCCCAACTCCAAGTTCTGCTCCGAGTCTCCATCTGCCTGGCTTTAGGGCCCCCCCCCCCCCTTGGTCGCCGACCTCTGGGTGCCATGCCAATGGCCATCCCTGTATCTCACCCTCCTCCACGCTGCACTCGTGCTCAACCCATCACGACCGCCTCTTCCCCGCTCACATATTTGCTCTCCTGCGATATTATATTCCAAACCTCTAAGTTGCTTAACTTATTCTTGGTTGAAGCCCCAAGGCATCTTATATCACGCTGGTAACTACCTTGCCTGGTATACAGGAGGTTGTGGGTTCGATCCCGACCTTGACACCTGTGTATTTGGAGTTTGCATGCTCTCTCAGTGGTCAAGTAGATTTTTCTCCAGGTCCTCCAGTTTTTCAATCCACATTTAAAAATCAACGTGCGTTTAGAGAATTTGGCTGTCATACATTTCCCCATGATAAGCCACTTCGTTGACGCATCATTTGAGGCCACGTCACTTCTGAAAAAGAGCTGCATAGCTCGGTGGGCCTCGCCTAGTGAAATCAAAAGTTAGTTAAATATTCAACTGCATTAATAGGCCAAAAGCTTATTTTCTAGTCCGTGTCATGGTATTGTGGAGCTAGACTTACCAAAAAAATGGCTAAGTGTCAGAGACGGCAAACATCCTTACTCCACCTCCGTGAAAGAAATACGCAGAGGCACTCCCAGGGAGCCAACGCACACAAGCAATGACCTGATGATCTCCCCAGCGCAGGCACTCGGCCCTCACAGGCCCTCACAGGCACCCGTGTGAGGCGAGCTTGGGCCTAGGGTGGCCCACACTGAGCTAGGAAAGTGGTGCCCAACAACAGCAGCAGAGCCCAACCCGTCCCACAGATCACATCTCCACGAACCCTGCTTGAAGATTCGGTTGATGCCCTTGGTCCTGTTGGCCGTGCTGCCCTTGTCTCCCTCCAGGTAGGGAAAAACGCGTGCCTGGTACGTCCAGAAGAAGTCATGCGAGCCGAAGAAGCGCACGGGGAACTCGCCCAGGGAGTGCCGCAGGGTCAGAATGTTGGTGGGCAGAGAGCGGGGGTTGCAGACCTCCGCTGGCCACCACCTGTATTACACAGTGGCATCGATCCTTTCTTAGTTTGGCAGAAGACCGCCACCACCGGCAAGGTGCGATTGGCATTACGCGCCCGGCACGACGCAACCGGCGCAGCGCGACGCAGCATGGCACAATAAGCATAACACACAATAAGCAATGCACAAAAGCTTCAAGAGCACAACGAGCACAGCACCTGAAGAGAAATGCAATTATGTGGTGTAAGGTAATGTATATTATAGCACACCACAACACCGCTTATCGCACACTTACTGGACTTTATGGTAGAGTTTATAAACAACACAATTGGGACAAGAGTAGAATCTAAAATCTGAATAATCTAAGCCTCTGTCCCTGGCAACCTCAAAAATGCCTCTCACAATCGGCGACTTAGAAAGAGCACGATCCGGCCATCCCCTCCCACAGTCCGTATGCCGAGGGCAGTGAGGCCACGCACAGAGCCAGGGCACCACAGGGCACACGCATGGCATGCACTTGTAAAGCAGTTTAAAGGGTCTTGACATTGCTTCACAGCATACTCTTGAGCCTCATTCACATGTTGGTTGTACATGTGGAGACAGGAAAGTGACGCAGGAATTTGACCACAACCACACACCACTTTTTAGCCCTCGTGTGAGCAGGCCTGGTTTCTCTCTTCCAGGCACCAACACCATTCTCATCTCCAATTTACAAAAACATTCACAATACCACACACACACCTCTTTACATGTCACAAAAAGTCCCCTTAATACATCCACAAAAACAAAAATTATTTAAAACTATAAACTTCTTATTTGACCAGGTAAAGCCCACTGAGCTATATAGCTCTTTTTCAGAAGCAACCTGGCCACAAATGATAGCTCAACAAAGTGGCTTATCATGTGGACATTTATAGCAGCTAAATACTCTACACGCATGTTTCTAAATGTGGAGGGGAAAAACCCGCGTTCCGGGCGAAAAATCCACGTGACCACGAGGAAAACACACAAACTCCAAATATACCAGGCGAGGTCGTTAACATCTCGCCACCAGAGACCCTCACGCTGAACACACCTGGCACTAAACCACACGTCTCCTCACACGCTCACAGACCTGTAGCTGCCCACTTTGACCCAGACGACGTCGCGGTAGTGAGGCCGTCGTCCTGCCTTGCAGTCGTTGCAGTACCAACTGCCCTCCGGCATGTCCATGCAGAGGCACTCGGGGTGGAAGGCGGCAGGACACGCCTCACAGCACAGCAGTTTCCCTCCTGCGGCAGCGCACGGGAGCATCAGACACGGTACATCCTCGCACGGTGCCTCACCTACGCACCCCGGCCTCATCACCAACAATCACTCCCAGGGTTCGTGGTGACACTTCTCAATCAAGGCCTGTAAAACCTTTATCAGAACCTCCGTTTACAGCAGCTAAAACACATACGTTGAGCATTTTTATCAATAAACATCAGTTTCATCGTTCATTTTAAAAGTAGAACTGCACACCGTGTCATTTTCTAATCTCGTTCTGTCTCACACCATGCATTTTTATCCAGGTCTCCCCGAGCATAAAGAACTGCATAAAAATGGGCCCACACGATCATACAAAATAGATTCCTCCACTTAATTTTGAAATGACGAGTAAATCCAGAATCCACTCCCCGCTGCATTCAATAGCCCATCACTCCCTGCCTACATGCGTAAATAGGCCGCAAGACAACTTGTTGACTGCCCACTGTTACCGTGCTTCCAAGACAGTTATTTTTTTATATTTGAAAAGCATCATTATGCCAAGTTATTTGGAAAATATATAGGAAGGCTAAAAATGTGCATGTCCTTAATATTACTTCAATTCAGAAATGCCCTAACTAGCTGTTTTCACATTTAGCCTGACCGATGCCGGATAAACAATACAATAATTCGGCACTGCCTCCTGCGCCGACTGAAGCCCACGACGTGCGCACTGTGCATCACGTCACGTCATGGCGAGTGGCTTCCCGCGGGATTGTCTCGCTCAACCGCCGTCTCTCGCTTCATCTCCTCTCTTATTGTCTCATTCACTCTGGTTTTGTCCTCCTTGCGTTATTTTCCTCCGTTTGTGTGGCCTTTGTTTTGCTGCTCGGAGGGCATCGACTCTCAATAGTGAGCAGTACGGCAAACAATGGCGTTTACAGCAGTAATTTTTATTTTTATCATACACGTATTTAATAGTCTTTGGGAAAATGTTATTGTATTATATTCTCGTTGCATTTGCAGCCAGCCGGACTTTTTGGCGAGCCGGAGCAGGGTTTCCTCCTATTAGTTCCGCTGCCGGGGTTTGGCTGTGAATGCATTTTGGATGTCGTGAATATATTTTAACTTTAAATTGGCTTGCAGTGAGATTTAATCCAAAAGCAATTAAACACCAACAAGCAGCCGTAAAGAAAAATAATTCCGTATTAGGAAACGGGGAGTGATTCTGATTATATGAATACACTCGACTTGAATAAGCCTAGTAATTTCTCCTCGTTCTTTTGTAAATTCAGTGTTTAAAATCAGAAAAATTAATCCAACTATAATTAATCGCAGAGTTTTATAATAACAATTAGGGATGCTACCCTGCCATTGACAGAAAAGCAAACACTCTGGCTCAAAGATGAGTTGCCCAGACTGAAATTGGCTGGGTGGCGCAGCGGCTAGAGGACTTAACAAGCTGCACATGGAAGTCAAGTCAGCTCATCGCTCTCGGGTCCCTCAGATAGACAAGTACTAATTTTTGAGAAGACATCAGTGCTCAATTAATGGAATAATCTCCAACAGGGATGTGGAGTTGCCATCTCTGACTCCAGGCTGGCAATGATTAAGATCGCCTATCTATAGGACCCTTTTTATGCTCATATTAAGTTGATGAAAATATAGCCGGCTTTACCTTTCCCGGTAAGAATAAAGGTGTTAAGATGTTCAAACGCCAAATACACCCATCACAAGGCAACAAAAGTCTGACTTACCACACATGCTGGTGGTAAAATATGTAAACAAACATGCTTTGATAATTATATGCCAAAAGGAGAACAGCATCTTTATGATCGCTGTCTCATTGCCCGTTTGACGAGCAGCAGGACACTTTGACTTTGAGCAGAATAAAAAAAACCGTCAAGTTCTCCACCTCTTGAGCAGACGAAGCACCAGCTGACGTTAACATGTGAGTGGTGGTTGCAGCCCTTCTGGGCGGCAAAGTGTTTTGGGCACACGATGCTGTTAGAGGCCAGGATGGTGCTGCCTGCTGCGATGCAGTTGTCCCCTGTGTGGTACGCTACGGGGCACCGTACGCAGCGCATGAGGCGGCCACCTGCGCAAGGAGCATAAGCAACACGCACACGCGCACAAACATACGTTGCAGGTTACACACACACGTGTGTATGTTTAACTTCTTTCGCATCGTATATAGCCAACCGTGTTAATCGGAGGTGTGGGGTAAGACAACAAACTAAACACAAAAAGCTGTTCTAAATAAATTAGTTTCCAAGCTATATAATTTGAAAGTGCATCACTCCAGTGGCTTCCAAATATCGGAAGAACATTCCAGAAGGCCACAGAAGTGCATCTGAAAGCGTGCAATGTACACACACACGTTCACAACACGTTGTCGTTCCAGTATTGGGCCTACGTTTGAGAAAGATTATAAAATGGTTTTAACTCTTGAGAACCATGAATAAGAATGCACAACAGGATGTAAGTTCGCAACGTGGTTCAAATTTTGCATCTGTTGTGATGGACATATTTATGCTATACCATAGCATGTGGTGTGTAATGGTGTGGTGTGCGTATACAATGTGTATGTGCATTGTGCGATGGTATGGTGAGGGGGCAGTGTGTGGGTGTGCGAGATGGGATGGTGTTTGCATATGTGATGGTATTGTGTAGAGAGCGGCTAGCACATTGCGCTACGACACCGGCCAAAATCCGTGACAAATATTTGACCTGGTCCTGGGCCTCTTCTAGGTTGAATAACCCTTAAAGTATTAGTACCTCGTTCCGTATGAACATCAGCACTGGAAACACAAAGGCGGACAGGCGGGGTGCTGGCCACCCACTATCTCTTGTGCCATTCAGACCTTTATTAAGTGCTCACTAACAGCTCTTTCCCCAGCAGCGTGTTAAGGCTGCACAGGGGACCCGTGTCTTGGTTTAGTGAGCGATGGCGCAGTGTGGGAAGGCGCGCACCCCTGAATGCACGCGGGTTGTCGGGCTGTGAAATGTGACAGGCCAGGCACACGTGCAGCGAGCAGCGGAAGCCCTTGCCCTCCAGCACAGTCCCGCTCAGGCGCCGCACGCACTCCACGTGGTAGAATTTCCCGCAGAGCGGCGCGAGGCAGCGCTTCAAGTCGGCGCCAGGCTCCTTGCAGTCAAAGCACGTGTGCACACCTGCACCGCCGCCGTGCAACACGCGCAGGGCACGCCGCTCACCGATACCGCCCGACTCCAACACATTGCGAGCACAGGAACACATTGTGTAAAAAAAAGTGTATTTGTAACTTAAATTCTCCAAAATGATGCTGAATGATTATTTTGTGCTTTACATTCATTATATAGTTTTGTGTCAATCTAGGACCCACATCTAACAGAACGGGTTCTTGGCTATAAACATGTGGCAGTTCACCAGCATTAGTTCAAGCAAGCCTGGCTCTGCTGATGAGACACAATGTCGAAAGCAGCCCAGAATTTGGTTGTGTTATACCAACGCTGCTGCAAACATGCACTCCCAAAAGGCTACATAGCTGATGGGATGTGTGAAAATACTTAGGATTTGATAATTGTTTTTTTTTTACCCTTTTATCTAGCAACAAAACTGACACCTTTTTTTACAAGGAGTCATGTTTGCATTGACTACAATACCTGCGGTCGGGAATGCAAACAAAAAAACATAACTCTGACAATGTATGCACTGTTCCTTGAAATTGATTGGTCCACACCCGAGACAGCTTTCCTTAGAGTCTAGTCTCACATGGTGTTGGACCAGATGACGCCAAAAGTCGCAGGGAGAGGTAACTCATGGAGAAGAGCTAGGAGTGATGGCCACAGGGAAGAGAAGGCCTCACCTGACTTGCATTCGCTGCACATGAACTTGCCGGAGGGCACTGTGTCAAGTTCCATGCAGGATAAGTGGAAGGCACTGCAGCATTGGCCCTCGCAGAGTATCAGCTCCCCCGTCTTCTCACAGATCTGGAGACACGATGACATTGAGAGAACATTTGCAGCAGCAGAGGGGAAATCTGAACGACCCACGGTGGATGTGCAGCTGGTACCGATACAGAATACTATGACATATTTGGAGACAAACGATGGCACGGTGGGTTAGTGCACCTTGCAACGAGCCTGTTTGATTCCCATCCATGTCTAGAGTGATATCTGAACTGGTACTTCACCAACCCGCAATGACAAGGGGGGGGGGTAAAGTATGGTTAAGAGACCCACACTACTGACAGTGTGGGAATTCTTCATCCAGTGAACTGACAAGGTTCTGCATTTACGACCATTATAAAAAGCCCCTAATAATAAAATAATCATTAAAATGTATAATGCGCATTCCATCCTAGGATCCAATGCGCAATGCATGAAGAGCAGGAAAAAAACAGAGCCAGGACAACCAACTAAACAAAAGAGGGAAGGCCACTTTACAGAGATTGGTTTAGGCCTTGGCAAGGTAAGATAAATTACCCTTTTTACCGGGTAAAAGGGTAAAGGTGTTGACATGCCAAGGGGTAAGGTAAAGGGTCGGGTAAAGGTAGCGCGAAGTACTACCCGGTAAATACCTTGTTTACCGCTCGCTAAAAACTCCGTGGCGCAGACCGTGGCCTCCACTTAAAATTGGAATCATCGAGAGTATTCTATACTCGCTTTACTACCCGGCTTCGCCCGAGACTTGGAATCTTGTCTTGGATTAATACACGGCCTACGCGGAGGGTTTGGGGGGGGGGAGGATCAGCAAGCACACCGCGTGACGCTGCCGCATGCGGGCGACATCACAGATGTGACGTCACTGCTCACTTGCCGTGCAAAATATATGCATTATTGCACCCCCCACACATTTTTTTTACAAAAGTCTATTCTTATAATTATTGCATGGTGTACAGTCTGGGAAGTACCCACATGCTAAATTTCAAGTTTGTTGCATGTCGGGAAGTATGCTAAACATTTTGAACAGACATACATTCACAAATTTCCCTTTTATATATATAGATGAATAAAGCGCTCTACCGAGCATTTACCTGTTATAAACCTTTTTCATGTGTAGTACCCCAGTAATTACCCTGTAATCGGGTAATTTGTATGGGATAAGGGTAAAAGGTAGGGTAAAGGTAGGCTCGTTGCTTTTGACCTTTTACCTTTAACCTTACCTGCTAAAGGGTAAAAGGTAGGGTAGAGTGATTGTATTGTGGTAAAGTAAAAGGTAGGGTAAAGGTAGGCTCGTTGTTTTTACCTTTTACCTTACCTTGCCGAGGCCTAGATTGGATCTCCTGACTGATTGCCTGACGTCAAGTGGCAAGGCAACCCGTAGCTTGGGTGCCACGCTAACAAAAGCTCAATCGCCAAAAGAGTGCAACCTAGACCTGGGAATGCTGAGCAGCTGGAGATCAGAAGATCTGAAGGACCTTGATGGAAGATATAAATGTGTAATGACAGGGGACACCTGCTGGCCGGAAAGGGAATCACGGGTACGAGCACAGTTAAGTACCAACCAATCAGAGGAGGAGGTGTATCTGGGGCAAAGGTAACAGGAGGGGCTAGCCGAGATACTCCGGGAACCTGCTCGAAGGTTCCACGAGAGGGCGTGGCCGGAGGCGGGGCCTAGCCACGCCTGGGGGGATATAAGGGGGAGCGGACCAGGGGCTCGTGTGTGGGGTCCTGGGTCCTGGCTGCGTTGCTGCTCGCCGACATCTCTCGCCGCCGTCCGGCCACGTGGAAGATCTCCTGCGTAGTTTCCATCGCCGTCATCGTCACGCCGCCAACCAGCGGCGTAGCCAAGTGAGGGCAATGGGACCACCCTAAGTGATCGGCTGTGTGTGTAGCCATTAGAGGTGTTAATACCTAGAGTTATACTCGGTGTGAGGAAGAACAAGTGTTGGCCTGTGTTGTGCCCAGTGTGAGTAATAAAGAAGTACCCTCTCGCTCATTACAAATGTATTAGTTCGTGCAATTCATGTGGGGTGAGGTATTTTAAAGCCTTCTAGGTTAATATCTTAAAATCCACTAGGAATGTGACTGGTAGCCAATGAAGGGATACGAGGACTGGTGTAACATTCTCATTGAAAGGTGTACGTGTAAGCACTCTAGCGGCTGCATTCTGAACAAGCTGGAGTCTCATCAGTAAGGCCTTGCAGTAGTTGAGTAGGGATAACAAAAGCATGGACCAGTCTCTCCAAGTCAGCAGGTGACAGGAAGCAATGCATTCTAGCAATATTTCTTTGACGAAAAAAGGAATTTTTAATCACCTTTGATATGTCCGTCAAATGACGACTGGTCAAATTGAACTCCGAGGTTTCTGACCTCCCATGTGGGACTGACATCGTGACCATCAACCAACAAACGAGGCAAACCAATTTTAGAAAGATGCAAAGGGGAGCCGATGAATATGGCTTCGGTCTTCGTCGGCATTGAGTAGCAAAAAGTTTTGGCGCAACCATGAATTCACTACTGTTAGTGATGCAGATAGCGCAGACGAAGTTGCTACATGGTCTGGTCCTAACAGGATATAAATGTAAGTATCATCTGAACAGCAATGGTAGGATAAGCCAAGATGTCAGAGCAAAATACCCAATGGTGCCATGTAGATGCTAAAAAGTGATGGGACAAACACAGATAACCGGTCTAATTGGTGACTTGCAGCCATCCATCGTGACAAAGTACCTACGTTTCTTTAAGTAAGAGTGGAACCAGAACAAAGCTATGGCAGAGATTCCCATTGAAACTTCCAGTCACTCAAGGAGAACCCCGTGATCAATGGAGTCAAATGCCTAGCTTAAATCTAGCAGAATGAGGAGACTGACAAAGCCTTTTTATGCTAACAAAAGATTGTCATTGATCTCCCTTACCAGAGCAGTCTCAGTGCTATGCTCTGGTCTGAACCCCGATTGAAAGCGGCCAATTTGATCATTTGAGGCCAGGTGCTGATGTAAACGAAAGACCACAACTTGTTCCAGAAATTTAGACAAATACAAAAGGTTAGAAAAAGTGAAACATTTTCAGTAGCTCAGGATCAAGACCCAGCTTTTTTTTAAAGTGAGGTGACTGCAGTCATCTTAAAAATTTCAGGAAATGTGCCGGTTTTGAGGGACCAGTCTTCTGACCAAGGATAAATGGCCTCAGTATAACTGAATGGTACCGTAACAGCCCCTGACATCGAAATCATGAGAAATGAACCTCTAGAGCATTGGTTCCCAATCCGTGGTCCGCAAGGACATGGAAAGTGGTCCATGGAACCATTGGAGATACAACCATTTAGAATTGTTAACATTATAAAATGTTATTGGTGCACAGTGGTCCACTAAAAATTACGAAGGTTGCTAGTGACAGTCCGCGGTTCAGATACGTTGGGAACCGCTGCTGTGGAGAAGTCACAGAAATATAAAATATCACCAGTAGGTGGCCCAAAAGCAGCCTCCATCACAGATCAAGCACGACCTGCATAACCCGCCGTGAAGATGCAGGCAGCCCAGACATCCACTAATTACTGAGACCCACCCTACCCAAGCACTGAGCATCATGCTGAAGTCCGAGCCCCCTGTCGCTTGGCTCCTGACCCAGCCGGCTCACCTGGCACACGCTCTCCTTCTTGGCGGCGCCCCCGCCCCCACGCTCGGAGCGCTTGTGAGAAGACACCGTGGCCAGGGACAGATCGGCGCTCTCCTCGTCCTCCGCAGGTCCCTCCACCTGGCCCTCCTCTGACACCTGACCAACCACGACCGTTGTAGTTAAACACTCACACGTGTAAGTACCCACCTGTGTGCATGTGTGCGAGCGTGGGTATGTGTGTCCACTAGCATTAGTGTAGTGTTTACTGCACTTCGCTAGGGACCCAGTGACAAAAATTTCATTTCCACTTACGGCCAACATCATTGACAACTATCTGAACCGGTCCTGCGTGAATTTGTGTACGTATGTACATGTGGGTGTTTGTACGCGCACCTGTATGAGTTTGCGTGAGTATAGTTGTGTGTGAGAGCCCAGTTTAGGTGTTCCAAGCTACGCGCACAGACACGGTTCTGTGTGGTCGAAACTTCACCTCCGACTCCTGAGCAGAGCCAGTATCACCAGAAGCCGCCTTCTCTTTCAGCGGCACAGGGCACGATGAAGCCTCGGGTGCCGACGCGCGGTTACGTTTCTTCAGAGGCTTGCACGCATCAGCCAGCTGGCTCACCTCTGAGGGGACACAGAGGGTCCAAGCATCAACACAGCACACATGGAGACACAAACTCAACACTGCACACACACACACAAGACACTCACTCAATATGCACAAGCACATGTGGTTCCCTTGAGCTCAGTGACAAATCACAACACAACGAAAAGGACAAGTACACAAAGCACGTGACACTGCACATTACACACTGCAACGCGTGTAACATTCTAGAAGGTTATCACAATAGAGGCGAGTCTGCATTTCAATGCACGTTGGGTCGAGGGCAGTGCGAAGGGATAGCATGGCGCACGAGTGTGGAGCAGCTCTCCGGCAGATCGAGCCCTGTGGCCTCAGCCTGGCCGGCAGAACCGGCTAGGCCCTGCTCCCGACGCCAGATTCAGCAATGACAAAATAACTTCACCCCACTATGCCGGGGGACGTACGTATGCATGTTGAATTTCTTTCACACCATACATAGCCAAGCACGCTAATCGGGACATTGGGCCATATTGTTGCATGAAGCTTTTGGATTTCATGTTTTGGTCTCCAATGCAAATCTTGGATCAGGCAATGGCAATGCACTGAACTGCCCCGAAGAATGGAAGAGCGCCGTGTGCTGCCTGTGTACATGGCGGCAGTTGGGGATCATCCCATGGGCTAGATTCTGCTGTGCTCCCAGTGGAATTACCAACCTGCTTCTCAACTCCAGAATAAAGTTTCAGGTGAAAACAGTGAGAAAACCTAAGCCCAAAGGAGGCTTACATGGACATGTGGAATAACAGATGGTTCAGAAGAGCGAAAATAAATGGCCAATGCCCTTCTTCACTGCAGAGTGCCAGATGTAATGTTAGTCTTGTGAGATAGAGGGCCATTGTCCGGCATGTAGGGGGGGGGGGGGTTCTTGGCAGGCTACAGATGAGAACACATCCCACCTTTTATGCGTAGTATCAAAGTTCAGAAGTGAATTTGTATCAGAGTGGGCGAGGGGGACAGTGGTTCACTGGGCAGCCAGGCAAGCTGGGTGGGTGGTGTTAGCTGGGCTAAGGGGCCAGGTGCGGCTGGCTGGCTAGGAGGTTGGTGGGGTGAGGTTGGTCGTGCTGGCCGCTCCTCCCCGTGCTGTAGTCACCTGAGGGCCCGGTTGGCGGTGCCGGCGCGGAGTAGCTCTCGGGGGACGTGGTGTCTTCCGTGCCAGCCGACCTGCTCTTGTCAATGTGTGATGAGGGGTGGTACATGTCCTGACACGCACACATACAGCAAGTCGCTCGTGTGCATTTAAAGCTCATTTTGCTTCACATTAGACATGCACTCTTCTATTGAAATGCAGAGAAAAGTTCCAAAGTACAGTGAAACCTTGCACTGCGAGCATAATTCGTTCCAGAAACGTGCTCGTAATCCAAAGCACTCGTATATCAAAGAAATAATGGAAACTCAGATGATTCGTTCCACAACCCAAAAATACTGTATTCATATAAAAAATATTAATACAAAATACCTTTTTATATTTTTATTCTTTAATAGAAAGTAATCAAATTTATTAATTGCATTTATTCGTGGCTGGTGTGAGGGAGACGAGAGAAGAGAGGAGGGTTATTGTGTGGGACGACTTTCACTTGCTGTACAGTTACTAAAGAACAGTCACTACACTTGGACACAAAATAAAAAAAAATTCTTTACGCACACACACATGGTCACAACACTACTGTAGTAAACAGTATACACGTGGTCACAACACTATACTGTAGTAAACAGTATACACGTGGTCACAACACTATACTGTAGTAAACAGTATACGCTCGCACGGATGTTGACGATACGAGTGAGGCACGCCGACTGAGACCGAGCATGGGAGATGATTACCCACAATCCCGCAGCGAGAGAGAGAAGAACCATTGGCTCAGTTGTGATCACGTGACGCTCGGCAGACAAAGCGTATACTGTACGTACTGCTTGTATTGCAAGACATCGCTCGTTTACAAATTATTTTTTATTTAAAAATTTTGCTCGTCTTGCAAAACACTCGCAGACCAAGTTACTCGCAATCCAAGCTTTCACTGTACTATAATGAATTTTTTAGCTTCTTTTTCAAACTGCATTTTTACTGCACCGTCATTAACCTTGCCTTCATTTTCAAGTTTATTTTTACATGTAGTGTATTTGTTTTTTCATTCTATACGTTTACTGTACAATTTATAATTGACACAATAGAAAATATTAATAACATTTTACATTAAATACACTTCCTGTTTGGGTATATGTAAGGTAACATAAAACAAAAGGAGTGTTGTATTACGAACCGTGAACCAAACCCGATGTCTTCCACGTGACTGAGTTTGTGGATTTGCCGATTGCGGCTATTTTTAAGAACCCCGGCAACAATCAAGGTTTTGGTGTCTTCATTATAACAAAAAACCCACGCACAGGGGAGTTATTTCATTATTTTAGAACCCTGAAAATGTGTTTGGCTGTGTGGTGTGGTGGATGGTTTTTAAAGGCTCAGATTTGGTCAGATCAAAATTCAACTGCCAACCACACACAGATTCTATGCAATAGGCAGTAAAGCAGTATAGCGCTGCCGACGGTTGCGGATGTTTCCATGAGGCTGGTGTCAGCGTGTGGTCACGGGAAACAGCAGCACAGGGTGGCACCACGGCCAGCCAATGGGTTTCTCGGCATGAGTTTAATCAGCCGACTCCACTGCACCTTGAGGTCCTTCTTCGACTTCTTCCTGGGAGACTCCTCGGCAAAATCTCCAGTCGACTCAAGTAACTTCTTGGTGGGTCGCCTTTGACGCTTCGCGCTGTCGCCCGAGTCTGTGGCACAAGGTAAATGTTCTAAACGAGCCCTGCGGGAAATTGCTAAGGTTGTCAATGCAAACATTCTCCAATGGGTGGCGACACCGACGGTCAAAAAGATACGGACACAAAGCTTCCTTTTGTAAGGGGTATTAGGAAGGGGTAGACCTGCACTGGGATCATGTGGCACTGCAACAAGGGATGCCCTCAATACATGGGGCACAACTCGATTCAACCTCACGTTATTTACTAAGAAAAGCACAGAGATTCATTAACAGTCTTGCAAGGGAAACCTGCAAACCACATGGATTACAGATGCTCACCTGTAATGCGGCATTTTGAACGAGGCGCTAGTGGAACACAGATCACCATCGGACTTTACAACCCACTGGGCTGCAAATCTGGCCACGAAGTGCATGGTGGCCTTTGACGTGACCTGCCATCGGTGCTGATCACGAGAGCGTTATCCCTCAATTGGTGCATTTCCTATTGGTACTCCTACTCCATTACACGTGCAAAATAAACATTACAAGGGAACTAACCAAACAATCCAGTGCAAGATCCTCATTACAAAGAGTATTCTGATGCAATGAAGCATTGGGCATAAATTACGATCTTTAAATGTCTTTATTTACACAGGGGCACCTCTCATCATTTAGGCGCAGGTAAGGTTTAAACTCGGGATTGAAACTGGTCAACAAAGCCTCCATCACAGCGGGGAGGTCATCGTAGAGATGAGCACGCCAGCTGCAGGACGCAAGCCGTCAAGCTCAAGCCATGGAGCCGCCGCTCGGCATTCGAGACGCCAATTCCAATGCTCCCAGCGACATGAACCCCAGGATCCCACAAAACGCTGGAGGTAAAGGATTTCAGCTTCTGGTTAAATCAGCCATCAATGAGAGGAAATGAAATCTGCCATCAAGGTAGGACCTGCTGTGCAATGGTTCTGCGAGTGAAATTAAGCTGCTCTCTCACTTCCAACTCCATCGGGGCATTGCGAGTAGCACTGGAAACAAAGGCCCCCTGCTGTTCTGCTGTAGGGGCTGGATGGGGCATGAGCAGAGGGGGGCACCTTCGTCCCCAGTGGCGGTGGGCTTGGTGGGCGGCCGGTAGCGGTACTTCTGGCGCTCGCTCAGCGTGTCCCACTGCGCACGCAGGATCAGCTCCACTTCCTCTTCACTCGCGTCTGCATGGTCGTGCATAATCTACGCCCACGGCACGCACGACAGAGTGACCCTCACTGCGCCTACACCGTCGTTAATGCTGCCACACAAAAGTAACACAATTGATGGGGCATTTAGTTATCGCGTCTCCACCATTCTTTGACAAGCTGCATGCTCGCAATTGTGTGCGGTGTTACACAAATCATGTAAGATTAATGTCTGAGAGGAAATGAAAGATGGTCACAGTTGGTGGATTTTACTTCTGTTCGTCGTTCCTCGGCATAGCTGAAACAATCGCTCCAGACCGCCTTACCGCTGTCACCAGTGATACCTCAATGCCTTCTCTTACTGAGAAAGCAACTGGTCATGCATGTAACTGGTTTCGCGCAAACCATATTGGACCCACGTACTTAACTTTCAACAATCAAAACTTAAACCCCAATGTTTGGAAAGCCAAACGGAGTTCACAAATCACACACATACACATCACGCAAAAGATCCTTCGATCTTCTGTAATGATTATGGGCCACAATCCTAAACCACATTCACCGCACAAACCAGGGCAGATGCGGTCACTTGATGCACAAATAGAAAGTTAAAACCTCTCCTGTGTACAACTGTGGTCACCCAAAACAGACCATGGAATACATAAGGACTCAATGCCCAGTTCACAAATATGAAAGGGGCATCAAAGTAACACTCTCTCTTTCCACAATTATCTGGCTCTACTTTATTAGCCATACGAAGGAGAAGACTGGTCATGCTGGGATATCCACCTAAACATTTGTGCATCTGAAGCTCAAGCATTCGCACACAAAGTAGAATAAAATTATAAATTATCAATGTCACAGTGTAATACTACTCTTAAGTCTAAGTGACAAATGAACTCTGAAATACAAAACAAAAGCAGCATTATCATCCATCAGTGATTTCATTCAACTTAACCTGGCAATGATATCTCAATTGCTTTGTAATCGTATACAAATGCGGGAAATGGGGCGCATTGCCTCTGTCAACAGCACAGATGGACCAGACCAGAGTTTAAACAATCTGTGGTGCAGAGCCAGAATGTGAGTGGCACAGGTCTGCCTCCTACCTCACCCCATTGCCACACAACTGACCAATAACACTGACCACATGTCTCGTTTACGATTATGACCCATGTTAGTTTTCAAATACCATAATTGACACAATTCCGAATATGATTAAATAGAGAAAATTAGGACAACACAAACATGTTGTGCCTATAAAAAGCAGTTTTTTAGAGCCAGTGGATCCTGCACTGATGATCTTAACGAGTTACAACGTAGTTCCCTGCACACACGTAGCCTCTGCTTTGTGGAGAAGAGGACACGGAAATCTTCATGTCTCTGGCAACAGAAGTGCCCTGGGGATCACGTGACCTTTGTTCGGTGCTCCCTTATTGAATAACAGCTGAAATAAAGGAAACTTATTTCGTTGTGAGAAAAAACACATCGAGGAAAAAGAACAAAAGAGAAAAGCAATCAACCTACACAATGTAGGTTATAGAAAAGAGACAGCCAAGCAAGTATATAGTGTTTTTGGCAGACAAAGATTGCTCTATTTTTATACATGACCCCACTTTCCACAATGCGTGAAAATATGAAAGTCAACACGTTGTTGATATGCAGAAAATGTGCACATTGAGCAATTCCTTACAAAGTCTTCACGTCCGCTTCGTGGTAAGAAAATGCATGGCATTGCCAACATTTAATTAGGTCCTACAATGGAAATTAATCAAGGAGTGTGGGCATGGTGAAGCGACCTACAGCTGTCCACACACCCCGTGTGAAAAGCGCCGACCATGGTGACACAGTACACCAACCCCCGTGATCCTGTGACCCCCGTGCCCTGTGCCTTGCCCGATGCGAGCGCCGGGTGCGGTTCCGTCTGTGGTCTCACCTGTGGTCGGTGCTTCTGGCAGAAGTAGTTGTAGCGTGCCAGGGCCATCTCACTCCGCTTGCTGCCCTGGGGGGGGGGGTTACTTTTCTTCTTCTTGCTCACGGCCGGGTCAGGGACCGCAGCAGCTGATGAAGCCTCCCCCGTAACCACGCACGCAGCAGAGGCTCCGGTGACGTCCATTCGTGCGGCTGCCTGCGCCCCATCTCCCTGCTTGGAGCCTTCAGGACGTACGGCCACCCGCCCTGCGCTCGTCTTTCTATCCCTCTTGCGAAGCGCCCTTTTGGGCACAGACGCGCCAGCAGCGCTCTTAACCGAAGCGGGGGCTCTCACGCGCCTCTGTCTCTTCTTGCCGTTCCTCATGGCTGCTCCGCCGGCTGCGCTCGAAACAATGCCCTCAGTGGCAGCTTCTGTACCTGTACAGCCAGAGCTTACAGGAGCACTACTGGTACCGGGCAACTTACAGGAACTACCCGCAGCCGACTGACGATTTCTAGATGTTGAGGTGCTTTTGCTGGCCGTCCCTGCAGAAGGACGTGACCTTTGGCGACCAGTAGTCGGCTGTACGACCAACTGCTTGCTGCCTTGGGCTATGATGGTGTCCACAGCAGCAGGTGGCGGCACTTTGTCTGCATCTATTTGGAGCTGTTGCTGCTGCTGACGGAGAGAGGCAGTGGGGCGTGAGGCATCACTGGCTCCCTGGCGCTTCCTGATGCGGGGTCGCGATGCGCCCCCACGTCTGCTCCCCGACTCCGAGTGGTTGTTAGAGGTGTTCGGGAAAAGCTGCTGACTGTTGACCAGCTGCTGAATGTTGGAGATGGACGAGGGGAACATGTGGCTGCTGAAGAAGTTCGGTAACGTTGGTCCAGTGCCGGACCCGGGCGAGTCGCTTGAGCGCGGCGACTGCCGGCCATTTCTCTCTGCTGCGTGGCCACTCTGCCCTCCCTTTTGCTCGGTATCTGCGCGTGCCTGGAGGTCCAGCTTGCTGCAGTTGGCGGGCGGTGCTGGGCTGGTGGGCGCAGTGGCACGTGGGGAGCCCGAGGCGCCGGGACCATCATACGTTGGGCGGCTGTAGGCATCGTGCCGCTCATCGCATGACAGTGGTTGGGCCTTCGCCACCTCCGCCATCCCCTCCTCCCACTGCGCACGCACCTTGGCCGAGAAGTGCTTCGAGAGCTGCGGAGAGGCAAGGGAGCATCACGTGGGGCTTGGCAGTCATGAATAGCACCAGCGGGGCATACGTTAAAGTGGCATCATCTGTTATGACTGCATCATGTTTGCACATAGACACATGGCTCAGGAACCCCAACAAACACCACAATCAACGCAAGTGCATTCCTTGCACGTCAATCTGACCATCGGCATGCAATACTGGTAAAAATCAGTATTGGTCACGTAAAATTACCTTGGCCATTAATATACTCACTATCGTGTTCTGTGCAATGTTTGTATGATTAGCTACTTCTGTTGAGCTACCATTTGTGGCCAGGTCGCTTCTGAAAAATAAACTACTAGCTCAGTGGACATTACCTGGTAAGATGAAACAATTGTTTAGTTTGATTTGTTTCGATAAAGTTTTTGTTTTACCTTTTCTATATTTTGCACTCCTTTTGTGTTTTTGTATTGTTCGTTGTTGCAACGTTCTGATCTGCCCCTACTGGAAGTCTGTGAAAATGAGGTTTATAGCTCATCGTATTCCGCCAGTATAAATATCCTGACTCTTGATTCTGTACCTGCTCTTGGTGCCCATCCTAGACAGTATGCAAATAAAAGACCTGTGCTGGGCATGATGGCACACACCAAGGACCCAACACTGGAGGCAGGCTGGTGAATACCATAGAGAATGTCATAAAAGACTTTTGAGTGTTATCGCCTTTTTGTGTTGGTTTTCACTGCGTTTACTCCGAGATAAATTATTCTATTAATATATACAAAAAAGCATTAATTTGCATGGATTTTAAGATGTGTGCAGGTGCTAGGTGGATTGTTTGAACCATGAGAGATGGCACAGGCTTAGGAAGACCTTTGTCCAACAGCGGATGAATCACAGCTGCAAACGATTAATAACATACCCTTCCGTGCCTCACAATGCGATGACCTGAAATGGCGCATGATGTGTCATGAGATGTCATGCATAATGACATCTAGGCATGTGACATCATCACCGTGGCCGAAAAGGCTTACATAATCGGCTAGTTTTTGGCATCCCTTTTATTTCTATGGCATGCCGTCTATCGGGTAAATTTCTTATAGCAAGACAACTCTACACTAATATTTAATTTATATTTTATCATCTGTACAAGAGTTATTGTGACCCCTCACTACAGGTCTGAGCTTATGCATCAATGCCGTTGACCTTTGTTGAAAAGTGTAAAAAATAATATCGAATGTTATTAATTTTCCTATGCTTGATATTAGAATGCTAACCCGTACACTCACATATTAATGGAAGTTATGGATTTAGTTTGTTTAGTTTATCAACATCCTTAATAATGAAGACTGAACAGACAAAAACAAGGAAATGTAGCTTAAATTATATTCAAAACAGCCTTGACTGCAATGTTTTCAAAGTCTGCAAATATTACCTTCAGGTTCAGTTAATCTACTCTTATGCCAAGTATTTTCCAGCAATTCCATCTCATAGACAACATGCTTTATAAACTGCTATGGAATTGGCATTAGGTAAAACCGTTGATAGACATCTACGTTTGGATGTCGTGTGTGCATGCCCACACAATGTTATGACTGCATCAGGTTTGCACACACATGCAAGATAGAGTTGTAGCTTATCATATTGCTTTGTACATGTGCAGCCCTTGGGCTCTCCGTGCAGGAATGCAGGTAACAACGCCCACCGTGCAGGCCTAATAACCACATCCGTAAATAAAGTTATTGGAGAACACCGCCCCCTCTGAACTTACAGAATAACCTACAACCAAGACAACATTACACTTCATAACGCATCACAACTGCACACACACCTGCAACTCACCTCTCCCACTAATTGTGTTAACCCATCCCTGTTAACACAATTACTGCCAATTCAGGATTATAATATTAAATGCAAAAATCTACGTGTAAAGGTAACAATTACTGCTGTATTAACAAACTCTGATTAACAATTTTAATGTGACCGAAACTTTGCAACTCAAAGAATGTAATACAAATTTGGGGTTTCTAGACCCTCTAAATGCACCCGCATTAAGAGAGTCACGTGTCCATCTCATTACAATTGGCCCCTGAGGATGGTGACCCACATCTTGAGAAATGCTGCACAACACGAGGCCAGTTAGAAAAAATAAACCATGATATCGTCTCTTCTCAACACCATCCCGGCATATTTCTCACTTGACCCACCAACCACAATGCAAGCAGTGCCGTCGAGCAATAGCAGTTGTGTATGTAGGTAGAACTTCTTTCGCACCACGCGTAGTCAACCGTGCCAAACGGAAGGTGCAGGGAAGGACAACAAAACTAAACACTAAAGAAATGAGTTTGCAATCTAAATTTGTGGGTGGCACCCACCACCACTTTGGGGATTGTGGGGAGAGCACCTGGCCCCTTTGCGGTGCTCACCTTGGGGCCACTGGCTTCATTGACAGCAGAGCCGCCCCACGGCGCGTCACCCTGCAGCTGCTCGAACTGGTGTTGCCCCTCAAACGGCACGGTGCTCTTGTCGGCCACCCAGGTGCGCTGCACCACACCGCCGCCCAGCAGCACGATGTGGTAGTGGCGCACCGTCGATTTGGCGTATTCTGCAGCAACAGGACGCACCGAGGACAGGTGGGCAAAGAGCACCTCCGTGGCACCCTTCGAGTGGCTATCATCACGAGCAGAGGCTCCCCCTACTTCTGTGGCTTCCTTCCAACTCTGAAGATCACACCGAGTTTGGTTGCACAGTTCGAGGGCGACACACATGCCACAGCCGCAATTACACTTGCAGAGACGCACACAGCCAACGCAGCTCCCCTGCAGGCTTGATCAAGTTCTTCATGCGTAAATACTCAACATCTCACCAAGACAAGACCCCTCTGTGAGGTATAGCGGAGATAAAATAAAATCTCCAATTAAATTATTGTAGTTTAATAATATTATTCTTAAATAATCAGTTACTGTTTGTGGTGTTGTTTTTACTATTTTTTGTTGACATTTTGTCTTTGCAAACATTTTCAGGCTGTCTTTTTTACTTCACTTCCTGTGCTCACCCAGGACTCTTGAAAGTATGTCTCAGATTACAGGGTTGTATTTTGAAATTACTTGGTAGATATTCGGAGTAACATAAAAAACACAAGCAAACTTAGGTTCCATATAGCAAGAGGAAAAAGGTCCGTAAAGCCAGGATGACTAGCCACAACAAACATCTCCATCTGCTCACTTTCATACACACGTGTGTGCACACACACACACACACTCACTCCCAGCGCAACGCGAATCATTACATTTCGCTCCGCTGAACAAAATAGTTCCGGCAATTCAGTTTGCAAGTGCGAGTTCACTTTTTAAGTCGATGTAAAAAAAATATCATGGAACCTGGTTCGTGAGGATGTTCGTAAGTCAGGTGTTGTATGTCGAGGACTGCCTGTACACTCTGTGGAGGAGGTTCGTGAAGGACGCTACTGGGCAGTTGGAGGTAGTCGCCCTCCAACAACAACGGAGGGCGGAGGAGCGACGCTCACAACAACGAGTGGAGCGCCGGGTGGCTAAAGCACAGCAGGTTGGCACATTAGGGGGCACAGGTGGTGCATCAGCCAGTCATCTCAGTCATCTTAGTCAGTCGACCCGTGGCACCTGGGTCTGCCCCGTGACCTCCTGCCCGCGGGCGTTCGACACTTCAGGTGGGCTCAAGGTGCACATGGCCTGGCACAAGCGTCGTGGTGACGTCACCGCCACTTAGTGGCGAATGGCGGTTGTTGTTGTACACAGTTCACCACCAAACATAGCCACCACATCTCTGTAGTGGTGTCGGTGCTCACCTAGTTACTCACCGATGCACTCTAGTCACTCTCTGACCAGCAGTCCATCACCTCCTTATCACTCTTATACTGCTGCTGCGATGGTTACGGTTCCTGAGAACTTCCTCCACACGTCGAAGACTTGGTTGACAAAACTGACTTTTGTCTAATCCATACTTAGTTCAACAGCCACACTGCAGGTCACCTTACTTCTCTTTCTGCTTATTGACTCGCACTGCTTGACTTTTTAAATTCCGTCCCAGTCTTTTTTCCAAGCTCTTGTAACAACCTTGCTCAATCAAAAAAGCATGTTACACTCCTATCTATGACAACTTCAATAGTGCTCGTTGTTGGTGGCCATTTGACATTTTGAGCCTAGGCTTAGCAATTGTGTAACATAACATACTCTCATGTACTGAGGTTCACATAGACTGAGGCAAGGCCTCAGGCGAGCAGCCATAGGCATGCCCTGAGAGCCACGGCCGGGCTGGGCTGCAGAGTACGCTGCAGGGAGAGAGATAGGGGTACCTTTCACGCGAGTGTGGCTGCCGACGTTTGGGTCAGAGGTCACCACGCAGGGCCACCAGGGGTGACCCGCCACCTTGCTCCACACGAGATCCCCTGGAATGTGGCGCATGGGGGCCCGGCACTGTTTGCCACGGCCTACCACACCCTGCACACAGCAGCGCAGGCAGTCACAGACACACGCAGTCAGTCACAGACACACGCTCCAATCACCTATCAGCCGTATGGAGCAATGTACAAGCAAAGGGGAGACTTTCACAACACAACGAACATTAAACGGCATTCAACTAAATATAAACTACATCATTATAATCAATGTACTCAATATATTCTCCAATAATTTGAGCTATTAACATTAAGTAACTGGGTATACACTACACTATATAATGAATACCATATAGTAAACTGATAAAAAACTAAAATATAAACTACACCAATATTTTCAATAAACTCAATATACTATCCAATCAGCTGAGCTACTAGCAATAAGTCACTATACATTACAATTCTATTTAGTTATGTCACATCGGTTTATTGTATGATAGGTGGGTAGTTGCAGTTATTTAGCGTTAATATACTAAATGCCTCTGTTGATATGTAAACTCTGACTTTAACATAGCCACTTCCGTGACCAGTTACATGCTAAATCCTCACATTAACATCATGGTAATCTCCCAGTTATACTAATTTCTCACTTTAACATCCTGCTAATCTCTTAGTACCTTTCAGTGTAATGTTTAATATAATTTCCCAGTTACATGCTAATTTCTGACTTTAACATCCTGCTAATCTATCACATTAACTTAGCTACTTCAATGCTAAATTCTTCTGTTGATATGTAAACTCCTTTGTCAAGGCGCTCTGCTCCTCCCACCCAGCTTAAAAGACGCTGCCAAGCTTAGCAGTGTTCATTGGAACGCCGTCTTCCCGACAGTTCTGTTTCTTCACCTGAAGACGGCTGCTCGTGTTGTGGCCGAAACGTCGTGAGAACTTTATTTTATTATGTTTTATTTTTATTATTTTATTTCCCTTCTACGTGACTTTACCGAAAGAACCAAGAAGATGAATCCATGCAGTCACGAAAGCTTTGAATCGGCATTCTCCTTCAGCATACATTTAACCCAGCAGTGTCTGTTTAAATGTTTTTTTGTCGCACACGGTCACATCGTGCATGTTACCCTTTCCCAGAAAACGTGGTTACCCAGTGGCATGGTCTAGAGAGGTCGCACACTCCTGCAGATGCACAGTTTGCATTGTTTAAAGAAATGCTCATTGATCCAGATGACCACCTTTTGGATTCAATTAATGTATTCACATTAGTGATAAAGCAAAGCGTGTTATTTATGTTTTAATTACCCTCAGTTCACCAGAGCAGCACAATTTCAGCATTTCACAAGTTCATTTCCCAGTCTCCTCTGATAACACAGCTACTACATGACTCTGCAAGTCGATGAGCAAGAGAATGGGAGACATCTTGGCAGAGTAGAGCTTTCACCCAAGCATGCGCGCTGTGGGTGGAGTAAGGATTAGCGATGCTGTAACGCCCACTAGAGGTTGCAGAACAACAGAAGCCTGACAAACGGCGCACGCTGTGCAGGCATACAAGTCTACACCCTTACAAAAGCGCAGACTCATAGGGGTTCAAATGGCTTACTCACAGTACTGTTAATCAAGCAAGAAACGCATGTATAATCAACTTGGGTGGCAAACTACACACCTTTGGGCAAATAACTGGGAAGTTTGGAATAGAACATGGCATTGCAGGCAATCATGAGGAGGTTGCAATGGGCGAGACACGTGTACAGGATGGAAGAGTGCAGGTTACAGAGACTGGCAGTGGAATGGAACCCAGGCGTTAGTGACCAAAGCCCAAGGACAGTCACAATGAGACTTTAAGAGCAGACATTGAGGGTCGGGGTGTCAACTGTGCAACTGCTATGAAACTAGCAGAGTTGACAGCAAAGGCAAGAGCCGTGACATCCTAAATTTGAATTGATATTTATAATCAATGTTAATTGTAAATTACTTCTATTAACATTTTATTTCATAATTTTACAGCTGAGACAATTGCTTGGGTTACTTGCGAACGCAAAACTCGGAAATAAATGTGGAATGCGGCTCCTCGACCTGCACGATTACATCTTCATGACGGCATGAAGCACGCGCTATATCGCGACACAAAACAATGTCCTGCAGGGGCCACCACATCGCAACAGCCACAATAAAATTATTAGACTCTGCAGGAATGGCTCGCATGGATTTTTAGAGGGTGGCATTAGGTACATGATCATACAAATTACATTACGTGCTCGCTTCTGGTCTTTGATAGGCGGTGACACACCACGCACGCGTCGCATAACACGTGCGGTGCTGCACACACCAGGGGATGTGGCTGTCCTCTGCTGCTGGGGATTGTAGAGCACAGGGACCGTTTATCATTTGCCTTATTTCACATCTTCCTGGGCGAGTTAACCAAGATTTTAGACTCGCGTAAAAGCAGTTTTTTCACAGTCAGTGATGGCAACTGCATTGGTCCCATCAATTACCAAAGCATAAATCCCCCATGAGACCAGTTGCACTGCCAGAAGAGGCCACAAAAACAGAGACGTCTCTACTGGAAGAGGTAGCATAGTCACATGGTTACCCAGATGCCTCATGTAATGAATAACCAAGGTGAAACATGCCGAGAAAATTTCGTTTATTAACCACATCTGTCACGGCGGAAAGGGCTTTTACGTCAACCCACGCACAGTCGGGGAAGGGGACTCCAACATCCAGACTGACAGCACATGGGGCTCATGGAGGATGCAAAGAGTGAACAGGCGAGTAGGACAGGAGGGGGGGGGGGCAGCAGGAAGAGGAGATGGGACAAGGGAGAGAGCACAAACAGGAGAGCAGGGTGAACAATTGGGCAACCCAGAGCCCATACAGGTAAAGGTCTGTGACCTCCACACAGGGGCGTAGCAGTCAGGGGACAAGAGATTCTTTAACCCAGTCGAAGCCCTGGGAGGAGTGCAACAGCAGCATGCAGGCCTGCGACAAGTTCAGAGTGAGGCTTTGGACAGCGGGCATGCAGCACACGCCCTTGACACTCACGTTGGAGGTGCAACCATCATGGCAACACCATTGACTTGCTTACAGGTAAACGTCACGTACATGTATTCATTCAAAATCATGAGGGTGGCGGTGGGGCTGGGCAGCGCATAGAGCATACCACAAGATTTAAGACGACCAATCCTGAGCCTTGTCACCAAGTTTGAAAAGTGGTGCAGCAGAAAGGAGAACATTGAAACCAGATTCCACAGGGCCATGAGGGTCGTGCAGTCAGATGGCCAGAACACAGTGCGATATAGACAAGATTTCAAGGGACTGAGTTACTCATCCAAGGGCCTCCATAAGTGTGAGGCTAAGGGTGACATGGAAGATGTTAAGTGTTGGCTGGATGTAGGATATGGATAGAAATGTATAACAGAACCAACAGACAAAACCACAAGGGTATGAAATGGGGCTTGCTTAGTTGGCTGGATGGGTGCATTAATAGCCCAGTCAAGGGGGTGCATCTCCTCAATCTTTCATGAGTGGTCGACATGGTTAGTGATATTTTAAATGCACACAATGTAGTCATTTTGGGCACTTCCAGTGAGGTATGGCAACCCTGCTACTCGGTGTATTTTGATTTCTAAATCTGTGGAGCTCAGTCCTTTGCCACCTCTCCAGGTGACAATGGGAACTTCATGTCCCGTAACTTTCCTATTCGTATTTTCTGCCAAGTAGATATTTGAGCGGAAAACGGTTAATGACCAGACCAATAGCGCTTCGGGCAGTCTTAATTATATACTTGGGTTGAGCACTTTAAACATTATACAGTGCCAAATAAATAAGAGCAGCTACATTTCCACACATATATCCAACTACAAATGGCTTTATGCTTTTAAATCATTACAGAAGGCTGATAATAAACACTCAGCGGTGTCAGTCAAAGGTTGAATGCATCTCTCATGGGAAGAGATCAACCTTGGTGGAGACAACATTAAAGGTGTCCTGTTTGTGCTGCCCCGAGCAACGGCAAGGATAATGAAAGTTGTCCCGACAAAGCCAGCATGCACGAGATTAGAAACGCACTGTAACTATTGGACTCTAAGGGGTCAGCAACAAAGCCCGAGGCTCACAGAGTCACGCTCAAGCCCCTAATTGGCGCACACTTAAATCACAACTGCAAGGCGCAGCGCTGCACACAGGCTACCGGAAGAAGCCTGGGATTGAGCAGTGCATGCGTGCAGGCGGGGCTTCCACGGACACAGCAACGCCCCCAATGCTGCCAAAAGTGCAGCTGCTGCTTGTGCCCTCGGCCCACTCGGTGGAAGGCAGACAAACAAGGGTCCGTGAGTGCTCCGACTTTCTATCGCAGAGCACTAATCCCCACATCCATCACGGCGCGCACACAGCACTGTGCCGAGTGGGCCCAGGCCAGAGGAAGACTCGTAAAGTTGAATTGGCCACAACACCATCACCAGCCTCGTGCACGCACCGGGGGAAGCCCGAGAGCCATAGAGCCACACGCAGCCTGCTGTAAGGCTACAGCGAGCACGGCGGGTGCGGTGTCCTCGCCTCGTGAGACGCGTGCGCAGTTCCCTGTCCGTGCGGTGGTACTCATCACGGGGGCACTCATCACGGGGGCACAGCACCCTCACCAGCCACACAGCAACCATTGCACTCAAACCTCCTGACCGCAGATGCCGGCTAGCGCTCTCACGGACCACGACTGCAAACGCCAACGGTGAGGGATAAACAAAACGTTAAATGGGTGTCTGGATGAAGTGCCAAAGGAAACGTTCTCGTTTGGGTATGAGGTATGGCTGGTGTGAGGATGCAGTCGACTAGACTGGGTAAGCGGTAGGAGTATGGTTGATGAGCTCCACCCCCTAATGTTTGCTTGCTACACTGTACACTTCTGATGTCAGTGCCACCCACCTCCACGTGTACCCTTGTGCCCTGAAGATGTCAGTGCCACCCACCTCCACTGGAGTTTTCAAACAGAAGTTAAACTGCTCCATTTGCACAACATTGATTTATTTATTTCAGAATTTAGGAAGTAAAATGTTTGTCCTGGTCTTGAGTGCATATTTGAACAAAACATAATGTCGTTTTTGTCACGTGTTATGGTACACCTGCTCAGAGTAAACAGCGCTTCATCAAGTTAAACTCCAGATGTTAACCCAGTGACTCGGGCTCCACAGCTGCTGTTCGCTGTGCTCACCTTGCGCTTGGGCCCGGGGCGTGCTCTGGACCTGGGCCGCAGTGATGACTCTGGCTGGGGCGAGGACTCGACCTGCAAAGAGGGCCCAGGAGTGGTTGAGGACCCGGACTGCAACGTAGGAGGCGAATGCAGCGAAGACGCAGGCTTCAGTGAGGGTTCCGATTGGATCCCCGGTTCAGACTGCAGTGAGGCTCCAGTATGATTCGAGGGTTCTGAATGAATCACGGGCATGGGTTGAAGCGTAGAAACACACTGTCTTGTGGGTCCTGAATGGAGTGAGGGCACAAGGTGGGATGTGGGAGTGGCTCGTAACGAAGACCCGGATTGGATCGTGGGCTCAGGCTGATGCGAGGGTCCGGTGTGGAGCGAGGGCCCTGGGTGGTGAATGGGCCCTGCGTGGTGGACAGACCCTGTGTGATGGCCAGGCCCTGGGTGGAGCGTAGGCTCGGGCTGGCCAATGCGAGGGAGTGGGAGCATGGATTCGGTTTGGAAGAAGGGCATCGGTGGAGATGTGGAAGCAGACTGGAGTGAAGGCCCAGGCGGAAGTGTGGATCCAGCCTGGAGCGTGAACAAGGACTGGAGTGAGGATCTGGGTTGACTAAAGGGTGCATGCTGGAAGAAGGGCGTGTGGTGGAGTGACGGGCCGGGTTGGAGTAAGTGTCCAGGCTGGCTGTGGGGCGTGGGCTGGACCAGGCCTCTGTGCTGGAGTGGATTCCCGGATTGGCCCGAGGGCCCGTGCCTCGGCTCGACCGCCCACGGGTCGAGGCTAAAGAGGCCACGGCGCGCCGCGTCGGGCTCCGCGGAGCCGCAAGCGCCGTGGCCCCACACACGCTCGGCCAGGCTGGTGAGGGCAGCGGACGCGCGGCCCTCGGGGCCCAGGGACCCCGGCGCCGCGAAGGCGCGGGGTTCACGGGGCTCGTGGCGCTCGGCCACACGGGCAAGGAGGCTGCGCTCGGCGGGCTCGGCCGCAGTCTCCTCTGCCCGATGCAGGAGGCTGAGCTCCCGCAGGGCGCGCTGCGCCTGACGCGGATCCAGCTCGGGCGGCAGATCTCCCGCGTCCTCGTCCTCCTCGGCCCCCTGCTGCCCCGCGTTGCACAGCGCCGCCTCAAACTGCGCCTTGCCGTTCAGGTAGGTTTTGGTGATGCGCAGGCGGATCTCAGGGGACGTGGACTTTTGGGGCACGGGCGGGCAGGGTTCGCCATCCTCCTCCTCCCCCCGCACACCCACATCCTCCGCTTGTTGCTGCCGATGCTGCTGTAGCTCCCGCGCCTCGTCCAGGCCGGTGCAGAATCCGGGCGGGAGGAAGGCCGAGTCGCGAGCGGGGCCCGCGTAGTCGCTGTGCCCGTTCCTGGGCGCGGGGCCCCAGCCCTGGTCCCCGCAGAGCGCAGGAGCCGCGGGCAGCAGGGAGCGAACGAGCAGCGGCGGCAGCGGCAGCGCGCGGTTCAGCGAGGAGCCCTCCATGCAGTGGCGGCGGCCTCCGGCTCCTGCTGCTCCTGCTGCTGCTGCTCGGCGCTCACATCTGTGGGGCCGACACGAGGACGGGGGGAAGAGAGAGAGAGAGACGGCGAAGGGAGACGCGGAGTGAGACGCGGGCCCGCGCAGCCTTTGTTCGTCACTGGCGCGGGCGCGGAGCACAATGGCCGGGCCCGGGGCTCGGGGTGGAAGCCGCGCGGGGCAGAGGCGGCCATCGCCTCGCTCACCCTCACGACTGCCACTCACCACCCTCACCACCACCACCACTACCGTCACCGCTCACCAACATCACTCACCATCACCGCTCACCATCGTCACTCAACGGTAGCGCCGTCAAACACCAAACCCCAACACTCACCATCACCCAGCGGGGCCGGGACCCTCTTGGGGGGGGGGCATAGCCCCGCTCCTCACACAGATTAAGCCCCCCCCCGCCCCTCAACTCCGCCGAAACTCCGCCCCCTTTTAGCACCGCCCCCTTTTAGCCCCGCCCCGAAGGAAGCCCCGCCCCCCCCCCCAGAGGGGGCCTCGCGACATGGCGGCGGGGGCCGGGAGCGAGGGGCGGGGCCGAGGGGCGGGGCTCTCGCTCCCCGCTACCGCTAACGGACGCGGGGCCCCTCCCCTCGCACCCTCCCCCCCCACCGCCGCTGCAATCTGCAGCGAGGCGCGGTACCGAGCATAGAGGAGCGCGGGAGTGCCGCTGCCGCTGCTGCTGCCGCTGCCGGCACCGCCGCCGCCGCCGCCAGCTCCTTCTGCTGCCGCCGCCGCCGCCACCGCCACTCGCCTCGAAGCGAGGAGGAGGAGGAGGCGCGGGAGCGCGGCCCAGGCTCCCCCGCGCGGCGTGCCACGCCCCGCCCCACCCCTCAGTCCACGCCCCCCTCGCCGTGACGTCACGCCCGCGCTCACCGCGTGCGAGCGTCAAGCCGCTCGCTCGCGTCCCGGGACGGCCCCGGGGACCCCGCGCAGGGGGTGCGGCGACGGGGACGGACAGGGTCAGGGTCGGGGTCGCGGGAGGTCGCGGCCCCGAACCAGAGATCTGCGTTTCCCGCGCTCCCAGCGAAGCTCCTCCCGCTCGCGCGGTCAGAGGTCAGAGGTCAGGGGCTGCGGGAAACTCGCGGCCAATGGGAGAGAGCCCGCGAGAGCGCGGGACCAGGGGAATCGATTACCGCTTTTTCCGGTGGAATCGCGCGAATCGATTAACTGACCATTGAGACTGCGTGCGAAGTTTTGTTGCACTTCGCTGGGAGAGGCGGTGCACAAGCAGACATCACAAAGGACGCGTCCCTCAAGAGCACTGCCACTAAATGTACACAGTAGGAGACGTGAGCGCCGTCACTTTGTCCACTGCAGACATTTCTCAGCCTTGCTCAATCAAAACTGCATGACCGTGAAGCCACCACCCCTTCCTACCACCACCCACCCCCCCCCCAAGGCTTCCACAACCTCCGCCACGACTCAAACCAGCTCACCAGCGTGCGCCTGGGGGTGAGCCGTGGCCTCGGCGCAAGGAGGCGGGGTCTACAGAAGGGGCGGGGTCTACAGAAGGGGCGTGGCTGAAAGGGAAAGGCGCAGAGTCGAAAGGGGCCCTCATCAGGAAGGGTTGGGGCACCGAAAAAGGGGATCGAGCCCACTGGGGTTGGTTTAAGGTAGGAGGAGCATTAAGTAAAAATACGTGCAGCACGTAGTATGCCTTGAATGTGGATAAAGGCCAACTAGGATTTTATTCAAGTTCAACACAATGCCACCAGATAGCGGTACAAATACATTTCTGCAAACCCGAACATATGCCAATTCCCAGAAGGCATAGCCCTAGACCAGCCCGTCATCATAGCGGACATGCAAACGTTTTACATTATATGCACATGTTTACACAAAGCGAGAAAACCCACAAATGAGACAAGAAAACATACTATAATTCATGAGAAATGAATCTAATCGCTGGGGATGGTTCATTGAGCTAAGGTTGGCTTGCAAATTCCCGACAATGTTGCGAGCAACATTCAAATAAACATGACTTGTCCAATTAAACGTGTGATTTGCAACCGTGGTAAACTGAGCAACACTGTGGAAGCGAAGCTGCTGCATTGGGGTCTGCATTGCTGGGCTATTCAAGGAGCTTTCAAATTCATTCTCGTTGCTTGTGAAACACGTACCCTGATTAGGTGGATGGGGTCACTTGTCATGGCAAGGCTAAATTCAACAAGCCTGAAATTGTAAACGAATAACAGCTATACGTTTAAGAACAACACTGGGTGATACTTAAGTAAAGATAAGTAGCGCACATCGCCTTTACATGTCACAATTTAATTTGTCAGATGGTGAGGGGTTTAACGAAATAAATTTGCACAGATCATTACGTGACCTCACCCAAAAATCTACTGTGAATTATATTGGCTGCGGAAACATTACGTGTTGACTCATCTCCGTTCTTATCCATCTGCATGACATTCTTGAAATGTCTCGGTCATTTTTTCCCAAAAGGCCCAGAGCAGGCACCCAGCCTCATCGTTCTTATACAGACATGCGCCATGATCAGCTTCAATATCTCAGCTCCATGCAACTGTGTTGCAAAACAGAAGCAACGCAAACTAGATTCGAAGCTTTCGTGACTGCAGGAATTACTCTTTGGTTCTTTCGGTAAAGTCACGTAAGAAAGAAATTTAATAAATAAAAATACCAGAATACGACGTTTCGATTGCAACACAAGCAACCATCATCAGGTACAAATGAATGAGAAAACAAACCTAGCTAATATAATGCAACACAGAGCGTCGGCCAACAAAACAGTCAACACTCCATCTGGTTTATTACAGCAACACAGTTGCTTGTGTTTAACGTAATTTAAAGACTGCAACAATTTAGAGTTGTAAATACCTATCATCAAATCCAGAAAGTTTTATGAAAAAAGTAAAAGTGCGTATTGATATTTTTGTAAAATGACCCAAACACATCATCTTAGAGATATGCCCCACTTGGCAAAGACAACAGCACGTTTCAGTGAAAAACTGGTCAAAAATAATAATCCACCAATACATAGGCCCAGGGTCTCCACATGTGTTTGTTGGTCCTGATCATCACAACTATCGTGTATATAGGGTTTTGTGTGGATTTCATCTTTCATAAGATGTTATATTGAGTCTTGTGAATATATCACACTGTCGTCACATATGAATAAAGCTCACAATTGAGTAGACGCACAGTAGACTTGGGGATGGTGCACAATTCTCAACATGTAAACACCCTTGGATGGATGAGAAACACCAACACTAGCAGTGCTTACCGGTAGTTCACACGCCCACCACTTGGCCCACAAACAAGTAAACCACAACTGGGAAAAAAAGCGAGGCATCATTTGCGGGAGATGGGGTTTGGCTGTGGAAGAGATTTGCGCTGGAGCTGGAGCTGTGAGCAGTGGGCACCACTTGCTAAAATACTCGACAGTGTTCCCAATGCCACAGGCACACGCATCGAGGAACATGCGGAGTGCGTTGCGGCTCCCAGGAGAGATTCAGACCCGACTTGTTGTCCTCTAAATCCCGACGTGGGCAGGTGTCGCCGTGTCATATCGCGCAACTCACAATTGATCACCACCCTGCAGGATGGCGACAGTGGCCAGCCTCAAGAGAGACCGTCTCCTGCCATAGTAACGTGGATTGAACCCCGTGATCAGGGCTGCCAACATGGATATGCTCTGCCGAGTGCTCATTTCATCAGAGGGCCACCATGGGGCATTGCAGATCGATGCCTGTTGCCTGGTATTGTTGGCCAAGGAGCGCTCGCAGCATCTCGCAGTCCCACTGCATCTCTCTCTCACTGTGGCCTGCCAGGACACACTGCGTGCTGTTCTGCCGGCAGGACTGACTGTGTTTAGAGCCAAACGGACATGATGCCCAACAGCACAACCGCGAAAACCTACACAGTAGCCGTGAATGCGAAACGTGTTCACGATTCGTCATACTTTCCAGCATGCCCCCATTTAACCAGTTTTGTGCAGGTTCACCTCTTCTTACCGCAGTGCACATGTGAGTGGGATCTGCACTGAAGGTGCTCACGGACGGGCACAGTGCAATGGGTGCGAAAGGGGAAGACGGGGGTGATGGTGGTGGTGATGGTGGTGATGAGAATTCGCCGTGTCCCTTCGTGATGGTGCCCGCTCTGCCCACACACAAAGACCCGCTATTAGCGAGCACCTCTTAAGGACAGCATACCACACGAGGTGGTGGGTGGTCGTACCACGCCCGGCCGCCTTTGTCTCCCCATTGGTGTTATTCACGCATCGCACCAGGTAATCATCATTGGTGTTATTCACACATCGCACCAGGTAATCATCATTGGTGTTATTCACACATCGCACCAGGAATCATCATTGGGGCTCGTGGCGCCACCGCTCTCAACACCATGCAGCATACACACGAACACCCTAACACACTGTAACCCACACTAACACACTAACACTGTAACCCACATACACACGAACACACTAACACTGTAACCCACAAACTAACACACTGTAACCCACACACACACACTAACACTGTAACCCACATACACACGAACACACTAACACACTGTAACCCACACTAACACACTGTAACCCACACACACACTAACACACTAACACACTGTAACCCACACACTAACACACTGTAACCCACACACACACTAACACACTAACACTGTAACCCACATACACACGAACACACTAACACACTGTAACCCACACACACACTAACACACTGTAACCCACACACACTAACACACTGTAACCCACACACACACTAACACACTGTAACCCACACACACACTAACACACTAACACACTGTAACCCACACACTAACACACTGTAACCCACACACACACTAACACACTAACACTGTAACCCACATACACACGAACACACTAACACACTGTAACCCACACACACACTAACACACTGTAACCCACACACACTAACACACTGTAACCCACACACACACTAACACACTGTAACCCACACACACATACACACTAACACACTGTAACCCACACACACTAACACACTGTAACCCACACACACATACACACTAACACACTAACCCACACACACATACACACTAACATACACTAACACACTGTAACCCACATACACATACACACTAACATACACTAACACACTGTAACCCACACACACATACACACACTAACACACTGTAACCCACACACACTAAAACACACACACTGTAACACACATACACACTAACACACTAACCCACACACACATACACACTAACACACTGAGACACACTCAAACCCACTGGACACACACACTAACTCACTGACATACACACACACTAACTCACTAACACACTGACACACACACTGACACACACACTAACTCACACTGACATACAAACACACACACTAACTCAGTGACACACACTGACACACACTAACATACTGACACACTACACACAATTCTAGATTTAAAGCTTTCGTGACTGCAAGGATCCATACTCTTTGGTTCTATTGGGTAAAGTCACGTAGGTAAAAAATAAAACAACAAAAATCACGACGTTTCGGCCACAACACAAGCGGCCTTCATCAGGTGAAGGGACGAGACTGTCTGGAGGACAGCGCTGGAGTGAAAAAAGCCACACTACACACACTAACACACTGACACTCACATACACATTGACACACTAACACACTGACACACACACTGACACAAAGATAAAGACAAAGATCCCCCGTATAGCCTTAATAGACTGTAGGGGCAAGTGCTGTTAGCGAGCACCTATGAAGGCCGCCACGGTACACGAGGGGGTGGGTGGCCAGCACCACGCCCGGCCGCCTTTGTCTCCTCAGTG